CGTTTTTTCACGGCTAGCCTCAGATTCAAAGCCAAGGTCTTCAGGTGTGTCAGCAGAAATGTGCGCAATCGTGATGATGATCTCATCCCACTCTTTTCTGGTAGTACTCCTAGCTTCAAGCCAAATGAAGATCCCGCAAGCAGACGCTCGGACTTTTCTGGTGTGCTTCCATGTAGTGCTGGTTGATGCAAGACATCGGCCAAAGGGATCCCCAGTGCATGGGCAGCTAACTCACCAAGAGTGAAGAAAAAACTGTTGAAGCTTGCGTGCAAACATGACACATGAGGACATGAAGGCTGATTCTCCTCGAGCACGAACGTCCTCCAAGACTTATGTGTGTAATCATTAATCGCCGTTCATCATTCGGAGATCTCCGGCAAATCTGATCATGATCGGTGCACGAAGGAACATCCCCATCATGATGCCATCACTGCTGGCGACCTTCTCACACTCGCTAGCGATGCGGTCCAAAGATTCATTGGTAAACGAGGCAAAAGTCTTTGGTGTACGGCCAAGCAATCGACGTAGTCTTGGTCCTCGGGGCATAGATGCTCGGCAGTTGCCGCCGTGCCTCAAAACCGTTTCCATCGTGCGCCTGCTTTAAGAGATTCTTCGGCTGATTCAGCAGTGCGGTAGGAATCGCAAGCAACTTCTTCGCTCATGTGGCCGTCTCTGCAACCGCGGCTGCCAACAGCTTTGAGCGTGGACGGTTGCTTCAGGACCCCTTTTGTCTTCTCAATGTGTCGCAACTCGGAGTCGAAACCGGGCTCTGCAAACGTCAGCCCGGTTTTGAAGGCATGTGCCCAGCCCCATAAAACCACATATGCATCTTGATCTTCGGTTCCAGCCGTCTCTGGATGCTGGAGCATTATGCCTGCTTCTGAAAGACTGCAAGCTGTCTTGGCAGCTGAAGAGCTTCCCGAGCAAGCCCTTCGGAAGATTAAAACTTGCGCACTGCAACGTCGAGGCCTCTAAGTCGGGCTCTACCCAAGGCAAGGCGGCCTAGTTTGCAAAGGTTCCTAGGTCCAGAGGCGAGGCCTTGCGCTCCGATGCCAACGTGACTGTGCAAACCGCCTGCAGCGGTTGTGACATATTGTGCAAACAAGTAGGAAACTCAACTGCGCAAGAAGGTTGGGTGTTAAAGGGGTGTGTAAAGTTTGTCAATTTGGCAGGTGCTAGCCACTGAAGGTGCCGACCACGAGAAGCAGGCAGGGCAGACTGTTCTGGCGAACTCCAGTCAGAGCAAAGACTTTTCATTTCCTTGCGCGAGGTGCTGTCCCAGATGCGGCACCCAAACATCATCAACCTCCTAGGCCAGTGAAGTCGCTGGCGCGCCAAACCCAACACAGCGACACAGATGCTGCCCAGGGTCTGCCGTGTCTGGGACAGAGACCATGCTGGTCTTCGAGCAGGCCATCGGCTGCGACCTGGCACACAGGCCTTGTGTCACAAACCCGAAAAGAGCATAGCAGTGACGTGTGTTTTTGTGGCACTGCTGATTCGATGTGGAGGGTCTGCGCTGGCAGGCCTTCAGAAGGCCTTGGTGAGTCCTGAAAAGGGTCTAGAGACCAAATACACGCGGGGGCGCGGTGCACCGCCCCGTTCGCTCTCGTGGTTTGTTCTTCCTTGCTTGTGAACGCAGAATGCGCGGTGAATCCTCCCCAAGAAACGAGCTACTGCCATGGCGGGCTGCCGGGCAGGGCTATGTTATGTACATGATAACACTCGAGACGTGTCTCGTGAGTCGCGCGCCTCCCCTGGCGTCTCAAAAACTTTCAACAGTCGGATCGGGTTCTCTGCGTGAGGGCTCGTGGGTCTTTCAAGTTTCTGGATGGCAGTGCGCTTTTTTGCACCTATGTTGGGCAGGCTGATCCTACGGGCGCAAGGTTGCCGGCCCTTCCCCTGGGTAGTCCGGGCACCCTCCTCAGCAGGCTGCTTATCTTGAGCGCGCGCTTGAAAGCGGGGGTCTGTGCGAGGTGCACGTGGCGCTGGACACCGCCCGGGCGTTGCAGTTTTTGCACTCCCGGACGGTGCCGGTGCGCGCCTCGGATGCCTTTGCCGTGCGAAGGGGTGCTCGTCACGCCGAGCTGAGGTGTTCCATCGTGATGTGAAGACAGCCAACGTGCTGCTCTTCGAACGGGTCGCCAAGCTGTGCGACTTCGGCAAGGGCCTCGGTGTTGATGCTGGACAGGGGATTGCAACTTTGGATTTTCTAAGCCTTGCCTTTCCATTTGGCCATCGATCCTAGCGGCGACAATTATCGTTCTCGCGCGCCGAAGGCGAGAAGCATGATCGCGATCAGTTGAAAGAATGGGAAAGGTAGCTTCGCAGGTAGGTGTGTTTCTGTCCCAGTAGCCGCCGGCGTAGCCGGCGTATGTATTCAGAACAGATGTCTATCCACATCTGACTCGTCTGAGAATCGTTCTCGTGGGGCTGTCGATCTCGTGCAGAATGACTTGGGTGACTTTGAAGAACTTCACAGAACGGGGCAAGTGCCGTTAGAGATTTTTCGTTCTGAGGCACCGCGGTGGTGGGCCACGTGCGAGGCCTGGCCGGCACGCCACTTCTCCGCTGCCCGGAGTACACCCGCAGCCAGCTCTTCACCGCAGAAGCGGAGGCCCCAAAGAAGTGGGCTGTGTCCATTTTCCCTGTCACTCTGCGCCCGCCCTCGCCAGGCATACACGTTTGGTATGCTGCTGGCTGAGTTGCTCACGGGCAAGCAGTCAGCGGCCCAGTTGCGAGCAGCCATACAAACAATGCAGCAAGCCACGACGTGAAAAGACAATACATTCCCTAAACCTTACAAACTCCAAGCGCTGAAAAGCCAAACCCTCGAAACCTCTAAGCTTTAACCCGACGCCGAAGCCGAAAACCCGACAAGAAACAAAAGAGCCTGGGTGTGCCAGAGGCACTGCGCGCGTGATGTGGGCCCGGGCACTTTTCTTCCGGGAGGGCGCTCGCAGTGTCACACGTATCTTTGTGGCACCGCGTGCTGCCTTGATGTGGGTGGGGCATTATGTTGGACTACATGGCTGCGCCACAGTCGTCCTTGTGGCACTGCGTGCTGATGTGATGTGGGGACGAGCGCTTTTCTTCCGGGAGGGCGCTCGCAGTGTCACACGCTGATGTGGGCGGGGCACTGTGTTGGATCACATGGCTGTGCCACACACTTTTTTGTGGCACTGCGCACTGATGTGATGTGGGCACTAGCGCTTTTCTGCTGCAAGGGGCGCTCGCAGTGTCACACGTGTCTTTGTGGCGCCGCGTGCTGCCTTGATGTGGGCGGGGCGTTGCGCTAGATGACAAGGCTGCGCTGATCTGATGTGGGTGCAGGCGCTTTTCTTCTGGGAGGGCGCTCGCAGTGTCACACGTGTCTTTGTGGCACGGGCATGCTGCCTCGATGTGGGCGGGGCGTCGTGTGTTCGATGATGTGGCTGTGCCACACACGTCTTTGTGGCGCTGCGCGCTGATCTGATGTGGGCCCGGGCGCTTTTCTTCTGGGAGGGCGCTCGCAGTGTCACACGTGTCTTTGTGGCACCGCGTGCTGCCTTGATGTGAGCGGGGCGTTGTGTTAGACGACATGCATGGTTGTGCACGCTGATCTGATGTGGGCCCGGGCGCTTTTCTTCCGGGAGGGTGCTCGCAGTGTCACACGTGTCTTTGTGGCGCCGCGTGCTGCCTTGATGTGGGCGGTTCATTGTGTTAGACGACACGCATGGTTGTGCCACACATGTCTTTGTGGCACTGCGCGGCCCGGGCGCTTTTCTTCCGGGAGGGTGCTCGCAGTGTCACACGTGTCTTTGTGGCACCGCGTGCTGCCTTGATGTGGGCGGGGCGTTGTGTTAGACGACATGGCTGTGCCACACACGTCTTTGTGGCACTGTGCGCTGATGTGATGTGGGGACGAGCGCTTTTCTATTTCGGGAGGGCGCTCGCAGTGTCACACGTGTCTTTGTGGCGCCTCGTGCTGCCTTGATGTGGGCGGGCCTTGCGCTGGATCACATGGCTGTGCCACAGACGTCTTTGTGGCGCTGCGCTCTAATGTGATGTGGGCACGAGCACTTTTCTTCTGCGAGGGGCGCTCGCAGTGTCGCACGTTCTTTGTGGCACCGCGTGCTGCCTTGATATGGGGGGGGGGGGGGAAGTCTTTGTGGCGCTTCACGTATTCGGAAACACAAGGTCCAGGAACCTTTGTCGGAAGTACGATGGTGTGAACCAAACGGTGTGTCTGGTAAGCCAACATAGTATCACAAAGTGTTGATTTTTTACTCTTCTGAGCCAACGCGGTGTTAACAACGTTGTGTTCACGTGCGCAACGTCTAGACAGCCTGTGCGCAAAGGGGCCGGCGCGCCTTTTTCGGGAAATGGAATGTCGGATAGGTGCTTCGAACCGCGTTTCGTGCCAGCGCTGTGTGGAGGGTGGGCAGAGCGTCGATGGTAGCAATCGATGCGATGGGAACATGGACGTAAGCATTCTTCGGGCATGGATGCTCTGGTGCATGGAGACGGAGTCATCGCTCGGCATGGATGCTTTGGTCCAGGGATGCGATGCGACGGGAACATGGACATAATCATGGCGCGGCATGGATGTACACATCGCTCGGGCATGGATGCTCTGGTCCACGGATGCGACGGGAACATGGAATCGAAAAGCTTTGCGAAAACGGTGTTTTCAGCACAGGGCAAAAACCGCGGCAGGCTTGTTGCCATGGTGGAGAGTCGCAAACAGTGAAAACAGTGGTGGGCGCGATGTTTTCGAGACGCGCGCACGGGGGGGCGTGGGTGGCCTCACATGCCCAGGTCTTTCTCCGAGCCTGGCCAGCTCACGTATGCGGAAGACTGCGAGTACCATACCGCCCAGAGGGTTGAACGACTTGCCTGCGATTGCTGCGGGGACAGTCGCAGTCGGCCGCCGCTGGCCGATGTTGTCTGGTGCTGAATTACTTGTGCTTTGCACTGCTTGTAGCTCGTGTCGTGTTGGCACCATCTCGCACGTTGAGGCACGTAGACTGGAGCAAGTCCTGCAGCCGGAGCTCGACAAGTGAATGGCCTGCGCCTGGCTCTGAGATGCGTAGAAGCCAAACCTTTTACAGCCAAGCCGAAGTTCCCCGTGCTTTGCGAGCCAGGCTCGATGTCGCCCTCGTGGGGTATGTGGACTCAGGACTGAGATGTGCTTAAGGGTTTAGGGTTTAGTCTTCATTTCAAAGGGTTTGGGCATTCGGGTCCAAGACGAGGGTTTAGTGTCGATAAGAATTTATAGGGTAGGGTCTATACGATTTGTATTGCTTAGGATTTTGGATGATTTACAGGGTTTAGGGTCTTGGGGTTTAGAGTCTATAAAACATTTAGGGTTTAGGGTTTATGGGATTTAGTGTGAAGGGTTGACGAGATATGAGGTTTACGGTTTCGGCTTAATGAGGGTTTACAGGACCCATCCTGCTCTCCCAAAAAAGGCTGCGCTTGAACCCCAAGCCCCAAGCCCTAAACCCTGAACCCCAAACCCGAACGATGGCGCTTTCGGATAGCTCGGGACTTCGGATTTTTTCCTGCACTGACGGTGAGGTGGGGCTCCGCGTCCGGCAATTGTCCTACATACTGCAAGCCGTTAGATTTTCCAGAGCAAAGCAGCGTCCTCGAAGGACACTGGACCACGCGTGCGACTGCGGATACGGGCGCCCTGTACCAAGTCATACAGGGCCCTGTTTAATCAGAATGGATGATGTTTTGGGAGGGTCTAGGGTTTCGGGATGACGCGGGACTAATATTGGTCATTATGCAGTCTTCTGTATCAATCACATTATTTCTTCAACCACTGGTTTTATGCACAGTTTGCGATGCCTGTGGACCTTGCGGATATTCTGAAGTGGAAGGGCGCTTGTTTGCACATCTCCCAGCGTATGTACGGTTCACAGGGTATTTCACTGGCGGTGAGCTTGCAGCAGAGCTTGCACCATTGGAAAGCCCCAGGCCCTGTACTCCAAGAAAAATCGGCCTGATGTCAATAACTTCTGGCGTTATCCTGGTCGTTTCCGTGCTGTTCTCTGATCACCAGCTACTGTGCTCTGACACCTTTTCAAAACAGAGCTTTAACATTGTCCATACCGTCTCCATTGGTAAATAGGTAACCCTTAGCCCGAAACTCGTAGCTTGTAACACTAAGCCGTAACTCCTTGGCAAGGTTCCAAGGCGTCTGCAGGCCACGGGAGGCAGGTCCGGTCGTTCACACATGGGCAGGGCGCCCTCTCGACCCTAAGCTCTACTCCCTAACTCGTGAACTTACAACCCTGAACCCTGAACCCTGGACTTTAAACCTACAACAATTACTAAACCGGAAGCCCTGTTTAGGTTTCCTTTGGTTTTTGAGCTGCTCCCCTGAACCGTAATCCCCGCATGGATTCTGTTCTTTTTCTCAGGGCATTTGTTTCAGAGACCTGTGTGTGTGTGTGTGTGCTTCGCGACTGCTGTCATCTGCTTTCTCCCACGCTTTAAACCCTGAACCCTAAACCGGACTCTTGCACGAGACTCGAACCCTAAAACCTACATCCCAAACCCGACCAAGCCCTTCAAACGTGTAGGCTATGCAGGGCCGTGGAAGCCCCCGTTGCCCCCCCCGTTATGCGCTCAACCGTAAGCTCTAAGCCCGAAATCTGTGGGGTTGCGTTGGGATTTGAGGTTCCGGAGTTGAAATTCAAGAGCTCCAAACCCTTGTGTTGGCTCTATATTTGTATATGGGCTGAACTCTCCCCTAAACCTTGAGTGTGTTCAGCATTGAAGGAAGAAAGTTCGTTCGCAGATGAGCACGGATTATAGTCACAAGTGGTGGTCGCGGGGTAGGTGCTAGATCCGCTGCCAACAGGTCAAGTGCTGAAAGTCAAACCCACTAGGGCTTCACAAGCATAGCGCCCTAGCTAAGTCCTCCATGGTAGCTCCACCCTTCCATTGATGATGCAAGAGGCCCCAACGCAAGTGCGCGCAGAACGCAACTCTACATCATGAGGCCATTCCCGCCACTGACGATTGAGGTGAGCCTTCTAAGTGGCAAAAGGGCTTCTCTGAGAGCAGGAGCAGACGAGTCTGTAGAGTCATTCAAGAAGAGAGCACGGAAGGCTCTGGCCATTGGCAGGGCCAGGCTTTTGGACTCCTCCGCAAGCATTCTGGTCGGAGCAGCCACGCTTGAGGAATCCAGGGTGCGGAGCGGCGATAATCTGACCTTGCAGATGAGCAGCGTTCACGTTCAGAGCAACGGGAGTGCTTTTGCTGCCATTCTGAGCGATGGGTCTGTTGTGACATGGGGCCATGGTGAGCTCGGTGGTGACAGCAGTGCTGTGCAACATCAGCTGAAGGACGTGCAGCAGATCCAAGCATCTGATTCCGCTTTTGCAGCCATTCTGGGCGATGGGTCTGTTGTGACCTGGGGCAGTGGTGATGCCGGTGGCGACAGCAGTGCTGTGCAAGGGCAGCTGAAGGACGTGAAGCACATCCAAGCTTCTAGAAATGCATTTGCTGCCATTCTGCGCGATGGGTCCGTTGTGACATGGGGCAGTGGTGAGGGTGACAGCAGTGCTGTGCAAGGTCAGCTGAAGGATGTGCAACAGATCCAAGCTTCTGATTTCGCTTTTGCTGCCATTCTTGGGGATGGGTCTGTTGTTACATGGGGCGATGGAAAGTTCGGTGGCGACAGCAGTGCTGTGCAAGCTCAGTTGAGGGATGTGATGCAGATCCAAGCGTTCGAGCAGACGTTTGCGGCCATTCGGAGCGATGGGTCTGTCGTGACCTGGGGTCATGCCAAGTTTGGCGGTGACAGCAGTTCTGTGCAAGATCAGCTGAAGGGCGTGCAGCAGATCCAAGCATCTGAAAGGGCTGTAGCTGCCGTTCTTGGCGACGGATCTGTTGTTTCGTGGGGCGATGGTAATTTCGGTGGCGACAGCAGTGCTGTGCAAGGTCAGCTTAAGGGCGTGAAACAGATCCAAGCCACCTATGCTGCTTTTGCTGCCATTCTGGGTGACGGCAGTGTTGTGACGTGGGGAGACTTTGACTGTTGTTACAACAGCAGCGCTGTGCATGCTCAGCTGAAAGATGTGCAGCAGATTCAAAGAACTGACTACACTTTTGCGGCCATTCTGAGCGATGGGTGTGTAGTGACCTGGGGCAGTGACAGTGCTGAGGGTGACAGCAGTGCTGTGCAAGGTCAGTTGAAGGACGTGAAGCACATACAGGCTTCTGACCAGGCATTTGCTGCCATTCTGGGCGACGGGTCGGTTGTGACCTGGGGCAATAGCGATTTCGGTGGTGACAGCAGTGCTGTGCAAGGGCAGCTAAAGGGCGTGCGTGAGATCCAAGCTACTGAAAGGGCGTTTGCGGCCATTCTCAGCGATGGGTCTGTCGTGACCTGGGGCGATGGTGAGGTCGGTGGCGACAGCAGCACTGTGCAAGATCAGCTTAGGAGTGTGCCACCGAGCCAATCCTCCGACTCTGGGGCTTCTACCGGTTCTGTTGTAACGTGGGGCCTAGCCAACTGTGGTGGCGACTAGCGTGCTGTGCAAGGTCAGCTCAAGAACGCGTCGTAGGTTTGTGCGAGCGTGAGTGTCGTCTACCCTGCTATTGCAAAGTTGTTCGAAAACTGCAGGGTTCAAATGGCTTCAGGGCTCAGTACGAAAGGGGCTGTGAGCAACTACAAGGGTTGAAGGTTCATTCTGAGGGACTTCAAGCAGTGCGAGGGCTATGTGAGATTCAGCAAGAGTTGCGGTTCGAATAGAGCAACCTGGGTTCCTTTCGACAGTGTGTTCAAAGATCCACACCTAAGTGGTCCCGGTACCTTAGAACTAAGTTGGTGTTCGGGTTTAGGACAAAGCCGCCCGAAACCCACAAGCCCAGAGCGCAGGTGCCGACAGATGCCCTGCTGAATTTCGGGCCTGGGGGCCCAAGGACGCCGGCCATGCCGGATCAGCTTCTTGCCCGTTTGCTGTGGGTCCTACAGTGCCCAAGTCCCTTCGTACAATGCGCACCTGCGTTTGACAGTTTACAGTGATACTAATGGTTACAACGTTGGGCCTGAGGCCTGTGGAAAAGGCAATGCAGCTTCGACATTGTTGCATATTATTTCTGTCTATGTGTTTATACATACGTGTGGGTTTTCTGCACGGTCAACACGATGGCTCCAGTGATCTCCAGTATCTCTTCCGTGAGAATCACATGATGCTAGTGGAGGGTCTTGAGATGTCTTGAGTCTTATTTTATTTTGAATGTCGAATCGCGGGCGCGGCAGACTTAGGCTTGCAAGAGATGTCGGTTCATCGCTGAGCTCCAGGATGTCTTGAGCTCTTGCGCTAAGTTGCAGTGCGGCACTAGGTGCAATGTAAACATGGATGTGGCCTCGACGCTGGCATGGCAAAACGGAAGCGTGTAGACGAGCAGCAGCCCTCGCAAGGTAGCCCTGCCGCCATCCAATGGACGGCAACTGCTTGGGACTCTCAGGATGTCAAAGACGAAGAAGGTTGGAACTCTCAGGATGTCCAAGACGAAGAAGGTTGGAACTCTCAGGATGTCCAAGACGAAGAAGGTTGGAACTCCCAGGATGTCCAAGACGAAGAAGGTTGGCACTCTCAGGATGTCAAAGACGAAGAAGGTTGGAACTCTCAGGATGTCCAAGACGAAGAAGGTTGGAACTCTCAGGATGTCCAACACGAAGAAGGTTGGAACTCTCAGGATATCCAAGACGAAGAAGGTTGGAACTCTCAGGATGTCCAAGACGAAAAAGAAGGTTGCATCTCTCATGTCCAAGACGAAGAAGGAGGTTGGAACTCTCATGTCCGAGACGAAGAAGGAGGTTGGAACTCTCAGGATGTCCGAGACGAACAAGAAGGTTGGAACTCGCATGTCCAAGACGAAGAAGGTGACGACACCTGGGATGGGCAAGCAACCTTTGTTTCTCGGGGAGGTTTCAGTGACTTGTCAGAGGAGGAGCAGGAGAAGCTGTTGCGGATGCCCGAAGGCCTCAAGAGAGAGATCGGCTTCAAGAATGTCCATCCCGAAGAAACGGGTGAAAACCCTAAGGCGCTGATGCAGTCCTTCTTTTCAAGGTACACACAATCGACGATTCAGGACTACTACTTCGAGGGTAGCCAAAGGAGGGATCGAAATGGATCGGTTTGGTTCACTGCCACCCTGGTTACACCTTCCCTCTACGACAAGAGGTTTTTGGGAGAGATGGCGCCTTCATTGGCATTGGCAGAATCGTCGGCATGCCTGGCATTTTTTAAAGACTCAACAGTTCTGGAGGTCGCCAGCAAGATGCCACCTACCATTCGCAACGTCAGGAGGCACGTTTGCAAGATGCTGAAGCCAGGCTGGCAACGGGAGATGGAGCGACGAGGCATCGACTGGAAGGTCGTCAGAGAGGAGGTCATCCGGAGGTTGTTCGATCAGTTCCAATCCATGGGATGCAGAACCGCGCTGTGGGACAACAATGTGTGACGAGATGTCTCTCCAGGCGCGAGAAGCCACGCAAGGGGCTTGGTCCTGCTTTCAGATCTCAGCGCGTTTTGCCAAATTCGGCGATTTCACTCCAGCATTGTGCAGCGTTGTGCAGCTTCGAGACACAGAGGGAGCGACATGAGAGGAGGTGATGATGTGTGGGTAGCTGGACAGTTCCAGCAGTCAGCAGTGGATGCTCTCCTGTCATCAGTAGATGCTTCGTAGAATGGACACGGCAACAATATGCAACAGCTGTACACTGCATGCAACATGAAGGTACTGTAGGGCCATCGTCTGAGCCAGCAATGCCAAGGTTTCGGCACTGGCGACAGGCTTGCTGAACCTGCGCGGAAGCCCGACGGCGCATGCCGATTGCAGCGTTGCAAGAGGATCTTCGAGCAGACATCTAAAACAGTGCATAACTGCCCAGTAGAAGCCGCGCAGAAATCCCATTGCAAGAAAAACACGGTGTGGAGGGTGAAGAGCTCCCAGGCCAGTGATGATTTGCTATCATTGTGCTTGAACTTTCCAAACTCGCCCCGTGCGCCAGCAGATTCGCTGAATGTTGCCGCAACTCACGTGTAAACGTTTCGCTCTATGTTCCTTTCATGTGTAAGTCATAGAGTGATGGTCTTTCCCGTCGCTTAGGCCACGGACGCCCGACTCTCCGCATCTGCCTAGTGGCTCGGCGGACTCATGCTGACTGTGCACTCTGCAACATCGGAACGTACTGGAGCCTAGTTCAATGGCTGTGTGTTGGCTGAGGCATGCTGGAACCCTCGCCTGTTCGCTTCACTCACTGGCAAAATTGACTACAGCGCGCAGCTGATGTAGCTATCACAACTGCCTATCTCAGCAGCTTAAACGCGCACCATGCCATTCCAAGAAGATGTGATGTCAACCATCTCGTTTCCGACATGTCAATGTCACACATGTACACGCATTTTTGGCAGCTGCATTGGGCTCTTTGTATTGAAATCTTAGTTACCCATGCCAGAGACCAGGTGACATTCCGCCGCCAGCAGGATCAGTCAAGCCTTTGAATACTTGGTTGTCACTATAGCTACCGCGACACAGCATTTGCAAGATCTGCCCAACGCCGCTTGAAGCCAATCAAATCAGCAGGGGCCCGAGAACGATGGACACGTTGGAAGCGTCACATGTGGAGAGAGGCGGCTACCAAGACGCCTGCGTTGGCGTCCGCGTAGTGCTTGCGGGAAGCGTCCAGTTTGATTGGATTTTAAATGCGGGTGTTGCGCAGATTTGTGCAGGCTCAGCCATCTCGACCGGGGCAGCAACAGCGTTGTGGGAGTGGAAGGTTTTTGTGATGGGGCAGGCTTTCGCGTGGTCAAGTCGCTACAGCTGGGTGTTCCGAAGGACCGTGCAACATGGAAGGCTTATCTTCTGAACGAAGACATCTGCCCATGCCGAAGACATCAATGCATTCTACAATGCCGGCGTTCGTGTGCTTATGTTAGAGAACCGAAGGTTTTCACCCGCGACTGGAACCAGTGGCTGCCGTGGGACGGTGTCCTGCGAGAGGCCACTGGCTAGCACTTGCCTTGCGGCGTCTTGCGCGTGCTTGGAACGGTTTCACTGCCGCTTGGTTGACAGACCCTGATCGGTACGAGCTACCGCCGACGGGGCTTCAGCCTTGCAGAAGAAGGTACAGAACCACTGTGGGCAGCTTCGTGATGCTTTTGCCGAGCGCGCCCTCTTTGCTGTACAGAAAAAGGCCCATTCGTACCTTGGGAAAAGGATATAAGACCCTGTGACAAGTGATCGGGTGCAGCACGCTGGCAGATGCGGGATCACAACGGGGCAATGACCCAGCGCCAAGCGCCGTTGCCACACACGCAGCGAACAGGGCCGCGCGTTAGGTAGGCACTCGTCCAGTGTTTTTTGGTCGTGCAGTATCTTTAGCAGGCAAGACTTTGGCAAGACCTGCTGAGACCGTCCTGCCTCGCACATGTACAGGTCTTGTGCCCGAAGTTCGGCCCGAAGCACCGAACAATAGGGAATGTGTCGAGGGAAGAGGTGGGTATGATTTCACAACGCCTGTATCGACTGCAAGCTCGGCGCGCTGCGTGCCATGTGTGTGAGTGTTGCGAGCCATGCACCTCCCGCCGCCTGGCTCCAGCAAGGTGAAAAGTTGTCCCTGTGCCTCACGTGAAATCGACCCTCGCAGCATCATGCCCGTGAGCGTGCCTTCTGCGACCAAGACTCCCATCCAGGGCGTGGTTCTCGGCGACTGCGCCGACAGCGTCAGCTTCGAGTATGGTGAAGAGAAGCTCGGTGAGCAGCACTATGACCGCGAGGCGTGTGGCGCTCAGCTTCTAAGACTCTCAGCGACCGAAGGGTCTGCCAGATCTTGCCCGTGTGGTGTTGCACTTAACACTGAGGCTTGCCCAGTTGCCGGCCCGAATCTTTATTCCCGAGCTTGGGGAGATGCCGTGTGAGCGTGTTACAGGCTTTCAGATGGTGCGCGTCATCAACTCGGAGCTTGTGAAACAGCTCGTCCTGCTCGTCCTCTTCTTGGACGCGGAGGGCCGGCGACGATACCAGTTCGGAGAAAACCATCTCGCCACCCAGCTGCTGTCGGAGGAGCAGCGGAAGAAGGTCAACTTTAAATTCATTGGTGGCCCTGTCGTCATATTGAAGAACACCCGCTTCTCTGTGCTGAAGTGTGACAATCCGATGGACCTCAGCTTAGCAGAATTCCATCGGTGGACGAAGGCTGTCCCAAACTTCTATGTGCCAGGCAGGCCGGCACCAATTGCCCGGCCACTTCGCCAAGGTCCGAGTGCATGTCAGACGCAAGGAGGGCTGGCAAAGCCGGCGGGGGCCCGAATGGATCCTCGGCAGCTGGCCTCACCAGCCAGCTTCCCAAGCCTACCAAAACCGAAAGCCAAGCCAGTGCATCCGTTGCCCAAGCACAGGGAGGCCCCCAAGACGCAATGTCCTCCACAATCTCCTCCGGGCCTGAAGCTGCAACTGGAAGATCTGGAAGATGAGCAGTTGGGTCACTTGAGTAGCGGCTTCAGCATGGCCACCACAGCTTCGGCACCGTCGGTCACCTCGGATTTCGAAGCATCCTCGGTGTCCGCGGCATCGGAGTGCCCCCCGAGTCCGGGATGTTCGTCGAAGGCTCCAGAGACTCTGCAGAACTCCGCGGAGACCGCGATGTTTCAAGAGTCGACTCCCGCAGATTGGAGTGTGGAGCGGGTCGCGAGCTGGCTCGCGAGCTTGGATAATGCAGCTGGCACGTGGGATAGGCCAGGCATGTCCATAGTCCATAGTGCATGTGCAATGACCGGCATCAGTGTCGCATCGTTCCATGATGTTCCATGCTAGGTATGTGGACAGTTTCCGCGAGAACCAGATCAGTGGCAAAGCCCTACGCAGCCTGACCATGGAGGAGCTGCGTGATGACCTGGACATCAAGGCATTCGGACCACGCAAGGCAGGGTGGGGGCAGGTGAGCACCTGTGGTGAAACCCCTTGATCATTGCAGCGTTTGATTTCGTTCTTTCAGGTCATCATGGCGGAGATTCAGAAGCTTTTCGCAACCGGGCAATGATCCAGCGCCAAGCGCCGTTTCCCACACGCAGCGAGCAGGGCCGCGCGTTAGGCACTCGTCGAGGTTTTTGCTCGTGCAGTATCTTTAGCAGGCAAGACTTTGGCAAGACCTGCTGAGACCGATGTACAGGTCCTGCGCCCTCGAGCGACAAAGCTGATAACAAATGTTGCGGCTGAATTGTAAGACAATGAATGATATGAGCAAGCGCCAAAACCCCCAGCCGTTCAAGTAAGTAACGGGTGGACACGATGCAAAAACCCTGTACAGCGATGGGAACACCTGGAAAGCGATGCCCCTAAGTCAATGAACCGTTGGGTGGGCGATAGCCTTGAATTTCCCAAAGCGACACCTGCAGACATCAAGCGTGGATGACTGATGCTAAAAGCCTGTAAAGCTGGGAACGCTTGAAAAGCGATACTACGGTTGATGGGTTTCCGAATTCACGCGGAGAACTTAGCATCCCAGAGGGTTCTTGGCAATACCCCCTCGGAAACAGGCCCTTCATGATGGTAATACGAGTACTAATACTGTTGATGGAGGAAATCTTGCACCACTTTAAATGGCCAAGCAATGTAGAGACCCCGCGCCCCATTTTTAATATTGACTGTTGATCCGCGGAAGTGCCGTGGGTTCCTATGACAAAAATCTTGCACCACCTCCGTATCCTTCATCGTCAATATTAAAAAGGGGGCGCGGGGTTATGCTCATGCGTCGTGTAACTTGTTATTCATTAGGCGGTGCAAGATTTCCTCCGGAGTCGATGAAGAACGATAGCGTTTCCAATGGTCGACGACAGATTTTTTTGAATTGAACTTTCGGGACCTGCCATTGTTCAAAGATCTTCATTCAGCTCCCCACCAAGCCTGGACAGTCTCGCAACGACCGCGTCGCACGTTTGCACGTCCAGTACTTGCTACAGCATACTACGACTACTACGACCTCATAAGATCGTGGCAGATACTTCCCCAGCAATGGTTTGGGGTCTTAAGCTGTGAGGTGCCGTATCTCCTGTATGGTGAGAAGTGACAAACCCGTTATGGCAACAAACGACGCCCGGCCACTCTTGTTCAAGCGGACGTCCAAGAGACCCGGGATTCGCAAAGTGCAGCCGCCTTGGCCTCAGCGGCCAAAGGGAGAACAGACCTGAATCAACGAAGTGTCGACCGAGGCCCTGCGATAGAACAACAATGGGCTGTGGACCGTCCTCCGAGGCTCGTGGACTGTGGCACTTTGGTAGTATTTCGGTAGGCGGTAGGTTCGGTAGCAGAGTTCCAGTGCCCCCATTCCGAATCGCACTTCTTGGACTGGAGTCACGAGAACCGCTGCAGCCCGAACGCCTCTGAGACATCTAAGTTAAGTTGTTAGAGGCCTCTTGGGGAACCTTTTGGGGCTGCTCCGAGATACTTATTCCCCAAGGCCAACGAGCAGTTCGTGCGCTTGGTCTGGACGACAGAGCCAATGGTGGAATGCATGTGTTGCACGGATCTCAGACTCACAGAATATATCAGGTTCTCATGCATCAGAGCATCTTGTGTATACATATATGCATAGAAGCGTCTATATATTGTATATATAAACATATCTCACGTGCAGAGCTCGGAATCTCGGACTCTGCGAGTGCGGGAGACCAGGGAATCCTGGGCCGAGGCCCTGGATTGAAGGAGCTGAAGGGCACGCTTCCGAGCTGGCTCTCCCAGGCAACTTACGCGAGGACTCAGGGCTGGAAGGGCCCCTTCTCCCCCCCACCCCCCCTCCCTCCCCCTCTGCCCCGTCCCTTCGCCCAAGGAGAGAAGATCCGAAAACACACTTAGGCTAAGTTATCAAGGTTTCGGCCTTTTATGGAGCCGAAAAGCTTCGACTGCAGAGTGACTGAGAGAGTAGCTGAGGGCAACCTTGTGGCAGCCTTGATCCTCTAACTTGCGTGATCATGCCTTCAGCCTTTTTGCTTGTTGGGGTGCCGAAGATTTCTATCTAAAACTACAGAAATCTTTTTCGCCTCAAAGCCTGCTCTGACAGGATCTTGGAGATCTGCGCCCCGTACCACAGCTGGATCTTCTGTCAGGCAAGGGTTGACCGAGCTTGCGAGCTTCAGACTAGAGGTCTGCAAGCCCCAAGGTCCCAAGGCCCCAAGGCCCCAAGGCCCCAAGGCCCCAAGGCCCCAAGGCTGTAAGCAAGTACAGCCGTGCAGACATGATCTGATGCTTCATGGGGAGGGGAGATACGGCTGATGCCCTGTTACCACTGTAGGTCGACTGCTGCGGCACCCCGGCGTGTGAAAATCCCTTTGCGCAGGCCGGCCTGTGTTACCTTCAGGGAAAAGGATGATACAAGGTCTCAGCACCAACATCGGCGCGCGAAGGTGCCCCGCTCCAGCGGTGGGTGTAATGATGTGTAATGAGTGTAATGTGTGAGTGTAAGCCTTGAAAAGTGCTCGTCACTTCGCCGGGACCACTCCGCTCCATCTCGATAACATGTCCTTGAACAAGCTTGCCTTCAATGCTCTCGGCTCTCGCGGGAAGTCGTTGAAGTGCAGCCCCTCCTAAAAGCATGTCAACTCGGAGCTCAGGCGAACGCTCCGCTGGATCAGCTGAAGAAGGAGCGCTTGCCCTCGTGTCAGCCTGTCTGCTTTCTTCGGAAAGTCCCCCCCATAGTGACTCACAGTACTGTGCTGCGTGCCAGGAGATGCATGGCCTCAACTTCACCTTCACAGCGGTAGCCTGGTTTCTGAAGCCAAGAAAGGATATCGTCTCGTTGAAGTGGCATCGTACCATCGCCAGACTCTCTTCAATCCTCTGACGCGCAAAAGTGAGAAGCCAGCCTTCCGCGAGCCCTCACCGAGGAGTGGGTGGGCTTCGGAAAGCACGCCAACTGGCAGCACATCCTGGACATCCGCCCCGGGATGGCGGTGGGACAAGTCGTCGGCATTGAGGTGCCCATTCCTTTTCAGCCTTCTTTTGCTTCTTCTCGTTGCGGAGTCTCTAAGCATCTTGCTTTTTTTAAAGCACTTCGAAGGCACCTGGCCAGAGTGGCATGTGAGTGCTTAGAGGGAGAGAGCCGACAGATCCGGACTCTCTGCAGTGGAGTCCGCAAATGTCCTCAAGACAGCTTTAGCTTTGTGGCGGAGCTTCGCGCCGACCCCTTGTGGGTGCCGGGGGATTTCCATCGCCTTTGAGGCACTTTGAGGGTTCCAAGCATCAGGGATTTGTGGGGGTTGTTATTGTTGGGGCAATGGGTGTTTTATCAATTTTCGCAGATCAAATCCCTCGGGTGAGGCAAGCTTAGTGTTAGCTATGTTTTGACTTGCAGCCTGTGGCCAAGTCACGGGTTGCCAAAGGATGCAAGAAGCCGAGGCGCAGGCCCTCCATTCATCCGGCGCTGAATATGCAACCCCTCTCTACCTCAATCGGGCTCAACCGGATAAGTGGAGGCTGCTCTTAGGGTCTCTTGAAGAGACCCTTTTCCCGACGCGTCGTGCCTTCCTTGCATCGCCCTCGGCATTGGCGCGGTATGGCGCCGGGCGCAGCTGGGACCCAGAAATCCGGGAAATCCCCCAGTCTCCAGTTGCATCGACGCGCTTTCAGATTGTGGTGGTTCAAAAGGGAGTAGGCCGAGCAGGCCGAGAGCAGGCCTTGAGACTGCGACATTTGTGTGTTGGACTCCTCCTGTGCCATGTGCAGCCCAGAACCCAGAAGCCCAATCAAGGGTTTGACCAACTTGAAGCATGCTGCCCGCAGCTGCTTCATAGAGTCCCACCCCAGAAGACAACATTCATGCAGATCCCCGCATGCTCAGGGAGGATTGGCTTCGAATGTTGGAGAAGTTGGATGGGTGAACCCAATTTTCGTCGTAGGCACAAAAATGCCCGCCATACTCTTCTTTTTGCTTCAAGCCAGTGGACCTACCCAGACTCCCTTTGCCTCAGCGGGTACTGTAAGCTGTTGCTGATGCTGCTGCGCCTAGTCCGCAGCCGGCCACAGAGATCTCGCAAGTTGCAAGGATTGGGAGTGTGCGGATTGAGGGCCGAGCTGACTGGGCTTCATTCCTCTTCATTCTCTGAGTTTGCTATGTGGAGCGTTGTTAGGGGATGTCGAAAACGCGGAGGGAACCAGGAATCATCGGAAGTAGCCGCCCCGAGGCCCCGCAAGTTTCGCCCCCTCCGTTCACCACGGACCATCCTCTGAGGTGCACTGTTGTAACTTGCTGCAACTTCAGTTGTAGTCTGCGTTCGCCTGAGTGGCAGAATCGAGGCAAGCGTGGCAGAGCAACATCAGAGAATTACGTTGATACAGCACGTTGCGCGTAGGGTTGCGTTGGTTTTGTTTGTGGAAGGCGTGCGGTGGAAGCCAAAACTCTGCAGCGTGTAGGTTTGCGCAGGTTTGTGCGCAGGTTGTTTCCTGGCGAGAACTTGTAGAGGTTTTTCGAGGCTGACGTGTCCCCGTTTCAGGAAGGCTGAGGAGTCATACTCGCACGTCTCGGCAGAGCTATCGGCGCAGAGTAGGGGGGATGTCAGGAACCCACCTCTGGGGCAGAGAGCAGTGCGATGCTCCACGACTTGGCAGTCATGTCTTGCCCTCCCCCCCTCCCCCCCCTCGTGAAGCCATTAAGTTATTTACTTACATCCCTTCTCCTTCAATGAGGAGACCCATTTTAGTGGTTTTTTGTTGGCCGTTTTTAGCCTTTTTGTTTACAACCCTTGTTTGCGGCGTTTCGACTCGCAGGCACCTGGCCAGAGTGGCATGTGAGGCTGGCTCCGAAAGGGCTCCGCAATGAGAGCCGGCCTGTTTTCAGTGGACGAAGCTTGGTCCTTGTGAGAGGACCATTGTGGCTCTGAGTTGTGCAAGTGCTCTTTCGCCCGTCTGATGGGTGCCGAGGGATTCCATCCAATGATTTCGAAGGGTGTTTTCGATGGTCTCAGGGACTCTGGAGAGTCGACTGGGTGTCGGGGGGGGGGGGTGCGTGGGTGCGTGGGGCATGTGGGGCCTTCATCTGATCCAATCCCTCGGGTGAGCCGTTTTGCTTCAAGTTTCAACTTTCAGTCTGTGGCCAAGTCACGAGTGGCGCAAGAAGCTGTCCACGTGCTGGCCGAGGGTGTCTTGAAGAGCTCCAGGCGGCGCATCGTTCCTTGCAATGCCACCTGCTTGTACAGACGCAGCTGCGACGCTGACAGGAAAGATCTAGAACAAAGAAAGGGACGTTAAACCAGTGACTGGGGGTCTCGGGTCACCCCGTGCCCGATAGTCTAGCAGGAAGGCGGGTGGGTAATGTTGGCATTGAGGCAGGCAGTGGCGTGAGTACAACTTTGCCGAAAGTTCTTGGCACGGCATTGGCATGGTAACCGAAAATTTAACACAAGTCACCCGGTGAGGACCTTCGCAGGTTCGAGATTCAGATCCCACGGCGCGTTCTAAACCAAGGTGTACTGGATGCTGCTGGGTTCTGGTGTGAGATGTGAGAAGCAGAGCCCCGAGGTCCCAACAACAATTGAATCTGAGCAGTCGAGGCGGTTCGCGGTTTGGGATCAGGTTTTGGGAGCGTTGTGGTTCCTGGCGCGTCCGTGGCTCTCAGCATGGAGTTTCTGGGAAGTGGTGTAGAAGATGAGGGGAGGGCTCCCATGCCGACGCGGCTCTGAGCACCCCTGCTGGCAGAAGGCCGCGCCTTGCCTTAACCTTGCCGAACTCAGAGCAGACTAACGCATGACGATCGAGCTCTCCCAGAAGCGGGACCAGCAGGTGGGGTCTTCAGAATCGAGCGTTCGCGCGGATGGGTGGCGCGGGTGGCGGGAGCGGCTGAGGCGTGGGCTCCAGCAAGTGCCGGAGTGCTGCGACCGAACCTGGCAGCAGCTGAAGCGGGGCCTGCTGGGCGTCATCGCCTCGGAGTTCCGACAGCACCGGCGTGTACTTCCACTTGCGCTGGCCCAGATGATGCTGGTGGCAGACCAGCCACTACTGCCCACGAACATGTCAGCCGTGGCCTCGGAGTTCGAGTTTGGGGAAGCGGAGAAGGACGAGAAGCTCGGGGGGATGGTGAGCTTCGTGTTTTTCATCGTGGGCGCAATTTTCTCGCTGCTGGTTGGGCGCCTTGCGGACCGCATGAGGCGGACGACGCTGGTCTGCTCCATGATGCTGCTGGGCTCCAGCGGCACCTTTGCGAACTCACAGGTCCGCAGCTTCTCGGCCTTGCTCTTCTGCCGCGGCGCCGTGGGCGCCGCCACGGGCGGCCTCATTCCTGCCAGCTTCGCCCTGATCGGGGACATGTATTCCCCCGAGGAGCGGCCGCATGCCATCGCCATCGTCTCCATTGTCTCAGGCCTGGGGCTCTCACTGGGACAGGGGCTCGCCGGCTTCATGGGCACGGCCTTCGGCTGGCGGGCGCCCTTCGCGCTCGTCGGCGCCCTCGGCTGGGCCGTCACGGCCCTCCTGACCTTCGCCCTGGAACTCCGTGCAGAGCCCGCGGAGCCTGCGCAGCCTGCGGAGCCGGCGTCCGCGCAGCCCTCTAGGCAGCCCGCGTCCACGCCGCTGAACGAGCCTTCGAGCCCGCGGCCCTCGTCGCGCGTGTCGTTGATGAAGCCCACGGTGCTCTGCATATGCCTTCAGGGCATCACCGGCTGTGTTCCCTGGGCGGTCATCGGCACCTTCATGACGGACTACCTCGCCACCAACGTCCACATGGGCGTTCCTAGTGCCACAGCTGTGCTGTTCAGTTTCGGAATTGGCTGCACTACTGGCACGGTCACAGGTGGAAAGCTGGGCCAATATCTCTACAAGAAGGACAAAAGGCTGCAAGGCTGGCTCATGGCTGCGACGGTCTGGGGTGGGATGCTGCCCATGTTCTGCCTCTTTGCTCCCCGGCACATCCTCGGAGCACATCTTCCTTTGGGGCAGAAGTTTTTTTCAGACTCGTGCCCCTGACACAAACACCTCCGGAACAAACACCCCCCGCGCCACCCCGCGAAACTGTGGACATGGCAACCTCGTAACAGTTGTAAAGCATGGTACGCCAGTGCTATAAACCAGTGGCCAATCCGCTTGTTAGCCGTGGGCATCTTCCCAGGCCTTGGGTGAAGCCCACCCTTTCATCTTCCACCTCCTGGCGCTCTCCGGGGGGTTCCTGGCCTCCGTCCCGCCAGTGAGCCCCAGCTCACCGTGGGTCCGTGCTGGAATAAAAGTCCCCAAACGTCTGCTGAGTACTCCATAGAACTCAAAAGCACAAGCAGGCAAGTACACCTTGAGGGGGTGTTTCAGTTTTCAGGGTGGACGTTCGCTTGCCTCTGACGAAAGCTGATGCCCGGCATTCCGGGTATCGTGCTTCAGCTCAGGAATGCCAAGGCTGTGCTGCTGAATGTTGTGGCCACCCACTCGCGGGGCACAGTCTTCGGGGCTCCTGGGACCGGCACTGGGTTTGAACATGTTTGAACGTCACGAGACATAGACCAAGATGTGACGCAGCATGCCCTCTTGGGCTTCTTCCAACTCCTGATGCGGTGGTCAGCTTTCTGCGCCTGAGCCCTCCCAGGTCTACACCATCATGGACGACCTCGGCAAGGCTCCGTTGTAGCCTCTTAGGAGCAATTGAAGAGCAAGATGTTTTGGCCAGAGTCGCGGCACCAGCAAGCCCTGAAACGTTGAAGTCTCGCGCCAGGGCTTGGGGCCTGCTCTGGTTGCCAGCTTTGTCCGGGGCATGGGGCGTCAGGACAGGACATCGGAACATATCGGAACATGGACAAAGGGCTGGAAGGGATCTTGCACTGCAAGTTCTTTTCATGAGCCCTTTTTTTAGGCCGGAAGCCCTCCAAAGCCTCGTGAAGGACTCCTTCTTGCTGGGCATGGCGTTCTGGCTGCCCTGCGGCCTCTTTTGTGCTGCTTGGACCAGCGACAGATTGATGCCACGACAGAAGACTCGAGGTCCTACTCAGTCTTTTGCAGACTTGGGGCCTTGGGGCCAGTTCCTGAGTCATTGTGGTTGCTGTTTGTGGCACATGCTTGGGAAAAGAGTACAGTAGCTGGAAGTTTTCGGGCGTTATGTTCTGTTTTGTGGTTTTGGCAAGTTGGAGTTTCCACTGGGTCTGGGTGGTCTGGGGATCCCAGGCCCAAACCCAAACACCCTCCGCAACCTGGGACTCTGCACGCAGTTCCACTGTCGGGTCGCTAGGTGCCTTTGGTAGTGTTGAGAAATTTCGGCTGCTTCCACGAAAGCATCTGGTCCTGATGCCCCAAGATAGGGAGCCCCTTTGTGAACACCCCCTGGCCCCAATGAACCCTAGAACTGGCCGGTGATGCGTTCAGGCTCTCACTGCTTTCACCGTGCCGTATGACGACCTGTCGGACAAGCCGGAGGAAGCTGCTTGACTCATGTCGCATGCACGTCCTTTGTAGAGGGTGATGTCTGAGAATGTGGAGGTGACTTGGACTTCACTTACATCCTCTGCAACCATGTTGTGCTATGTGCTGCTTCTGTTCTGGGTGCTCGTGGAGCCCAGGTCTCTGCAACTGTCAATGAGCCAGGCCGATGCGCCTGATTCCCCGCGCCTGGAGAACGGGCGAATCTGGGGACCAATGGTCAAAAACTTGCGCCTGATTTGGTCCATCCGTTCGCCTTTTCATGACTCTATTCGCCAGAGAAACGTAGGATACCCTAGGCAGAGCCTCCCGAATTCAGCCAGAGTTTGCACGGGAAACTAGAAGGAAGTGGCCCAAATGATTTTTCCGGGGCTGGAAATCATCTTGACGGTTTTTTTCAGGGCCTTGGCTGGCTATGGTTCCTGACCTCTGCTTCTGGCCTTAGGCAGAGCCTTCCGAGTTTTGAGGAGTTACATGCGCGGGTGTTGCCTCGAGATGTCGCCGTTGTCGTTCCTGCTGCCATTGGCCACTTTCGCAGCCATACTACCCCCCCCCCCTATGTCGTGTGTAACATAACTGGACCCATAGCATGTGACTCCCTTGAACTCCTGGCTCCTTGACAGGTTTGCTTGGGACAGCATCTTGAGCCCCACCTTGAGCCCAGATAAAACTTCCGAGCCCTGCAACTGGCCTATCGCCCTCGGGGGTGGAAGTCGGGGAGGCACCAGGATGTTTGAAAGTGCAGCAAGCACACCTGGCTGCTCGAGCCTCGGAGTCGTAGCATCTTCAGGGACCCTCAAGGTCGTGTCTATGGCAAAATGGCCATGGCTGACGAGGACATGCTCCTGGCCCATAAAGACATCGAGTTGCAGGTGACGCCGACCGGGCGGCGCATGGCCCCATGGGCCAAGGTGTCCTTGCTTGGTCTGCTCGTCGCGGCGATCTTGGGTGCATGTCTTTACCACCGGGGCTCCATGTCTCCTTCGGAGCCCAACGACTTCACTAAGCTTTCGATGGTGGTGCAGGTGGCAGATGCAGCCACGGAGAAGTACGTGGCGCTGAAGAATCACGACGCTTTCAGCTACGTGATCTTCGCGATCAAAGACACTGCTGTCGTGCCTGTCTCCGTGGGGGACAAGGCTACAGATTTCAAGAGCCGTGTTGATGCTTTCAAGGACTTTGTGATTGCTTTGCCTTTAAACGAGCCACGCTTTGCCGTGGTGCAAGTGCCCCTGGCGGATGAAAAAACCATCAAGACGACCTTCATCAGGTGGATTCCGGACACGGCCCGCAACAAACAGAGGATGATGTACACTGCTGCTGCAGGTGGCGTCGAAGGGAAATTTTCAGGTCTGGACTCTTCGTATTTTGCGACGAACAAGTGCGACCTGACCCTGCGGTATGTGAGGCCCTGAGGCGCTGAGGCCCTGAGGTTGTCGCGCCTGGCAGCCTCCGAATAGCCTCCGATCGACTCCGCTCGACTGAGATGGACCCTCTGATCTCTCGACTCTGGAAAAGACTCCGAGAGGCGCTTCGTCATCCATCTGGGCTTCGCCCAATTGCCTTCACTTGAACAGAGCCTAGAGGGCCCAAGGCTGGCATGAGCATGGGCAGGAAAAGGGCTGAAAGGGTGCCGGCCGCAGCCTTGCAAGAGCACCAATGAAGCAGCTCGCCGAACAGCCTGGCTCAATCTCAAGCTGTGCAAGTGTATGGAATAGTGTTTGCAGATGTCTTGCGTGTGTAAGCAGGGGGCCACGTAGCCATACCATGAGATGCCATGAGATCTTCGAGCACCCAAGATACCGAGCTGTCGTTCCATCTTGCACCGGTTCGTACCAAACAAATTCAGCTAGCTGCCCAAAGGGCGGACGCTGGCTTGCCGCAATGGCTTACAGACATACGGTGGCCGCGCGCTCATTAATTTTGGTTCCCAAGCAGTGCTTGCACTTTGGGCTTCCTACGTTTAGAGTAGGGATTCAAGTGCGCTGACCTCGCGGCGTGCCCGCACACGCCCGACACCGTCGCGGGAGCGCTGTGCTTATTTCAGGGCCCGCACACGTCAGGAGGAGGTGTCCCAAACCTTGCGAATAGCATGCTTTTGGCCTCCAGGTCCCTTGCACCTTCCGTACTTGAAATTGTGCTCATGCCGCGAGCCCGTGCCCTTCTTTCGTGCATTTAGGGCTGCTGGATGGGTTCGCTTCGAATGTCGATTTGGAAAGTTGCTTTTTGCTGTGTTGCGAACGGTGCGCTTGCCTGAGTCCATGCGCCCGCTCCTCGTAAAGTGCAGCCCTGTCGTCGCCTTTGCGCTCCTGACAGGGTGTTTAGGATTTGCTTTTGCGGTGCTTTTCCGGTGTTCTTGGAGTGCTCTGTTGGGGTACAAAGCTCTCAGCTCTCCGGGATGCCGGCATCATGAACGCATGCTGCACATCGACCGCCTCGGCTGCGACGGACTTGAAGGGCCTGCATTAAATTGTGTAATGTGTATAATATCTAGTCTTTGGCTTGTGCAATGGGAATCTTCACAATCGCTAAGAGGTCTGAGGCTCCTGCAGCAGTCCCAGGCACAATTTCGGTTCTCCATGCAAAGCTCGAGGAGGGAACGCGGGGTGTAGCGTGCATCGCAGACAAAGGTAAACGGGGTCGCAGAATTTCTCATACGCAGGGCCAGACTTAGGGGGGGGTGGGGGTCCCAAGGTGGTCCCAGGGAAGGTCCGATCCCAAAGAACAAGAAGTCGTGGCTGCTAGGGACTCGATATTTTCGGTCTGCACACTTGCGACAGCGAAAGTTTCGGATTTTGAAGTTTGATAATGCGACCGCAGGCCTCACAGACACTACGCCCTCCGGCGAAAGTTTCGGAGAGCGCAAACAGCCACAAACCTTTAAGGCTTCGCGTGGTCTGTGTGCCCCCAGGTCTGCTTGATCTAGACGCTTCTCGGGCCGGAAGGGCGAATCATGAAGCCAGTGGCTGGATGCGTACATCAACATTCAGATAACATACATCAAACCAGTCTAATGTAAAGCTTGAGAAATTGGTGCATATAGTTGTCTATACGTATATATACTAATGTATGTATGTATGTATGTATGTATGCATGCATGCATGTATGTATGTATGTATATATACAAAAGGCCACACATATAAGATGCCTCTGCGTTGCTTCCGAACTAGGTCGCTGCGCTGTGCGTGGTGCTGGTTGTTTCTGCCAGCGCCCAGCTTCTTCGTCCATGTTTGGCAGTCTATGGCATTCTGTGCCTCAAAACGAGATTCTCTGTTTTTTTTCCCTAATGGCTCGACAATGCCATCTTTCATCTAACGAGTGAAGAAACTTTTTTTTTGTGGGCATCTGCAGAGATTGATCTTGTAGCCCGAGGAATGGAGCCGTGAATTTGGTGCAGCGTAAGCTGACGGCATCGTTGCTGAGCAGTCAAGCTCCAGTGGATGCCTTCGAGGCCGTAGAAGGGGGGGCCAATCGCGTCTGCCGGGGCATCAACGCGTCGGATGATGACAATTCCTACTACGTGGTGCATGGTGGAAGCAGGGCAGACAGCATCGAAGCCTGCAAGAGCGCTTGTGTCGACACTTTGGGATGCAGAGGCATTGAGTTCAGGCCTGGGCGTTGTGAAGTTTGGGTTCGTGTTGGTGGCATCCAAGCGGCTGCGGTGACCAATGGTCCGATTTGCCTGCGATATGTCCCCTTTGTCCTTGCGGAGGGCCAGCTCGATCGTGCCTGCCGGGGTGGAAGCGTTTCCGACAACAACCCGGCCTACTATGAGATCATGACCGCAAGCTCCATAGAGGCTTGCCAGGACCTCTGTTTGGGTTTGCATGCATGCGTGGGCATCGAATTCAGCGGCACGCGATGCGAAATCTGGACGCGGTCCGAGCGGATTGCCGCAACTGCCTCGCTTTCGCAGAGCATTTGCCAGGGCCTCAGCACTCTGCACACACAGCACGCGCAATGTGTGCATGTCATGTTGTCACTGTCACGTCTCTGGAAGCCGCAAGTATGTCGAACTGTGCCCGTGTTACTTTGTTATACTTTGCTGCTCCTTTCCCCGCCCGTCGTCATGCATATACATGATCCTCTGCAGCACCAAGGCCAGCCACGCGCACCTTTCATTCAACTCGATGGCAGTGATCGAGCCTGTCGAGGTCAGGATGCGTCCGACAATGAGCCCAGCTATTATACAAGCCACGAGTCCATATCGACGGAAGCCTGCAAGTCCTTGTGTGCTCAGAACCCGCTTTGTCAGGGCATTGAGGTGAGCTCCAATAGCTCCAGCGGCAGCTGCAAGGTGTGGACCCGGGCCTCCGGGATCCAGGCCACGGCGCCCCTTGCTGGAGCCCTTTGCCTCCGCTCTGGAACCCTTGGAGTACCTGATGCTTTCATGAAGGTGGATGGCGGCAGTGACCGGGCCTGCCGTGGCCAGTCGACCTCAGATTGGAGTCCCTCGTATTTTCTTTACTTCAGTGCTGCGCAGTCTCCCTCGCTCGATGACTGCAAGAGCAGGTGCCTGAAGAATTCAGACTGCAAAGGCATTGATTTCAGCGCCAACGGCTGCAATGTGTGGACGCGTCCCGTTACCACGTCCATCAGCTTCACAGGCTCCACGTGCCTGCAGTACGAGCCCTTCGTGGGCATTGATGGGGGAGACCGGCGAGGCTGTTTCGGCTCGTCGCCTCAGATAACTACCTTGGCTTTTCCCACATCGGACCAATGCAAGGCCCAGTGTGCAAAAACCCGCGCTTGCCAGGGCATCGAGTACAGCTCTTCACAATGCAACATTTGGACATCCGCCATCACGGGAAGCTACGCAAGTGATGCAAGGACCTGCATGCGCTATCAGCCCTTCGTCCCTGTGGGCGGTGGCCTAGACAAAGCTTGTGGTGGCATTGACTCAATGGACGCATGGCCCAGCTACTACACACTCGCAAGCTCTGAGTCCCTTTCGGTGGCATCGTGCAAGACCCTGTGCCTCTCAACCATTGGCTGCAGGGGCATTCAGTACAGTGCCACAGGTGGTGTTGGAACTTGCCAGGTTTGGACTCGCCGCGGGGGCATCCAATCCTCCAGAGACCTCAGTGGCTCCTTGTGTTTGCGCCTGGGGCCTTGGGACACCTGGGAGGATGCCAGCGCCTTCGTTCCAATGTACAATCCATCCAGTCCATCTGACAGCTACATTTGTGGTGGTGAGGGTCTGTTGGCGCAGCTTCATGGGCCTGAGAAGGCCGGATCTGTGCAAGACTGCGAGCTGCGCTGTGCTGCGATGCCTGGCTGCAGAGGCGTCGACTTCGGCACAGGTGGATGCCGAACTTGGCACGGCTCCGGAGCTGTCGCAGCGTCCGCAGCTCAATCTGGATCGGCTTGCCACAGCTTCCAGCCCTTCCGCGACGTGGACGGTGGCGAGGGCCGGGCGTGCCGGGGTGAGACTTCCGAGGACGTGCAGAGCTCCTACTACCTGGAGAGCTCGGCCACTTCATTGCAGGACTGCCAAGACCAATGCGTGAGGCACTCGGAGACAACCCTGGCAAGCGGAGCATGCAAAGGCATCTCGTACGACTCGTCTTCCGGCGCCTGCCGCGTGTGGACGCTTCCAGCCGGCATCGGGGCCACCGCTGCCGAGGCCGCGTCTTTCTGCCAGCGCTACGAGCCCTTCGTGGCCCTGGACGGCGGCCACAACCGAGCGTGCCGAGGATGGCATTCGCAAGACATCTCTGCCAGCTACTATACATCTTTCCTTGCTTCTGAAGTTGCCAGCCTGGAAGCCTGCCGTATCCGTTGCCTCAAGTTTACGAATTGCCGAGGACGGACCTTACGTCAAAGCATGTCAGGTAACTTTCGGGTTTGCAGCATGTTTGCAGGGTGCCGGAACCAGAGCATCTTGGCGTAGGTGATTATGATATTCGGATATGAATATAGATGAGGTGAGGGGGAGACACGGGAGACACGGGGGTATACACGCAGAGCGAGGCGTCGAATTCGGCCCGGACGGCTGCAAGATCTGGACTCGAGATGTCCGGGCGACGGCTGAAGCATTCGGTTCCATTTGCCTACGGAGACTCAGCTCGCAAAAAGCAGCATGACTCCGTATGAAGCAACATGAACAGCATCTCAGGATGCTTGAAATATTCGAAGATCCCCAAAGCCAGCTTTGCCGAGGTTTGCGTCCTTGGGCCTGGAGGAGGTGGCGGGCGCGGCGGACGCCTTCCAGCCGGTGGAGGGCGGCGCAGGGCGGGCCTGCCGAGGGGCCAACAGCACGGACACGCAGGGGTCCTACTACGACTACTACCACCCCTCGGTGGTGACGACCATGTCCCGTTGCAAGGCCCTATGCATTGAGACGTCGGGCTGCCAGGGCATTCAGTTCAGTATCCATGGCTGTCAGATTTGGACCCGTGTGGGTGGAATCCAAAGCACGGCCCCGTCGCCGGACCTGACCTGCCTCAGCTACAAGCCCTTCCGGCTCGTGGATGGCTTCAGCGACCGGTCCTGTCGCGGGACAAGCGTGCAGGACAACGCCCCCTCCAACTTCCTGAGCCTCGCGTCGCCTTCGTTGGCAGCTTGCCAGAGCAGCTGTGCACAAGAGCCCGGATGCAAAGGAGTGGAGTACAACGTCAGCGGCACGGCGTGCGAGGTGTGGACTCTGCCCTCGGGGATCACGGCAAGTGTGGCATCGCCAGGGACCACGTGCATGAGGTACGAGCCCTTCGTCGCAGCAGACGGCGGCCTCAACCGGTCATGCCGGGGAGCAGATGTGGATGATGACTGGCCGAGCTACTACGTGGTCCGCGAGTACACCTGGTCCTCTGGCCCCTCCATCGAGGAATGCAAGGGCCAGTGTTTGTCGACGCCCGGCTGTCGAGGTGTGGAGTACACGAAAGCCCAGTGCAAGATCTGGACCCGTCAGGGCGGGATCCAAGCGACCGCTGCGAGTCCGGGATCTTTGTGTCTGCGCTTTGGTCCCTTCGACCCCCTGGAGCTGCTCGATGCCTTCTGGCCCTTCGACGGCGCTGACCGCGCGTGCCGCGGGAGCTCCCGCACGGACCTCCTGCCCAGCTACTACACGTCCGTTGGCCCGGACAAGGCCGCATCCCTCGAAGCATGCAAGAGCCTTTGTGTTCGCACCGCTGGCTGCAAAGCTATACAGTTCACCTCCACCGAGTGCCAGCTCTGGACAAGGAGTGGAGGCGTGGAGGCCACGGTCACGCAACCCGGCTCCTCCTGCCTCCTCTTCCGGCCCTTCCGTGCCGTGGACGGTGCCGAGGACCGGCGCTGCGCCAGCAGCGGTGCCAACGGCGGTGCCAGCGACAGCCAGCCCAGTGACAGCTTGGCCTCCTGCCAGATGCTGTGCCAAGATTCTCCATGGTGCGCCGGCATCAGCTTCGAGTCTGGCAATTGCTCCGTGCACACGGGCGAGTTCTCCAGTGAGGCAAGCCAAGGTAGCCGGTGCCTCAGCTACGAGCCTTTCGTGACGGTGGATGGCGGCGTGGACCGGGCCTGCAGAGGCTCGCACGAAGACGACCTCAGCAGCTACTACTACAAGGGCTACGCCCTGACGGAAGTGCCGACGCTGGAGCGCTGCAAGCTGCGGTGCGCCGCCACGGAGCAGTGCCAGGGACTGGACTTCTCCGCTGAGGGCTGCAAGGTCTGGACCCGGACCCAAGGCATCCAGGCCACCAAGGCGAGCCCCGGAAGCCACTGCCTGCGGTATGGAGCCGCAGACCCTTTGCTGAGTGCTTCTGCTTTCGAGGCAATGGATGGAGGTATGAACCGAGCATGCCGAGGCCAGGACGAGTTGGACAACTTGGACAGCCACTACACCGTCATTACCTCGTGGCCGGAGAATTCATCAATGGATGCGTGCCAGAGACTCTGCATGAACACGGCTGTGTGCAAAGGGATAGAATTTCGTTTAGGCGCCTGCGAGCTTTGGACTCTGGCGGGTGGGATCCAGGCTTCAGTTCATTCAGCCGGAAGAGCCTGCTTTCGATACACGCCTTTCCAGACGCTGGATGGATTCTCAGACCGAGTTTGTCGTGGGAGCAGCGTGACTGACACTCAAAGCAGCTACTACAACATCTACTCTCCAGCTGAGGCTCCCACACTGGATGCTTGCAAAGCGCTGTGCATGACGACTCCAAGCTGCAAAGGCATCGAGTACCGAGGCTGGTGTGAGGTCTGGACGCGGCCAGAAGGAATCGGAGCGGTTGCGTATTCTCCCGGGTCGCAGTGCACCCGCTATCTGCCCTTCATTAACATCGAGGGTGGGATCAACCGAGCATGCCGTGGTTCGAATCCATTGGACAGCTACAGCAGCTACTACAACTTTTTCAGTGGGACCACGATAGATGAATGCAAGGTCTTGTGCTCCAGGACACCTGGCTGCAAAGGCATCGAATTCCGTGATGAACGCTGTGAAGTCTGGACTCGGCGTGGTGGGATCCAGGCCTCGACGTATACTCGTGGCTCCTTGTGTATGAGCTACGGCGGGAGTGATCCTTTCGATGACAGTCATGCCTTCATTGCCCTGAATGGTGGCAATCCCACGATGTGCCATGGCTTGTCAAAAGTGTCCGATGGCCAGACTCCGTCATTGTACGACTGCCAAGTGAGATGTCTCTCCACGCCAGGCTGTCGGGGAGTCAGCTTCGGCTCTGGCTTAGGCTGCACAACCTGGCTGGGAGGGGAGCTGTCAGAGCTTTCGCCTGAGTCACCCACTGGGATTTGGGGTGTTTGCCACAGCTTCCAGCCCTTCCGCGATGTGGACGGTGGCGAGGGCCGGGCGTGCCGGGGTGAGACTTCCGAGGACGTGCAGAGCTCCTACTACCTGGAGAGCTCGGCCACTTCATTGCAGGCCTGCCAAGACCAATGCGTGAGGCACTCGGAGACAACCCTGGCAAGCGGAGCATGCAAAGGCATCTCGTACGACTCGTCTTCCGGCGCCTGCCGCGTGTGGACGCTTCCAGCCGGCATCGGGGCCACCGCTGCCGAGGCCGCGTCTTTCTGCCAGCGCTACGAGCCCTTCGTGGCCCTGGACGGCGGCCACAACCGAGCGTGCAGCGGTTCAAGTGGCGACTACACGGAGCTCAGCTTCTCCCAAGCCTCCAACTTGGATGCCTGCCGCAGTCGCTGCGTGGCCACTGCAGGCTGCACAGGCCCGGGGGGATGGGGGGGGGAAGGAAAGTCGTACATTCCCATATAGGTAAGCATTTGGAAAGGCCCACCAAGCAAGGAACGCGAGAGCTCTCACTCTGCCAGGCAGCCAACTTATGGCTTCTCTCGACTCTACCTGACTGTGCTACCTCTCTCGCGCTCTCGCTCTCTTTCCCTCTCTCTCGCTCTCTCGCTCGCTCGCTCTTTGTGCAAGATTCGATGAGAAGCGCACGTGGCTTTCTTGGCGGGGAGGGGGGGGGCGCGCAGTTGCCTCCGCATCCGCAGAGGCATCGACTTCAGCCAGCAGCGCCTCCGCTGCCGAGTCTGGCTGCGCAGGGTCCGGAGCACCCTCTTCGAGTCCGGCTCGATCTGCCTGCAGCTGCTCAGCTCCGAGATGCCCCGGTCCTCGTTTTCTTAGTCGGGGCGAAATTCAATGGGGCGAACACGTCTGAATAGTCTGAATACTGAAGAGCAAGCAGCAGAGCAGCCACATTCACGAAACATTCAGGAAACGGAGGGCACGGTCAGCAAAACAGAGTCAGAAGGCGAGCCTTGAGAGTCAAGAAACGGGAAAGCCACAAAGGGGAAACCGGGAAACACAAGCAAATCCTTGACGCGGCCATGTTGGTCGTAAGGAAGAGTCAGACAACAGGCTCGCCAAGGGCTTGCTTGTGGGAAGATTTAGTGCCAATGTTGTGCCCGAGTCACCGAGTGACCGCCGACGCTTGGCGAGCCAGGGGAGGTGGTCACTAAGCCACAATATTCAACAAAAAATGACCTCCGCAAAAGAATCTGCGCTCGAGCAAGGCCCCACAGTGGCTCCCGCAAGAGCCGCGGCCTTTTGCAGAACAAATGCAGCGACACTGAGCAAAACCTGCACGCATGTTGGTCCATTGAAAGGCTTTCTTGTGCGAGTGCAACACCTTCGAAAAAAACTTCCTCGGAGTCAAAAAGCCGTTCTAGCAAGGCGCTAAAATGATTCCCCAAGAGGTGCGGTCATTTGGAAACAAATTCAAGCGACACTGAGCAAAGTCCTGCATGCGTGCATGCTGCATGCGTGCATTTTTGGTCGTGAGGTGTGGCGTGCCCCAGTGACCGCCGTTTTTGGCAAGCCGGGGGGGACGGTCGCTGGGACACAAAGTCAACCCAAGAACCTCCCAAAAAGCTTCTACAGAGTCAACTGCTCCAGTAAGGCCTCAAGCTGCCTCCCCCAAAAGGCGGGCGCGGTCATGTGGGAACAAATTCAAGCTGAACACGTCCTGTGCGCGCATTTTGGTCGTGACATGTGGAAGAATCAGAATGTCCCCGTCTCCGCCTCTGACTCTCTTGGTGGGTTTCCTGACTTTGCAAACCCCGCTTCCTGAATTCCTCTCGCTGTTTTCTGACATTGCTCCAGAAACCAGACACTTGACAAAGGATTTGTCAACAACAAAACACCCTCTCTAAAAAAAAGCTCTCCAGACATCTCGAAGTGTGGAAAACACCACAGAACCGCTCAGCATCCCAATTCCAATTATTGCCGGTGGTTTCATGTGGCAGTTCCCTTTGCCAAGGTTTGGGTCCTTGGGCCTGGAGGAAGTGGCGGGCGCGGCGGACGCCTTCCAGCCGGTGGAGGGCGGCGCAGGGCGGGCCTGCCGAGGGGCCAACAGCACGGACACGCAGGGGTCCTACTACGACTACTACCACCCCTCGGTGGTGACGACCATGTCCCGTTGCAAGGCCCTGTGCATTGAGACGTCGGGCTGCCAGGGCATTCAGTTCAGTATCCATGGCTGTCAGATTTGGACCCGTGTGGGTGGAATCCAAAGCACGGCCCCGTCGCCGGACCTGACCTGCCTCAGCTACAAGCCCTTCCGGCTCGTGGATGGCTTCAGCGACCGGTCCTGTCGCGGGACAAGCATGCAGGACAACGCCCCCTCCAACTTCCTGAGCCTCACGTCGCCTTCGTTGGCAGCTTGCCAGAGCAGCTGTGCACAAGAGCCCGGATGCAAAGGAGTGGAGTACAACGTCAGCGGCACGGCGTGCGAGGTGTGGACTCTGCCCTCGGGGATCACGGCAAGTGTGGCATCGCCAGGGACCACGTGCATGAGGTACGAGCCCTTCGTCGCAGCAGACGGCGGCCTCAACCGGTCATGCCGGGGAGCAGATGTGGATGATGACTGGCCGAGCTACTACGTGGTCCGCGAGTACACCTGGTCCTCTGGCCCCTCCATCGAGGAATGCAAGGGCCAGTGTTTGTCGACGCCCGGCTGTCGAGGTGTGGAGTACACGAAAGCCCAGTGCAAGATCTGGACCCGTCAGGGCGGGATCCAAGCGACCGCTGCGAGTCCGGGATCTTTGTGTCTGCGCTTCGGTCCCTTCGACCCCCTGGAGCTGCTCGATGCCTTCTGGCCCTTCGACGGCGCTGACCGCGCGTGCCGCGGGAGCTCCCGCACGGACCTCCTGCCCAGCTACTACACGTCCGTTGGCCCGGACAAGGCCGCATCCCTCGAAGCATGCAAGAGCCTTTGTGTTCGCACCGCTGGCTGCAAAGCTATACAGTTCACCTCCACCGAGTGCCAGCTCTGGACAAAGAGTGGAGGCGTGGAGGCCACGGTCGCGCAGCCCGGCTCCTCCTGCCTCCTCTTCCGGCCCTTCCGTGCCGTGGACGGTGCCGAGGACCGGCGCTGCGCCAGCAGCGGTGCCAACGGCGGTGCCAGCGACAGCCAGCCCAGTGACAGCTTGGCCTCCTGCCAGATGCTGTGCCAAGATTCTCCATGGTGCGCCGGCATCAGCTTCGAGTCTGGCAATTGCTCCGTGCACACGGGCGAGTTCTCCAGTGAGGCAAGCCAAGGTAGCCAGTGCCTCAGCTACGAGCCTTTCGTGACGGTGGATGGCGGCGTGGACCGGGCCTGCAGAGGCTCGCACGAAGACGACCTCAGCAGCTACTACTACAAGGGCTACGCCCTGACGGAAGTGCCGACGCTGGAGGGCTGCAAGCTGCGGTGCGCCGCCACGGAGCAGTGCCAGGGACTGGACTTCTCCGCTGAGGGCTGCAAGGTCTGGAACCGGACCGAAGGCATCCAGGCCACCAAGGCGAGCCCCGGAAGCCACTGCCTGCGGTATGGACGGCGTGATCCCGTCTTGGACACGTCCTCTTTCAAGCCCGTGGATGGTGGCGTCGGGCGCGCGTGCCGTGGTCAAGACGAGACAGACAACTTGGACAGCCACTACACGGTGCACGTGTTCTGGCCGGAGAACTCTACGTTGGAAGCGTGCCAGCAGCTTTGCATGGAAACCCTTGCCTGCAAGGGCGTGGAGTTCCGGCTGGGAGCTTGCGAGATTTGGACTCTGGCCGGCGGCATCCAAGCATCGGTAGGAGCACCCGGAAGGACCTGCATGAGATATGAGCCGTTCCAGTCTGTCGATGGGTTCTCTGACCGTGTTTGCCGTGGCAGCAGCTCCAGCGATACTCAGGACTCCTACTACGCCATATATTCACCAACCCAAGCTCCTTCGATGGAAGCCTGCCAGTCCTTGTGCAAGACGACTCCAGGTTGCCAGGGAATTGAGTACCGAGGTTGGTGCGAGGTGTGGACTCGACCTGATGGCATTGGGGCAGTGGCGCCCTCACTGGGATCGCAATGCCTGCGGTACCAGCCTTTCGCTGGCGTGGATGGCGGGGTGAACCGTGCCTGTAGGGGAGTGGATCCCACCGACAGCTGGAGCATCTACTACACAGTCTTTGCGCAGGAGCAGGCAGCTACTGTAGAAGCTTGCAAAGCCAAATGCATTGCAGCATCAGGTTGCAGGGGCATTCAGTTCCAACCTGGAAGGTGTGAGGTGTGGACGAGGCGTGCTGGGATTGGGGCCACTGTAGCCAGCGCGGGCACGATCTGCATGCGCTACGACACCTTCAACGTGGCCGAGGCGAGCGATGCCTTCGTGACAGTCGGCCCCAACCAGGCATGTCGAGGATCAAGCCCAACTGACGACCAGCCGAGCTATTACATTCTTCGTGGGCCAGATGTGGCTGCCAATGAAGAAGAATGCCGACTCTTGTGCATGGCCACACCTGAGTGTCAGGGAATCGACTTTAGCTCGGATGGTTGCAAGGTCTGGACAAGAAAAGCCGGCATCGAGAGCTCTGCCGCCTGGGGAGGTGCCACGTGCTTGCGATATGATCCTTTTGAGCCAGTGGATGGTGGTGAGGGCCGTGCGTGTCGCGGGGCTGATGTCAATGATGACTCGCAAGACAACTATGTACTGCATACCGTAGCTACAGTGCCCACTCTTGTAGACTGCAAGATCAAGTGTGCCAGTACCACGGGCTGTAAAGGCGTGTCCTTCTCCGAATCTGGCTGTCAAGTATGGATCCGGTCGGGCGGCATCCAGGCGAGCGCCCCGAGTAGCAGCTCCTGCTTCCGCTACATGCCCTTCACCCCTGTCGGCGGAAACGACCAAGCCTGTCGAGGAGCCCACTCCCAAGACAACAACGCCAGCTACTACCAGTCATTCTCACCAGAGCAGGTGCCGTCCATGGAACTCTGTCGCTTACGGTGTGCTGCGACAGATGGCTGCACTGGAGTCGAGTTCGGTGCCTTGGGGTGCAAAGTGTGGACTCGCTTCGAAGGCATCCAGGCAACGGAGTTCGTGGCTGGCTCCCTGTGCCTCCGCTTCGGCAGCCCGAGTCCGCTCCTCCGCGCGAGTGCTTTCAAGCCCGTGGATGGTGGCGTCGGGCGCGCGTGCCGTGGTCAAGACGAGACAGACAACTTGGACAGCCACTACACGGTGCACGTGTTCTGGCCGGAGAACTCTACGTTGGAAGCGTGCCAGCAGCTTTGCATGGAAACCCTTGCCTGCAAGGGCGTGGAGTTCCGGCTGGGAGCTTGCGAGATTTGGACTCTGGCCGGCGGCATCCAAGCATCGGTAGGAGCACCCGGAAGGACCTGCATGAGATATGAGCCGTTCCAGTCTGTCGATGGGTTCTCTGACCGTGTTTGCCGTGGCAGCAGCTCCAGCGATACTCAGGACTCCTACTACGCCATATATTCACCAACCCAAGCTCCTTCGATGGAAGCCTGCCAGTCCTTGTGCAAGACGACTCCAGGTTGCCAGGGAATTGAGTACCGAGGTTGGTGCGAGGTGTGGACTCGACCTGATGGCATTGGGGCAGTGGCGCCCTCACTGGGATCGCAGTGCCTGCGGTACCAGCCTTTCGCTGGCGTGGATGGCGGGGTGAACCGTGCCTGTAGGGGAGTGGATCCCACCGACAGCTGGAGCATCTACTACACAGTCTTTGCGCAGGAGCAGGCAGCTACTGTAGAAGCTTGCAAAGCCAAATGCATTGCAGCATCAGGTTGCAGGGGCATTCAGTTCCAACCTGGAAGGTGTGAGGTGTGGACGAGGCGTGCTGGGATTGGGGCCACTGTAGCCAGCGCGGGCACGATCTGCATGCGCTACGACACCTTCAACGTGGCCGAGGCGAGCGATGCCTTCGTGACAGTCGGCCCCAACCAGGCATGTCGAGGATCAAGCCCAATCGACGACCAGCCGAGCTATTACATTCTTCGTGGGCCAGATGTGGCGGCCAATGAAGAAGAATGCCGACTCTTGTGCATGGCCACACCTGAGTGTCAGGGAATCGACTTTAGCTCGGATGGTTGCAAGGTCTGGACAAGAAAAGCCGGCATCGAGAGCTCTGCCGCCTGGGGAGGTGCCACGTGCTTGCGATATGATCCTTTTGAGCCAGTGGATGGTGGTGAGGGCCGTGCGTGTCGCGGGGCTGATGTCAATGATGACTCGCAAGACAACTATGTACTGCATACCGTAGCTACAGTGCCCACTCTTGTAGACTGCAAGATCAAGTGTGCCAGTACCACGGGCTGTAAAGGCGTGTCCTTCTCCGAATCTGGCTGTCAAGTTTGGATCCGGTCGGGCGGCATCCAGGCGAGCGCCCCATTGAGTAGCAGCTCCTGCTTCCGCTACATGCCCTTCACCCCTGTCGGCGGAAACGACCAAGCCTGTCGAGGAGCCCACTCCCAAGACAACAACGCCAGCTACTACCAGTCATTCTCACCAGAGCAGGTGCCGTCCATGGAACTCTGTCGCTTACGGTGTGCTGCGACAGATGGCTGCACTGGAGTCGAGTTCGGTGCCTTGGGGTGCAAAGTGTGGACTCGCTTCGAAGGCATCCAGGCAACGGAGTTCGTGGCTGGCTCCCTGTGCCTCCGCTTCGGCAGCCCGAATGAACTGCTTGATGCAGGCGCCTTCAGGCCCATCGACGGTGGTGTCGACCACGCTTGCCGTGGCCGCAATGAGACCGACAATCTGGACGAGTACTACACACTATTCTGGGCGTGGCCGGAGAACGCCTCACTCCAGGCTTGTCAGGACAGGTGCGCTTGAAGCTCAGTTGAAGTGCACTTCACACATAACACACATATGCGCACACTCGGATCAGTTGACATGACAGCTCAATGACCACACATGGGACACGCCATGGCGGAAGGGAAGCCAAGCTTGCAAGTTGAGGTCTTTCTGAAGTTCTGAAGTCAAAAGGTTGCCGAACGTGCATGTTTTTGCTCTCAGGTGAGAACTCCAGGTTGCAGAGGCGTCGAGTTTCGGATGGGAGGGTGTGAGATTTGGACGACTCTGATCGAAGCGACGGTGCCGTCCGCTGCAAGGACTTGTCTCAAGTACGAACCTTTTCGGACCTTGGGTGGCTTCAAAGACCGTGTTTGCCGGGGCAGTTCTTCAACAGACAGCCTGAGCAGCTACTACACACTCACTGGCCCGGATGTTACCCCAACCCTGGATGCTTGTCAGAATCTGTGCGTAGCAACTCCGGCATGCAAGGGTGTCGAGTACAGAGGCGGCTGGTGCGAAATCTGGAGGCGCCCAGAAGGCATCGGGGCAGTCGCGGTGTCTCCTGGTGCCGACTGCTGGCGGTACGAGCCCTTCCTAGAGGTGGACGGCGGCCTGAACCGAGCCTGCCGTGGGGCCGACGCCGCGGACAGCTGGAGTAGCTACTACACTCTGGTGTCAGCGAGCTCGCTCTTGGAATGCAAAGAGGCGTGTCTGACGCAATGGAACTGTAAGGGCCTTGAGTACCGCCAGGGCTCTCTGCACTATCCCGGGAGGTGCGAGGTCTGGACGCGCCAGGCTGGCATCCAGGCATCGGCCCCGAGCACGGGCGCGCTTTGCCTCCGGCTTGGGGGGAGTGAAGAGCTGGCGACGGATGCCTTCTTTGCTTTCCAGGGCGGCCTAAACAGGGCTTGCCGTGGCTCCGACCCAGCTGATGACCAGGCAAGCTACTACGACTGGTATGGGCCGGCAGGGATCGAAACCTTGGAGCAATGCAAGCTCCGCTGTGCGTCCACGCCAAACTGCCGAGGCATCGACTTCAGCGATGAAGGATGCAAGGTCTGGACACGGGAGGTAGCAAGCAGCTCAGAGAGTGCAGGATCCACGTGTTTGCTTTTCGAGCCCTTTCAGCCAGTTGATGGTGGAGAGAATCGTGAATGCCGCGGTTCTGATACCTCAGACATCTCTGAAGGCTACTATAGCCGGAGTCCGGCACTGTCACTCCAGGACTGCAAACTGCAATGTGCCACCACCAGCGGCTGCACCGGCATCTCCTACAACACAACTGGGTCAAGCTGCCGTGTTTGGACCGCCACGGTTCGAAGCTCCGTGGAGGCTTCTGGAAGCAGCTGCCTGCGCTACGGGCCCTTTGTGGACGTGAATGGAGGTCGAGACCAGTCTTGCCGAGGAGGACACATCTATGACAATGCTGCCTTCTACTATCGGTCGTACACATTGGCTCAGGTGCCCAACTTGGAGGCCTGCAAAGTGGAGTGTGTCGGTACACGCAGCTGTAAAGGGGTCGACTTCAGCCCTCTCCAGGGCTGTAAGGTCTGGACCAGGGTGCAGGGCATCGAAGCAACAGCCGCGGCTCCCGGCTCCGTGTGCGTCCGCTACGGCGTGCCCGATCCCCTGCGCTCTGCGGACGCCTTCCCGGGCATGGATGGTGGAATCAACCGAGCATGCAGAGGCGCCAACGAGACTGACAACGACGAGAAGCACTGGATCTTCTACCCAATCTCGCAAGCAACTTGTCTCATCACCCCGACTAATCGCGGCGAAAAGCACCCCGCTTTGAGCATGGCTTCGTAGGCATCGCTAGAGGGTCATTCTCTTAACCTCTTGACTAGGTCAGAGCCCAGAGGCCTGGAGGCCTAGAACGGCAGAATGGGCTAAGGTGAGGACACTCGAAGCCTGTCAGCTGCGATGCATCTTCAAGCCCGGCTGCATGGGAGTGGAGTTCAATCGATGGGGCTGCGAGGTCTGGATGCGCCCTGAAGGAATCCAGGCCTCCGTCTATGCATCCGGCTACCAGTGTTTTCGCTTCAAGCCCTTTGAAGCGGCAGATGGCTTCGACTCTTGCACGCAGGGAGATGCAGGGATAGCACAACACTGAGCAGTAAGAACTCACGCCCGGGTTGCAGACGCTTGCAGCAAGCTTGCACGCTCGCAGCACGCTAGCATGTTTGGAAGCACTCTGAAGTTGTTTGAGCTGCTCTTGCTTGCTCTTGTTCCCTTTTTGTTCCCTCCCGTCGATCCCAGCATGACCGTGCCTGCCGCGGGCAAGATGTTTCGGACAACATGGGCTCCTACCTGATCTTCTATGGCCTGTCATCCGGATATGATGGACTCTTGGCAGCACCCGCATCACCCGCCTCCTCGGAAGTTGTGAGCCTTCTCTGAACGTCAGACAAAAGCCGCTCTTCGAACCTTCACAAGGACAGCGGTCGACCTGCGAGCACCTGCCAGGAGCTGAGCCGTCAGTCCAGTCTACCACTTCCATCCAGCGAGTGTAGCGTCTGCCCTGCGGAACGCAATCCACTGAGCTACAATCTCCGCTTCAATCATATTCAATCTCAGCTACTTTTGAGGTGCGCGTCGACGTCCGGATGCAAGGGCATCGAGTTCAGCTCTGGCCACTGCGAGGTGTGGACTCGGGAAGCAGGCATCCAGGCGACTGTGCTTCGGTCGCGCTAGAACGCTCCAAAGTAATGAGATGGAAGAGGGAGAGGAAGGAGAGGAAGGAGAGGAAGGAGAGGAAGGAGAGGAAGGACAGGAAGGAGAGGAAGGAGAGGAAGGAGAGGAAGGAGAGGAAGGAGAGGAAGGAGAGGAAGGAGAGGAAGGAGAGGAAGGAAGCGAGGAAGCGATGAAGGCCAACTTCATGTCTACTTCTGCTGTAGCGCCGTTGAGTGAGGGCGACCCCTGTTGCCGAGGCCCCGGCGTTGGGATCTTCTTGCCTGCGTGCCCTGTCTCTCAAACATTTGATGAGAGTGAAGAGGGGGGGGGGGAATTGAGGAGAACCGGACGTGATCGGTTGTGTTTTTTTTTGAGCCGCGGAGGCTTCGAGCCGTTCTCGAACGTGGAAGGGGGCGTGGACCGGGCGTGTCGCGGGGAGGATCCCTTCGACAACTGGCCAAGCTCCCAAGCACAATAACGAAGGATGAACGAAGAACGATTGAACGTGCTCCGAGTGTTCTGATGCTGCAGGCATGTGGAAGTTGTATTGTTTGTCAGCCTGTTGAGACAGGAATACGGAAACGCAATGAAACGCAATAAAACGCGATGAAACCCAAAGCTTCGGTTTGGAGACCTCGGAGTCTGAGGCTACTACACACTGACCAGCGCCAGCTCGGTCCAGGCAGATGTTGCGTGCACCTTTCCACTCCTGCTTTATGTACTACTTGTAAATTAGCTCCATGTACTGCAAGGAACATGTACTTGTTCATATTGATTATCAGGCAAGTGCCCTGTTTTTTTTTTTGATTTCTTGTCCTTCTCAGGGCTGCAAGCAGCTCTGCATGAGCACGCCTGGCTGCCACGGCATTGAGTTCAGTAGCTCCGGCCGATGTGAGCTGTGGACGCGAGCGCCTTCCCTCAACTAGCTGCAGGAGACGGTCACAGAATAAGTGTTTGCAAAAGGCAGACGTAGCTGCGTAGCATTGGCTTACTTGGCGCTGCCTTGCCGTGCTCAGGCGAGGGGAATCGGAAGCTCCTCCGCTGCGGTGGGATACGTGTGCATGCGCTACGGCTCCTGGGACCCCTCGGATGTCCTCGATGGCTTCTTGCCCGCGGATGGAGCCTTCGACCGTGCCTGTCGCGGAAGGAATCGGACAGACATGGACCCCAGCCACTACGTGTCCTATGCACTGGACATCGCGCCGACTTTGGGGGCTTGCAAAGCGATCTGCACAGTCACCCCTGGCTGCAAGGGTGTGGAGTACAGCAACTTCGGCTGTGAAGTTTGGACCCGCGCTGAGGGCATCGAGGCGACGGCCGAAGTTTCTGGGTTCCAGTGCTATCGCTACGTCGCCTTTGAGCCCGTGGACGGGGGCACGGGGCGTGCTTGCCGGGGTGCAGATGCCTCAGACAACGCGCCGGGGAACTTCGTCCTCTACAGCCCCTCGGAGGTGCCCTCCTTGGATCAGTGCCAGGCGCGCTGTGTGGCCCGGCCCGGGTGCCGGGGAGTCTCCTACGACCCTTCAGAAGGCTGTGAGCTTTGGACGAGGCCCTTTGGCATCGAGGCCACCGTTGCCAAAGCCGGTTCCAGCTGCTTCCGCCACGAGCCCTTCACAAGTGCCGACGGCGGCCAAGACCGTGCCTGCCGCGGTGCGCAGCCTTGGGACAACTCCTCCGCCCACTACCGGGAAGCAACGCTTCCAATCCCGACGTTGGCAGCTTGCAAGGTGGCCTGCGTAAACTCCCCTGGCTGCAAAGGCAACACGGCTCTTCAGGTTACGGTGCATAACTGGATTGCAGGGGTTCTCAATGGCTGCCGGGGATCTTTCCTTGATAGAACTCTGAAGTCATAGCAGTGATGGCATTCCGGTGATTGTGAGTGCAGAATTCTGTGCATGCCTGGCATGTGTGCGCAGGGATGCCAGTAGATGCCATCGACTGCGACAGAGAAGTGTCATGCAGGGCCATACAGCACGCGCGCACACACTGACGCACAGCAGGGATGCGAACACTTGCCTCACTTGCCACGGATCTGGATTCAAGAGAGTAGCAAACCACGGTGCTGATTCGACTCCTCCCACCCCAGCTCAGCCTCTGGTTATTTGAGAATCTTACCAACTGCTTGTCAGACATGGATGTCGCTGAAAAACGAAGGCTTTGAACACCAAGGTATCGAGTTCCAGCCAACTGGCAAGTGTTTGATCTGGACGCGTCCTGGCGGAATCGACGCGACGGCAACCGCCTACGGCTCTATATGCCTCCGGCATGGGGCTACCCAAGCTGGAGCCACCGAAGAAGGAAGCCAGCTTGCATTCATCCTCCAAGCTTTTGCCATAATATGACGGGATGCTTGGAGTGTGCTTCCTACAGGGAAAGGCTTGAAGACCCACTGCACTCTTGGGAGACTTCAACACAGATCCACAGATCGGGAAACAACGTCAACCCTCAAACGGGTGACAATTTCATGATGGGATTTGGGTCGCCAGTGCAGGCCGTGAACATTGCATTCAAAGCATGTCCCAAAAGAAGGGCCGACTGTTGCTGAAGACTCCCCCCCCAAAAAACAACAACAACAATAACAACAAGAGTCACGTGAAGGAAGCTTGGTGGGCCAGATCCACTTGGCATTGGACCCACGGCTTTGCCTTGATATTGCGGGCTTCAACAACGGCGATTCCGTGCAAGTGGGGCCGTGCTCCTCCTCGGCTCGTTTCGTGATGAACGATGGCACAGCTCAGATTCGTTTGGCGGAGGATATGACGAAGTGCTTAGATGTGTCCGGTGGGGTCAAAAGCCGCTTGGCCCACGCCATCTGCTTTTCAGACGATTTTTCACAGACTCACCCGGCCTGGAAGTGTACTGAAGGCAACGGTACGCGGATCCAAGTCTGGGATTGCGAAACTCCGGCAACCCGGCTGAACCAGAGAAGGGCGTACGGGCTGCGCGGGCCGGGGTTCTGACAGGTCATGAGTTCCACGGCATGTCTGTCCTTACGTACACATGGCACACCTTATACATATATATATATATATAAATGAGTATATGAATAAGCATCGTATAGCGTGCAATATGTATATATATATATATGTATATATCCAGAGTGTTTGTTGCCAGCCCAGGTCCACGGCAACATGCAGTTTCTCTTTCCAGACGGTGGTGTTGGCCAACTCAGGCGCGAAGACTTCTTCTTGATTCCATACAGTTCCGGGCATGCGGCTCTTCAGAAGTAGTACCAAGTGTAGCAAGTGGTCAAGAGTACAGCACATGTGTCAGATGCATCCTACAAGAGTAGAATAGGAACATGTTTTTGGGGTCTGCCTCGTAAGCTTCCCGACTCGGGAGGTGGGCCACTTACCTGGACATGTGCCTGCAGCCCATGGGCAACACCAGCGGAAGCCAGGTCATCCTTTGGAATTGCAGGCTCGAATTTTGCGACAGCAACTTGCATGCTGCAGACTTTACTGTAGGGGGGGTGTTCTCTTTTCATGGCTTGTTCGGCTGGAAGCCGCCGTCTGCCGAGCAGGCGGGCCTCCGGCTACTCGCGCGTCGTCCTGCCCAGCGGGGAGATGCGGACGGTGCGCACGCCGACGCTTCGCGGGGATCGTCGTCCGTCCCTGCACTGTCTGCACCAAGATGTCCAGTAGACTGATGGTTTTGTCCGTGCCCAGCTGCTACTGACTGCGAATGGCCAAGGAAGTTTGTTGCCCACTATCTGCCATGGTTCCTGGGCAACAACGTCGACGAGGCATGTGCGAGGAGCGGGCCCGACTGCCCCTACAAGAACGACCACTGGTGTTCCGCCTACGGGAACTCCTACTACGCCAGTTATTTGGGTGCCTACGACATAACCGGTCCAAGCGTGATTGAGACCCAGTTGGATCTGATGAAAGCATCCGGTTTGGACGGCCTGTGGATTGACTATCAGATGCCCACTTGGGATGCCTCTGTAGACCGGATCGTCGCTGGTCTGAAGCAAAGAGGCATGGGTTTTGCCATCATGGTCGACGCAGCCACCTTCCCGGATGTGATGAATATTACAGCCGAGAAGGTCAAGAACTGGACCCAGGAGCCTCACTACTACCGCCACCAAGGCTTGCCGATTGTACCCGTGTGGAATAACAACTTCACCATCTTCACGCCGCTGCCCGTGAATGCGATCTACATCTCCCGCTTTGAGTTCGACCCGCCCGAGTGGGCATCCGACACGTACACCTGGGTTCAGGATGACTACCTCGTCAGGCCTGAGCATGCTGCGCGATGCCGCAGAAGCTTAAGTTAAGCATGCGTTGCAAGGGCCGTGATAGGATCGTTGGCAACGTTGTTCAGGTACTACGAGCAACATCATCCCGTGGTCTCCTCTGGCTCGGCATTCCGTGGATATCGCGATTGCTATTTCGACAAGACCCTCAAGGATCGCTCCGGGGCCGGGTCCCCCGGGTGCTTTTCTCAAGCTTCCAAGAGGTGCATCGGGGCAAGGCACGAGCTCCGGTCCTCCAGGTGTTGCTCGCGTCGATTTTTTGCGTCCGATACTGCTCCTCCCTCCCCCTCAGAGCTCAAGGGGGAGGGGGAGGGAGAGAGGGGGAAGGAACGGGGGAGGGGGAGAGAGAGAGAGAGAGAGCAGGACCCCAACGTGACGCAGCTGGACATCACGCTGAGCCGGGCGAGGCGCCGCCCTCCTTCTAAGTCACGGTCGTGACGGTCGTTCCCTGGCCCTCTCTGTGTCCATCCTCTTCCTGTCCCTCTCTCTTTCCACCTCTTTGCTCTAGCCTTTTCCCACCATCTTTACTCGAAAGGCAGCACCGTCCGGAGTATGTTCAGCTAGTGACCTGGAATGAGCCGTGGCTGAGATTCTCGCGGGTATGTCGAGAGACTTTGAGAGATTGATCGAGGCCCCCACTGGATGCGCCCTGTACGCCCCTGTGATCCAAGGACTACACCGAAGGCACTCAACTGGAGCCCAGCTGGATACGCAGAGAGGGGGAGTGCGTGGACGTTTGCGGCGAGCGGCTCACATGCATTTAAAATGCATTTAAAACATCTGAAGCGCAGTCATTCGCTTAACTTCCGTGTTCCGGAAGTTATGGTGATCGGATCCATTCGGATCCCCTCCTGAGGAGCTGCCTTACAGTCAGCGACTGCGACTCCTACGGTCTGCTGACCGACTGCACGAAGCCCGTGGGATCCGCCACTGGCCCTGCGGATCCTTCCTGCAACGTGACGGGCAACCTTAGCGCCTTCGCACCTGGGCCGGTTGTCAGCTGTAGGTTTCTGTGTTGTTTAACTGTGTGATGGCCCAGGTTCCCTTCCCGCTTAAACTCCACCAAGCCTCCAAAAAAAGAGAGGAGAAGAGAGGGTTTCTTTGTTGGAGCAGTCAAAGGCGGACATCAACCAGGTGGCCCAGTTTATCGCGCGCGAGCGCTACATCGGCCAGGTCTTGGCCCAGGCAGCCCGCTACGCCCCGCTTTGAGAGCGCTTCTTGGAGCGCGGGCTTGAGCGGGTCACCACTTAAGGTATAGTTTCCCGGGCGCGACCTCTTGCGACGCATGATGCTACGCAGAAGCTGATATCACAGAATTATCAATGGCTGCGCGCCTTCCCCAAGAAGAGATCAGACCTCGGACCACGAGCAAGAGGGCGACTCGCGCTTCGAAGATCTAAGCTAGGCATCCCAGAAGTGCCCCTTGCCTTGGAGGTTGCTGTAAGACTGTAAGACGAAGAAATGCAGGTCCCTTGATTCGAGGTGATGGTGCCTGTGGTGGTATCCTGGTAGAACGCATAGTACTTCATCGTGCACTGTATGCGGCTATGGTCCCTATGGTGGCATGCTAGTGGCACTTCCACAACAAGCTAATGTATCCCACAGTCTTCGCCAAGAGTGGGGATTGTGCGTGCGACTACCAGCCACAAGATGCTGAAGGCCACAAGGTGCGTTGTTTCACAACGTCTTCGGCATGCGCAGCATGTCTATACCCCCCATCTTTCAATGGGCGTGCGCATACAGAACCCTAGAATACTTCAGCACGCGTCCAACCCGGAAGATTGTACAGCCCATATATTGTACAGCTCTTCAGAGACTGAAACCAATTTCCGCCATTTGGCGCCGTACAAGAAGTGCCAAGATTCAATCATCCCGGCCTTGTAAAGGTCGGGCTTCACGGCTTCTTGAGAGGTTAAAAGGCGACACAGCTCGTGCAATGTCAGGTGGCGTCTGCTAGCGCTGCGCCTGTTTGCGCATTACCGATTTGGAACTCCAAAGCAAGCAGATCTGCCTTTGCGACCCTCTGTTTTTACCTGATGGCTGCCCCGACAGGCAATTTGCGCCATCACGGTAGCAAGTTGTAGCATTCGGATTTCGGATCCAGATTGGAGTACTTTGGAATGTATGTCTTGCGTGGTAACACTGAAAGCGAATCTGTGTGTGCGCGTGCGCGTGTGTTTTCCGGGGGGGGGGGGGGGGGGGGTGGAGGGCCGGGGTTTGCGACCTAGGGGTCGAACCGGACTTCACTCACATCCTAACTTCTCGTCGGCCGCAGCGTTGGGCTTTGATTCGGAGAAGGGCGATGTCGGGATCTGCAGGGCAGCATAGGTCATTCGAGTTCCGGCACGACCCCCCATTGGCCACACCGCAAGCAGATGGTTGCACCCAAAGCTGATTCTAAGAGAAGGCATCGCGTGTTTTCAATTGGTGAACGGCCATGACTTTCCAATTGGATGTGAAGATGTCTCCGCCAGGTGGGCTTCATTAGGTCAGTCGGATATGCATTGCAGCTACTGCACTGTTTTGTATTGGCAAAGTGTATTCGTGCGGCTGACACAAAGGGCGGCGTCCCGGGGTTCAAAAACCAGAGTTTGTTGTTGTTGTTGTTGTTGTTGTTTTTTTTTTTGTTTTTGTGTGTGTGTGTGTGTTTATGGTGATTTCGGTTCCAGGTTTTGCTTCGGCTGCTTCTCAATAGTGCTTCCGGTTGTCGGCCCCTGATGAATTGTCCTCGCTGGTCATGTTCGGTCCGTTTTGGTGTATTCTGATTGTTATCCCACATGATAGTCAACAACAGCAGCAGGAATGACAGGCAACACTCACACCACTAGCAGCAACAACAACAACAACAACAACAAGAACGGCGATGTTAATAATCATGACAAAACTAACATTCATACCAATAAATACTTTCAAGAAGAACAAGAAACAGCAATAACAGCCAGACGCACGAATAACAATAACGTGGAGGCATCCCTTGCGCGCGGGCTCTTCCTGCTCCAGGACACTGACTGGGAAAGGCTGTGGGGAGGCTAAGTGCAGGCTTTGCTTGGATGCCTCGCTGTTGCATCCTGGTTTCATCCCATATTCATCACTGTTTCACCCTTCAGGAACCAAAATGCTTCAGCCCAGGACCCACCCTGCATGATGGTTCACTCATGCTTGTGCTGGTTCAAGATGATGTGTTGGTGTTGGCAGCAATTCTGACCATCTCTTCCCCCAGGCAAGCCCCCACCCACACTCACCTTCCGTCCCCACCCCATAGGGTATGTTTGAGCGGCACTCCGCCGGACCTGTTTTCAGCACAATCTAGATCTTCTTCTTGAAGACTCTATTCAGGACTGCCTGTGCAATGGCAAGAAAGAAGCTCAGAGGCGCCTTGGGGAGGGGGTTTGAAAGGTGAAGGTCCTTCTTGTACGCTTTCCTGCTGTTCGACCTGGAAAGCTTCCGGCATTCAGAAGCCCGGGACTGCAGAAGCTCAGACATCCCACCAGGCCAAAGCAAATGTTTATGCCGTGATGCCGGCAGCCGCCATCTTTGCAGCCACGTGCTCAGCGGTGTTTCTTCTGGCTACGACAGTCTGCAACTCCGTCCTGCGACGGCCAGCCTGCTCATGATGTAGCCTCCACCATGTTCATCAATGTTCGGGGTAGCATTTCTTCGCAAGCGAATGAAGGTGCAAAGCTGAACTAACTAACTTCAGTTCACCTCCTGGCATAGTTTACGCAGTGGTCGAAGGCATCCCGAGACTACGTTGGACTTTCAGCCTTTCTAGGGCAGTATGGGGTCAATATAGGGATTGTAGTTGGGTTCAGAGGGTTTCTACGGTCATAGAGTTAAGGTGTGGTTGCTGGATGCTTGGAGTTCAAAGTTCTGATGTTCTGGCCTTCTGGCCGTGTGGGCTGACCTTCACGAGAGACGATGGAAGGCAAATCAAGAAGCGAATGAACTTGTCCTGGCACAGCGAGACGCAAGAGAGACCAGGTGAGATAGTGGTTGGAGGGTTATGCAGGGGTTTCCCGGATCGTTGGGGATTCTTTGACTTCATTGTGTTTGTCCTGAGGCAGCTGGGCTGGCTGGAAAGTGGAGGCCTTTGATTTGGAGTCTTTGGCATACCTTGAGTTCGGGCTTTAAGCGCAGGTCGTGGTACACAGAAGCTCGCAGAGCCTTCGGTGATGCAGGGGACCTTTAGCAGGAGCTCAGAAGCCCCAGGAGAGCCCTGAGCTCGCGAGGCAGCGTAGCGCGTGCCGGAGTCGGGGAGGAGAAGTGGAGGGCGCCCGACCGAAGGCGCCGAGGACTCTTTTTTGGCGGGTTCCCTGATGTGGGTTTCTACGATTCTGCGAGGTTGGGAAGTCTCAACGGCCAGCTCTGCAACTACTCGAGATGCAACACAGTGCCCCAAGCCATGCAAGAGGGCTCATTTTCCCTCTTGCGGTTACTTCGTCGATGATGGCAGAGATAGTGACAAGAACTGTTCACAAACGAGCGACATCAACTCCCCATGAGCAAATGCTAGATAGTGCAGCAGCTGCCAGGGAGTACGTAGCTTAAGGGAGTCACAGCTGAGTACAAAATTCTGTACGGCTGCTGTAGCATTTCTAAATATACATATGTTGTGATCAAATCTTGCTCGCTCGACTGGAGTAACAAAGTGACAGTCCCAGCTACGCAATTTCTATTGCATTATTGACATAATATGCAAAAAAAAATCTAGGAAGCTGTGCGGTACAAGAGAGCTCTATGAATGAGCTGCAAGCCGGGGGAAAAAGAGGCCGACGGCGACTTCTTGGCCGGCTTTCGGGCGGCCCTTGGCAGCGCCACGGACGCGACAATATGGGACCCTGGCAGTCTAGAAGGGGTGGGGAGAGCGAGAGAGAGCGAGGCTTCAAGCCCAGCACCAGCAGAAGAAGAAGAAGAAGAAGAAGAAGAAGAAGAAGAAGAAGAAGAAGAAGAAGAAGAAGAAGAAGAAGAAAAACACGAGAGAGCAGGAAAGGCCAAGCCTATGAGAAGACCGGGATGAGGTGTCGGGTAACATTGGGTTCTGGGGATTATCACAAAAGGGTTTCCCGGGTGGACTCAGCAGGCGGGGAGTTTTACACCAACGGACCTTGTAACGCACGCCTGCTGGCGGCCCCTCCAAACGGGGAGGGGCCAAGTGCGCCGAAAGAAAGAAAGAGGAAAGGATAGAGAGAAGCTCTCAATGGGTTAAATCCATTTAACAGTTTAGGCTTAGCAGCAACCATGGTCCTCCTTCAAGTGGGCCGTTTCCTTCTCGAGTGCCCCCCTCTCCTACCAAAGCGCCCGATGGGCCATGACCTGCCACTCCCGCCCCCCCCCCCCCCCATTCCCAAAAACTTGAACCCGAAACCGGAAACCCTAAACCCAAGAAATGCAAGAGATGAATTCTTCTTCTGGCCGCAAATTCAGGCAGAGAGGAGACGTTGGAGCAGGACGCGGCTACGAACCCCTGAGACGGCATAGCAGGGCCTTTGGTGGCCTGTAGCTCAGGGTTTTGAGAGGTTAGGGCAGTAGAAGATGATGATTATTGTTACTGTTATGGATTTTGGCATTACTGTGAGTACTTTGCCTATGACTGGTATTGTTAAGCTTCTTCCCTCAGCCACCTGAGCCTTAGCAGCCCGAATGCGCCGAGACCTGCGAGGAGCTGCGGGCGGCACGGGAGCAACTCTCCGACGCGGAAAGGCGCATCTCCGAGGCACCACAGCTCGCCCTGGGCCTCGAAATGAGGTTTGGGGTTTGGGGTTTAGGGTTTAGGGTTCAGGGTTTAGGGTTTAGGGTTTGGGGCTTTGCTGAAATGCCTTCTGCCCCAGCCCAAGATCAAGCCGATGGCACAGGTAGAGGTTGCCAAGGAGGATCTTGCCAGCCAGCTTCGCGAATCCGAGAAGGAGGTTACCGTGCTGATGTAGCATGAAACCGTGTTGGACTCAAGTCCGGACTTTGCCTTCCAAATCGGATACTCGATACTCCTCGATCCTCGTTGACAGTGAGCCAGCACAGGTATTGAGTCATGGGTTATGAATGGTTCCGTGACAAGCTGTTGGGTGTCGCAGCATGCAACTTGCTTGGCCGCTCTGGACATCTGGGAGGGGTCTGTCATGACAGGACATGAGTATCATGAGCAGTTCACATGGACACAAATGCAGTGCAGCCAGAAGAGAGCCATCACTCACCCAAAACTCCGACCCCAGCTTCCGCCCGAAACTGCTACCTTCCCCTTATCCCTCCCCTTCAAGAGCCTTGTCTGAACCTTAAGAAGCCTCAACCCCCTGAAAACCCCTTTGGGCCGCATGCCCCGGCCGCCGACGATGCCGGCGGGGCCACGAGTGCGGGCGGCGTTGAAGCCGTCCGAGGCCGAGGCGGCAAAGCCGGCAAAGCCCCCTGCTGTAGTGGGTTTTGGGGGGCGTCGGGACATCAGCTGGGAGATTCATCGTCAGCGACTTTCATATCCAGGGTTTGAGGTGCCACGGTGAATAGTTTTCACGGTCCCTTGGGCCGGCTTCTGCAGTTGCATGTCTGCTCATTGACCTGCCTGTATGTGCAAGTGAGTCAGGGGATAGCCAGGCGCTTGGCATGCCTGTCGCATCAAATTGTGAAGGCTCTCTACAAACCCTAAACGCACACGGCTTAGGGTTCAGGAGTTCACATGGAGATGGCAGGAACCTTGCCGGGCTGAGCGCCGTGCCGTGATCCGAACACGTCAGGAGGTTGAGGAGATGGTCTCGGGAGTTTCCTGTATATATATATATATATATTATGTACGCACAAGTTCTATATGTGAGTCTAGATGGTGTTCTGCAAGGCATCCGCCTGAAACCAGCTCTTTCCTTCAATAAAAGTTCGCAGATCATCAGTTTTGGCCGTGAGCCACACGACAGAGGAGGAGCCGCCCAGACCACGGAAGCGAAACGCCGAGGAGCTCCGGTGGGGGAGAGAACTGGCTTGCCCTTGAATTGTAGCTGTCTTCGCCATTTTAGCTGGCATCATGCAAGTGTGAACTGGCTATGCTTTCGGCGCATGCCTGCGTACTGGGTTGCTGGGACATGCCTGCATCCTTTGGCATCCCGATGCAGTTGCTGCCAGCTGCTGACAGTGATGATGACGTGGTGGTGGTGGAGGAAGGCTTTGCAGAGCACTGGACAATCATGAACATGGCACGCGGATACAGCATGCAGTTGTGCCAAAGCGTTCTAATTTTCCGGCAATTATGTGGTACGTAGATGTAGTATCGCGACGACAATAGCTATACGTACGGTACTGTTTCTTTGGCTGGGCTGTTGCCCTTCCTAGTAGTTGCTCGCATGTTCCTAAGTAGCGTGCAACTCAGACATTCGGACACGCATGTGCTCCTGACCGTTCGGCATTTTAAGCCCTAGCCACTACATCACTACAAGCAGTCGGACACTGACGCGGCACCTGGTCCTCCGTCACGATCAAGAACGACCTGACAAGCTTGCCGTGGCTAGTTGTGCTAGTTTGCCACGGCGACAATGATGCTATTACGCCGCCAACCTACTCTGCTACTCCTATCCTGACGACTACACTACTACTCCTGCTGCTGCCGCTGCTACTACTACTACTACTACTGCTACTACTACTACTACTACTACTACTACTACTACTACTACTGCTAGTACTACTACTACTACTACTACTACTACTACTACTACTACTACTACTACCACTACTACCACTACTACTACGACGACGACGACTGCTTCGCGACGACGACTACTTCTGCACTTCCTCGGGGTGGCCTGGATTTGAGCTTGACGTGCGGTTGTTGCTGTTCCTGCAGGCTGTCAGTGTCGGTGCCTGCGGAGGCATGGGAGGTGCACATGCCAAGAGGATCAGGACTGGCGGGCTTTCAAGGGGTTCATGTTTTTAGGGTTGAAGTCTTTCTTTTGTTCGTGTGTGTGTGTGTGTTTTTTTTTTTTGAAGTTTCTGAGTTGGTTCATGTTTTTCTTTCTCGGTGTGGCAGGAGTGGCTGGACTCGAAGCGCGCGCGGCCCGTGAAGTACACGCCGCCCCACGCCAGGCCCTTCCTCCAGTTTCCTCCTGGATAACCGATAATGGAGTAATGAGAATTCACTTTCAAATGCAGAGTATGCTAGGTATCGTTTAAGCTGTTGAAACATACTTGTCCTCTCATGGCAAGATCAGCCCTTGACTCTGTGAAGCATGTTGGCGGTGCCCATCTCTCTTGCAGCCTCATGATCACTTGATTTGCCTTCAAGCGCGCCTCTTCGGCAAACACCACATGTGAGGCGCGCAGTGCTGCAGCCGTGCCCTGCAGAGCCAAGCGGCTCCACCTGCAGCTGCCTCCGGCGCCATGGCCGATGCACCTGCCAGGCATCGCAGCATCTCCGAAGCCGTGGGGAAGGTCGTTTCAGAACAGGTGAGGGGGAGAGATTATTGGATCTTTGAGAATTCTGGGATGTGCGTTGGAAATGGTTTTTGTGCAAGGCAACGTTTTTTTGATAGGCTGGAGTTCGAGGGTTCACGCATCTGTGTTCCGGGGGGCCTCTCCGAAGCCAAAGTGTTGAGGCAGATGACCGCTGGCTTCAGAAGAAGCGGCGATGCCTGGCTCCGTATGTTCCGCCTTTCCGGCCACTGGGATCAGCACTTTGGATAGTGGCGAGGAGAGTCAGCACCACAGTTGAGCTCCTTGAACAGCCAGCGTGTTGCGTTGGGAGCTCATGCTGCGTTGCGAGGCACGCTGCGTAGTGAGCATTCAGCATTCCGCTGCCGCCGCGTCGTCGTAGCGTTTTAAGCTAGACTGCACAAAGATTCAAGGCAGGCTCGCGAGAGCGAGCTGGAGAAGAAGCGGCAGGAGATTGCGGCCAAAGCTGAGGCCGACTCCAGGGTTTACACTTGGGCGAGGGAAACCCCCCTCTAACGCCATCAGTCCCATAAAGCCTCTTTTTGCCCTACGCGTTGAGACCGCCTTACAAACATAGCACACGCCACGAAAGCCTCCATCCCTCCCCGCTCCACCCAAAGAAACCAAACAGCGGCTCTTCTTTCGCCTTTTCAGGAGGCCGAGCCTCCCCCAGCCGCGGCGCCGAACATCCGGACCCTGGCGAGGCGCTGGGCCCCACAGCTCGAGCTGCCCGGGTGCATTTTTGAGTCTTCTTGAGGTTTAGGGTTTAAAGGAGATAGTACGGGGGTTATGTCGGAGGTTGAAGGATTCCTTGTAGAAAATTTGGTGAGTGTAGATGTGGGTGCCCTTGAGGGAAGACGGGAAAGTAAAACCCTTCTCAAATTCGGCAAAACTTCGGATAAAGTAATTTGGGGTACTTTGCGAAATACCCATGTAGGTTCATAGTGTGAGGTTGAGGGTTGCTGGAGGAGGCTAGGATCCGGCAGCTCATCGGAGAACGGCAGGATGCAACTGCAAGGCGCGCATAGAAGAAGGAAGCCCATCGCGCTGATGCGCGCAGGAGGCCCGGAAATCCCCCCAAAGCTGCCTTCACGCGCGCAATGTGAAGAACGATTGTCACGAACCCCCTGAGCGAAATCTCGAAAATCTCGAAAGGAAAAAGAGCGATTTTTTAGCCCTTGATGTGGCAAGGAATCTCGGGCGCTTCCGCTTCAACCCTCTGCAGATCGAGGGCAGCATCTTGCTCAACGAGCCGGGCACCGAGGCCCGGCCCCACGCAGGACAAGACGCAGTTTTCAAAGGGGCCTCTTCTACGTGTTAATTTGAGAAATAGAGGTCTTCAGTGTATGGTGTAGACACAGCAGATTTCATCATCGCGCATGCCTACATGAAATGGAATGGTAAAGCAACCTGGCGGAGCCTCCCTGCTGAGCTGAAGAGCCCTGAGGCCGAATGTACAGAGTCGGCCTTCCGGTGCCAAGGGCTCAAGGCCCTGCCAGTGGTGCAGTCGGGCAGCTACCAGTTTGAGGCGCGCGCTTCTTTCCTCTTTGATGCAGGGCGTCCAGCTTGCTTGGATACTTTTTGCTTGGCAGTTTGGGTATCAGCAGGAGCTTGTGGGTGCGCTTCTTTGTGTGGCAGGTAGAGCTGCTCCGAAGCTGCGAGCTGGCTGTGGGCTGGAGTGGTGCCATGTCGCTGGCCACGGCGTGGGACCACCAGGACTCCCGGGATTCTGCAGTGCCATAGCCACGGACATGAGAAGGCAACGCTTTCAGTATTGGGTCTGCTCGCCGTTCAGTCATTGGTGTGGCGACGCGCAGAGACTTCGATGAATGAGCCACGTCTGTCAAGTTTTGCAACAGCGTGAGCAGCGTGTCAGCTACAATCTTTCTGCCTTGACTGTCCACTGTCTGTCGTCTTTGCCTGTTCTTCCCTATACGCATCGCCTTGCCCCTGCCCGATTTGGCTGTTGACAAGAGTCCCGAGTGCTGACCTTCCAGTTGTACATCCCCGTGGCCTTCCGCCGTTGTTTCTTGATGCCGCTCCCTCGACGGATGGCTCTCGAAGCTGATGAATTCAGGTTGATTACGGGACTCTTCGATAGACTCGACATGCAGAATAGACAAGTCTAGAGTAGCTTAGTAGCTGCGTAGCTCCAAGATGGCTGCAGAAAGATGTCGGACTCGTCCTCGTGATGTTTGCATCAAATGCCAAATGTTCTTATCTGGGCAAGCATGCTGAACAAACTCACCCTGTTGAATCGCCCCGCTGGATGCTGAGCGGCCCACACCGAAAGATTCCTCCCGCACTGTTGAGCGCTATTGAGCGCACACATTTAATGAAGCCCGGTTATCGCCAATGAACCGAAGTCTGCCTGCAGGCTTTCGGCTACTCCTCCGATGCGCGAGCCATCCACAACAGCGAGGCATGGGGGGGATATGAAAAGAAGCTCCATATGCCACTCCTGGAGCCCGACGCTCCCAAGAAGCATAGGAGGTATGCTTCTCCAAGGGCCGGGGCTCTATCTTGGCCTTGGCTTCGGGGTTTGTCAGCTTTCTTCGTTGTTCCTTTGCGCGGCCGTTCAAGCACTCTTGCGCGCATGGCCCGGCCAGGCCGAAGCATTTGGACTTCCTTTCGGACAGGTTCGGCGCTTATCCACTTGTTACGTTTATACGGGACACCACTGTTTGGCCTTTCTGTGCTCTGAGAGCATTGCTCTGAGAGCATTGCTCTGAGAGCATTGCTCTGAGAGCATTGCTCTGAGAGCATTGCTCTGAGAGCATTGCTCTGAGAGCATTGCTCTGAGAGCATTGCTCTGAGAGCATTGCTCTGAGCATCGCCTTGGGGGGCCTGTTTTGGGCAGGCAGGAGACGTCGTCGGTGCCACGGTGAGATGGGCCCGTCGCTCAGGGGGAGGAACGAGCTTGGACTAAAGAGTCAAGAGGGAGCGTGGAGCCTGCCCCGAGGACTCCCGGAAGGTGGCGATCTCCTTCGCGCTGAACGGACGGGACTTGGGTGCGGGGCCCAAAGGGGACGTCGAAGGTGCTCTGTGACCTTCAGATCCGGCTTGGCACGTGGTCTCAGCTTCTGAAACCCTCTGAAACCCCCGAAGCTTGTGGAATTGTGGAACTTCCCAAATACGACCCAATGGCAGTTACAAGTGATAGCACCCCATCGCCTCCCAGGCGTGGCCTTTGAGTATGGCAGTGAGGCCCTGCATCCGAAAGAAACCCCAGGAAATCCTATTGCATTTGTTTTTTTCGCGCCGGGCTTCTCTTGGCCTAGTCGCAGACCTCGCGTCGCATCCAGGGCATGTTGGACAAGATTGCCTCCCGAGCTTGCATAAGGATTATATATAATTTGGAGGGTTGGAGGTACATGATGGTTCTTGTGATGGTTCTTGTCAAGGGAATGGTCCTGGCTCCCTTGTTTTGTGCGATGGCAAGTACTTCGAAGCCGGACACGTCGCGCCCCGACTCCCTCACAACAGATCTTAAAGGAGGGCGCGGTCGGTTTTTGGGTTTAGGCGATGTCGGGTTTTCCAGGGTGTATTGTAAAAAAGATTGAAAAAGCCAGCCGCCTAAACCCCAAACTCGAAGTCCATCCAACTCCCTTCTGCCACTTGGCTCAACAGCGGCAGTGTCATCGCACGCGGCGCTCTGGCACTGTCAGCCTTCCCTTGATTACAGGCATCGGGGGCATCGGGAGTGGGTGGGCGGAGTGGCAGGTTCGAAGTTCTGAGTCCCCCTTCGAGTCGGCGCAGGATATCCATTCTTCACGCTTTGCGCGCTGGCGTCGCTCCTCCCTCTTGGAGGCCGGTTTCTGGGCTCCTGGAGCTCATGTCAACGTCTGGAATCTTGGAGCATCTGCCAGGCGGGCCGGCTCAACTACCATCGGAAACACGGCCGGATTTCTGAACCTCTGAACTTCTGAGGCCGGAGAAGCGTCAGACATGTCAGATGAGTCAGATGATGTCAGAAGGTGGCAGATTTTCATCTGCAGGCTCGGGCTGTAAGAACGCCCGTTCCCATGGGGGCCGTGAAGGTGCCGAAGGTGCCGGGAGGGGGGGAGAAATTTGGGAAAAAGAACACGATTTTGAGTCTGAGCTGCACAAACATGCTCTTCGGTATTCTGAACCCGCCGAATCCGCCCCAGCTTGCCAGGGAGGTCCGTGCATGTTGGTTTTTGCTTGCCTGGTCGTGGCAAGCCTCAACATCACGACCGCCGAAGCGTGCTCTGGCTTGCAACTTGGAATGTCCTTTGCGTGCTCACCGCTGTGCCTAGACAGACGGCTGCGCACCAGAGCCAGCTGACCCCGCCTCTTGTTCTCTCTCTCCGACTCTCTGTCTGCATCCCACAGTTGAGAGGTACGGCCTACCGGCTACCAACTTTGGGGGTCTTTCGAGCACCTCTGGCAGCCTCAATCGTTTTGTATCGGTTTGTAGTTTCTAGTATAGCACGGCTCCACATAATTTCAGAGAGCGGAAGCACTGGCTTCAGCGGATGCTGGAGTCTGCCATGAGACTCCTGTGCAGGCAGTCTTTGCGTCAAAGGTTGAGATTGTCTCTTCGCCGGCTCCGCATTTAACAGCGGTGCTCGGATTCGGGATTGCTGATGAGCTGTTGCAAGCCGTACTTTCCCGTCCTGTGGAGCTCTCTCTCCCTCTGCCTCTCCCTTCCTCCTTTGACTGCTCTCCCTGGCTTCCGCTCCTTCTTCTTCCCTCAGCTGGTTCGTTCTTTCTGCAGAGTTGACGTATCCGCGCGTTTCTTTCTGTCGTTCGTCTTCCTCTCTCCTTCTCTCAAGTCCCCCCGTTCTCAGGTCTCACCTTAGTGACAGCCTCGGTAGAACAGCATCCCAGGCTTCCTCTCCGGGCCCATCAGCGACTGTTGCTCACCCGCCTGCGCTTCTCCCACGAGCTGCCGGGCAGCATGGGGGAGATGATTCCAATGATGGGGGAGATGATGGCGAAATCGGATGGTTCTCGGAGTTTGGTTCGAGGAGCAAGTTGCATCTGTGGCTTTTGTTTTTTTTTGGGGGGTGGCCGAGTATCGGGCCCGAGCTAGAGTCGACTTTGAGTCGCACTCCCACTCCGACACTCCCAGAAGATTTAGATTATTAGATTGATTAGATTTCCGAGTTTTGATGCAGAGCGCAGAGCTCAGGTTTGCTGACTATTGCTGGAGTTGGCTTTCTAGCTGGCGGCGCGTTGACCATCAGACCCCTGCCTGCACCTGCGGCCTGTGACCTTGACTTCGAAGCTCATCGCTTGAAGAATCTTCAGGAGTCTCTTGTCCACGCAGCCACGCCCACAATGTTGGGAGGGGCTTCTGTAATTGATTCGAAGTGTCGGCCCCACGTCTCGACATCCCCTCTCTCCCAGATCCTATTCAACTCAAAGACATCCTGAGACTCTGCCTTCAGCCAAATGGGCATCATGGGCAGCACAGCCTTGGGAAGTACTCGTCCCAAGAGCTCCGGTTCGCCCTGAGGTGATCCACTTGCTTCTGTACTCCTCACAGTGTCGGGCTGAGATGGGCTGAGGATGGCGTGTTTTGATGCAAAGGTCAGTGTAAAACTGTCGTAGTTGTGAGGCTTGGCCCAGGGCTTCGGTCTTCGCACGTGCACTGATGCACTCACGCAGCGTGTGGCAATTTGGTCATCCCATGTGCTGCAGCGAAGTGCGCTTGTAGTCAGCAAGCCGTCCCCAGCACGATGTGTGCATTGAGGCCTTATGACGAATGGCTGAGCTCAATGATGGGTATCTGAGTGGCTCGTTCGGTGCCAACAACTCAGAATCCTCAGATATGGCGCATGAAAACAAAAAGAAGAACGGCGCGGAATCCACGGAACCCGTGGAATCCATAGCCCGGTGGCCCTCGCTTGGCGGGAGGTCTGAATCACTGAACCTCGCTTAGGTGCACATGGGATTTGTAAATCGAAGCCTAAGCCTTTTGCTAATGTGCGGAAGGGAGGATCATTGAAGCTTTTGCGATCAGCGAGGCTCCCGCGAGCGACACATACCCACCTAGCAGGACCTACATAGCTGAGGGGGGTGGCTGTTGTGCCAAACGCACACGCATGCACGTTGCATCGGAAACCCCACCCCAAAAAAGAAAGCCACAGCGCCAAATCCGCCCTCTTTGCAGAGAGCTTGAGTTTAGATTCGCACGGCGCCGGAACTTAGCTTCGCTTCCACAGGGCTGTCTTTGGACAAAATTCAAGGCATGCCCTTTCGAATGCTCACCTCCCCCAGTATGGTTGTATTCAGGCCGATGATACTGCGCACTACCTCCGTTCTGGGGGATGACCGATGTGTCACGTGTGAGCTCGGGGCGAACCATCTCGGTAGGTCTTAGATTTCTATGATTCGTTTTGTGCCTCTTGAAGTGGACTCCAAACAAGCAACGTCTAAGGCTCCGTTCATGGCATGACATCGCTGTTCCACCCTTGCGGGATCCACTGGAGGCAGTAGCTCAGGAGCCATGACCACCGCCATCAGAAGACTTGTCTAACCGAAGTCTGATCAAGTGCGCAAATCTCCAGACCTCGGCATCTAGATTCATCTAGTCTCGCATCCGGAAAGGGATGATCGACTTCTAAACGAGGCGTAGTTTGCTTGCACCCCTGCCCCTCCCTGACTCGCAGCTACACCATCAGCTCCACTCCTTGAAGCTTTGCGTTCCATCTGTGCAATGCAGTCCGATGCACTGCTTAAGTTGAGCTTTCTTATAGCCCCCCCTTTTTTCTGCAACCCTTCTCATCAAGTCATCCAAAAGCATCGTCTCCACTTCGCTGGCAGGTCTTGGCCTCTATTCGTTTCAATCATCCCTGGCCAGGGGTGAGAATTTTCAGCCCATTTCAGACAAATAACACCCCAAACGGTTTTACCAATCGGCCCTACAAGCCCTCCAAAGTTCTCAAGGAATCCCCGCGATGCTTAGATCCATAAGCCCCAGTGAACTCTTACTGTAGAGATCCGCTCTCATCCTTGGAGGTTCTGGTTTTTCTCAGGTCATGTGGGCCGGCGAAGTCGTGGCAAAAGCATGGCCTGCGTGGACTGGCCTCCGTTAGTCAAAGCAAGTCTAGCTTCAGGGGTTCCTCATCGGATTCTGTAGGGAACTCTTTTTCCGCTGTGGCTTAGGGGCTCGAAAAGCCCCCCCCCCCCGACCGACGAGTGTGAACATCGATCCCAAGTGGCAAGTTCAACAGCCCAGAGAATGGTCCTGCACAAAACTGAGCGCAGTGCCGGGAGCAGGTACTCGCATCATGTCTTCTTTTGTCTGAACTCTTGATTTGGTTTCTCGAATTTTCTTGTTTTTACACAGGGGCCTTGTGGGGTTTTTTAGAGGAGGGCCGATGGAAGGAGGACAGCTGCGGCTGCGGGGCGCTTTGCGCAAGCAAGCAGCCTCGCATCTGAGCCTTAATGCGCCTCCTGGCAAAAGGGTGCGCGGCACTTTATGGACCCCGACTTTCACATGCTTGGCTGTTGCAGCCTGTTCCGGGCTCGGCTCGCCAGTATTGTGCCAGTATATGTGCCCTTATGTGCCCTTAAGTACCTGAACCCTAGCCTATAATTTTCGTTCAGAGCGGTCCCCACGGCTGATGCCGAAGCTGCGGGCTGGGCTCGCAGAATGCTGACCTCTGTAGAAGCATCATGAGTCGTCATGGAGTGGCGAAGGTCTTACTTGCTTTTGGTCGCCGTCACGTGACGTGACTATGGTGATTGCCGGATGCCATAAAGCTGGCACTGCGTCGGTTTTGAGATTTTGGTGTTTTCCTCCATTATGGGGCCATGGCGAGAGGTAGTGAGAGAGATCGACAAAATCAGTCAGAGCGTGCAAGAGTGGCCAAAAACAGGCCGACAGAGCCGCGGTGTTCACTCCCCGGGCACCCGTGTGGGTGTTCATAGCGCAACGGTGGATCCCCCGAATCGCCTTTTCTGAAATCAGCTGAGCTGCGGGTTTGAGAGGCCGAGCCTGCGATCCCGCTGCAGCCGCAGGCCAGTTTCATGCGGCTTCATGCGGTTTCAGTACCCTTTTCGTCGATGGTTCTCCGCCCTTGTCTTTGTACTGGACTCTGCGGCAGGTCATGCAGCTGGCCTCAGGCCAAGTTCAAGGGCATTTCACCCCCTATGTTTGGCTTCGCTGGTGGCCTTTCGGGGCCAGCTTTGCTTCTTCTGCTTTTAGGTTTTTGGCCGCGTTCTAAGTCAACAAAAGATGAACGCACCTTCACTTGTGAAGATTATGATACTCGTACATATGCAAAGATGACACATGCGCTCATTTTCTGTTTCTTCGAAGAGGCCTTCCCTTGCACGTCCGCCTGCGGGGCACAGCGACCTCCTCTCTGGCCTTCCCGCAGGCAGAGCTGGGTGAAGCGGTAGAAACTTGTCTGGTACAGAGGGCGTGTGCGCGCACGCCGATGCTGTGTATTTCAAGGATTCATGCTACACTGCTCGCTACATCAGACTTCTTTTGCGCACTCTCACAACAAACTGCTGTCCGTTTCTGGCTCTTCCTCCATCTCATCTGATGCTCCATCGTCCAAGCCGCCCACTTCATACATACTTTCTGTTGCTGTAGTATTGGTATTGGAATACTAACTAATACAAGTATAAGTAGCAAGGTGTGTGTGTGTGTATATCTATATATGTATATACATAGTCAAGAGTCAAGCCCCTAAACCCGACCCGCCCTGAAATGCACCGCCAACTCCGAAGTCTCCTTGGGAACTCCTAGGGCCATTCTAGGGCCTTCTAAGCGCTTGCAGGGGTAAGTGCAGCAAGTTCGAGGGTTCGAGGCACCGAGCACCTTCAACTTGAGGCTGAATCGGAGGTCCAGTCCTGGGCACTTGCTCCATCTCAAGCCTGTTTGATCTTCAGAGCAGATTCCCAATTCAGGCGCAAAAGCACAAAGGCTCAGAGGCACTTGATTGAGTGCTCTTCTCCAGGTCGGCGTCCAACCACTGGCCGCCGTGAAGGAGGTCGACTTCTGCCCCTTCAGCCGGGCAGTCTCGGAGGCGGCATGTTTTGCTTCTTCTTTTTTCTCTGGATGAAGATCAGTTCTCTTTTTTCGCGCTCGCTCTCTCTCTCTCTCTCTCTCTCTCTCGCTCTCTCTCTCTCTCTCTCTCTCGCTCGTGCTCTCTCGCGCTCTCTCGCTCCCTCTCGCTCTCTCTCGCTCGTGCTCTCTCGCGCTCTCTCGCTCTCTCTCTCTCTCTCTCTCCCTCTCTCTCTCTCTCCCTCTCTCTCTCGCTCTCTCTCTTTCTCTCTCCCTCTCTCTCTCGCTCTCTGTCTTTCTCTTTGTGTCGGTGATTGAAAGAGAGTGGGAGTTTGGTTGAGGGGTTGGGTTCTCTCACGTTCTCTCTCTCCTTCTCTTTTGGCAGAGATTTCTCGGCGGCCTGGCGCGGGGAAGTCTGGGGGGGGGGCTCCTTTCAGTTGCAGTTGGGGTATGGTGCACTGAATGTGGGGGCAGGGTGCAGTTTTTGTTGCTGCGGAGGGTGCAGGCAGCACTTAATTAACCTTTTGAGGCATCGACGGAGCGAGTCGCGGCGCTGATAACGGAGGACGCTGGCTGCAGCGCGATGCATCTGCATCTGCATATACATATACACGCACGCATACATACATTCCTGTGTCTTGCGGTCTTGCGGTCTTGCGGTCTTGGGGTCTTGGGCGTCCCGGAAGGCATGATGCGTTCTTGCTTAGAGGAGGCCGAGGAGGCATAGGACAGGCTCAAGGAGAGTTTGACTCAGGACCAGCTTCAAGCCTTTCATGTTCCAGATGCCCACGTGGCCGGGGCCCAACATCCTTTGCAATCCTCGAAGCCGTGCCTCTAAATTCGTACGTTCCCAAGAAAGCTCGTGATGCAACATAGCTGGTCCTTGAGTGCCGAGGTGGAGCTCTACGACTTGCCAGAAGGCGGGCTGCTGGGGCACCTTCCCTCCCAAGTATCCCTACTCAGTCCGCCCGCGGCATCCTCTAACGAACCCCAGATCAGCCCAAATCAGCAGCGTGATGCCGCCAGGCCCGGCTAGAGGTGCAGACAACGGCCACACGCGGTCGAGGTGAGCCATCCAGGGTTGGGTTTGAAGATGCGTGGGGAAGTCCCCCCCACAACAAGAACCAGAAGAAGGACCCTCCGAAGAACCCCGGCCCCCCCACACAAAATAATAATCAGATGGCTGGCCGCCTGCCTGGCGCAGCAGCTGTCGCTGCCGAAGCGGGTGGCCTTAGAAAATCGTGGCATGAGGGCAACTACCTTGTGCATATTCGTGCTGGCCACGCACAGAAAACTTCCGAACTTGAACTTGGGAACCAGGCCTCGTCACGAAAGACGCACAGCTTTGGCACAGCTTCCCGATGCTTGGAAATCTCAACGTTGGCAGAGTCGGCCTCGGAGTCTCACCGAGGCCCTCCTGGCCAAGCTCTGTTTGCGTCCGGGAAACTTCGGAGGGGGCCTCCACTGCCGTGGCAGCGCTGCGGAGGCTGCGCGGGAGAGAGAGAGAGAGAGAGAGAGAGAGAGCGACAGACCCTTGGGCCCCCTCATGCCCAGCAGAAGAAGAAGAAGAAGAAGAGCGATAGGGAGAGCTCTCGCTCAAGTCGCTATCCTCCTACCAGGGGGGCCCTAAATTGCACAGAAGAAGAAGAAGCAGAAGAAGAAGAAGGAGCCCTCAGGCCCCGCAGCAGGAGAAGAATAAGAAGAAGAAGGTGGAGGAGCAGGAGGAGGAGGAGGAGAAGAAGAAGAAGACGAGAAGACCGACCCATGAGAACGACTAACGGACCTGGCGGGTGCGCACGTGCGCGAGGTGAAGGCTCATGGCTTAGGGTGTTCGCCCCAACACGTCCAGCCCGAGCCGAGTAAGAAGAGCAACAAAGAGGAGGGAAAAGTGTAACGAGTTCCCTGTGTTCTGTTGCTCTTCCCAGGGCTTCACACGCCCGAGAGCTGCTCACGCGGGCTGCGGAAGGCGGGCCTTCGGGCAGACCAGGTGAGGTAGCGAGGTGGCTGCAGAAATCTGCAGAAATGTGGTGAAGTCCGTCGAAATTCTCATTCCAGGATTCATCAGGATCACTTCATCTGCTGGTAGCCGGCAGGAGGATCCTGCTTTAGAACACAGGAGCCTGGCTGGGCACCAAAGATTTGCCAGGCACCCTGACAGCGGGAGACGCACTGCTTCAGGCCCCGACCTCACTCCATTCAGCTTGGGGCAGTTGGCACCCCATTGTGGTAGAGGGATGGTGGCTCCATGAATCCTCGTTCAGATCTTGAAGGGAAGAGAAGGACCATGGTGTCTATGGTGGAATGTCCTACAGACTCCTACGCCCTTCTGTGTCAGCCTTTTCTGCAAAGGCCCGTGCCTTGGGCTCCGCCACAGCCGCCACGAGGGAGAGGCGCGGGGCAACCGGGGAGGGAAAAGGGATGGCCACGGGGCGGCTTCGAGATGTTTCGAGGTGTTGCTTCGAGAGTTGCGCCTTCGGAAGGTTCATCGATTTTGCTCCCTAATTGCATGAGGTGTTGGCGGGATGGCCGCCGTAACCGCCGCGGCCGCCGTACTCGTAGCCGCCGTAGCCGCCGTAGACCTAAATCACGGCGGCCAAGGTTGCGTGAGTGGCGAGGTGCCGAGTTCCGGCCGCAGGTGCAGCGCTCAGGTGGATGCAGCAAGGTGAGGTTGATCCGGGTTTTTGCTTGCTGTTTTGCTGGGGCTGGGGCTGTTGGGAGAGGAGGCAGAGGGCTCAAAAGTCCTCAAAAGGCTCGGGGGGGGGGGGGGGGGGGGGATGGGGGAATTTGGGGGGATTTGATTTTCAATCCTCTCCGAGGCGGTGCCCGCCGCCGCGCGGCGCCTGATCCACGGCAGCCTGCAGAGCCAGATCCCCTTGGCTCACCTTGTGGAGGACGGGTTCTATGTGATTTTTACGCCCTTTTCAAGGGTTCGATTATAGCCCTTGACAAAGACTTTTAAGGAGATTTTTGGGAGGGAGATCATCTCTTGAAAAACGGAGAATGGTGACGTTCCATGATGTTATGCCATGCCCGTGAGCAGAGGTGAACACAGCCCCCCCAAAACTCGAAGGAATTCCGAACACAGCCCCCGTGCTTCTGGTGGCTCCATGTGGCGACAGGAGAAGAATTCATCGCGGCCCACTGCTCGCAGCTCGCAGTGAGACAGGGCCTAGAGGGCATAGAGGATTGCAATGGATTCTCAGAGGTCCCCACAGCTGAGAGATGAGTCCTGCGCAGCATCAACATACCCTTAAGCTGCAATCTCAGAATCCTTTGCACTCCTTGCGAGCTGGACCTGCAAAAAGAAGGGGAGAAGCCAACTGCAACCGTTCACAGTGTGTGGGCGTGGTGATGTCGCAAGGTCCTTTGTTTGGCTGGGTTTCTGAATATCATTCGGAAACAGGGCTTTGTTTCGGCTGCCTGTGGCAGCTTCCCATGCCATGTGTCTAACCCGGAAAGAGAGAGCGCGCAGCCGCTGTGCCACTGAAGAATTTTGTGGAGGTTGCCGCCGCCCGGCATGGGCGAAACTCCCAGAAGGAGGCCTTGGGTAGTTGGGGGTGCGGGCGACTGGGCATGGGCTGCCAAGCTCCGAGAGTAGAAGTGCCCTGGTGGGGCGCCTGTACCCCTCGCGCGCCACAATCCGTCAGGTCTTGGCGAAGATGGAACGCGACATTGCTACTTGTCTGCGCATTTTTCCTCTTCAGAGCATGTCGTCGAAGTGCCCGAAACCCGATTGAAATCTGGGTTCGCCGACGCCTCAAAAGCAGGCAAAAGCAGGAAGCTAAGCACATTAATATAAGCAGCTTTTGATATCACTCCGAGGCCACCTCCAGCAAGGCGCTGGAGTCGCTGCAGGCGCTGAGACTCTGAGAAGCTCGAAGCTACACACTCACTGCATCAGTCAGCTTGGCGAGTACGAGAAGTTTTTTTAGACAAAATTCAGATGCCCGAGAGTCTTTGTAGCGTTTTTCTTTTCACAGTCCCGCGATGTCTCCGCACAGGCGGAGCGGTCTGCATTGCAGGCGGCTTTGGCGAAGGCGCGTGTTGCGCAGAAAATGCGGCAGGCAACACTTGAAGGGGGGCCGCCTCTTGACATGGCCTTGGAGTTGCTAAGCTGCTAAGTGCGGAGCTCCTCGAAGCGCTTGTGAATGCCTTTGAGGCATACTGGATTGCATTGCATGGGCTCTGAGCTCTACCGCAGGCTGAGCAGGAGAAGCAGAAGTTCCTTGCAGATGAGGCCGGTTTTTGAGCCTCTTGAGCTGGGGAGCTGGACAGCCTGACTGGGCCACTGTGTGTGGGGATGAAAGAGTTCGGCATCGTCGGGTTTGTGGTTGTTCAAAGCGAGCTATCAAAAACAGCACAACACGGAACGAAGAGCGCTTCGTAAATTAGGGCCCAAGCGATGGCCTTGGAATGGAAGTGGCCTTGGCGACTTGCAAGCTTCTGGGTAGGATCCGAGACACCGTATTTCAGCAGGCAGAGCCCTCAACAAACCAAATCTCCCTTGAGAGGGGGTCATGGCCGACCTGAAGAGCATGGTCACCCGGGCCGAGTCCAAAGCCAAGGCGGCGAAGGCCAGCAACCCTGTAGAGTTTCGCGGAGGGTACTGTAAATTACTGTACCACTACACCGACTCTACCCCTCAGGCAGCCGCAAGTCTTAGGGTACTTTTGTGACTTCTGAGAGGCAGAGAAGAGGAGCTTGGAGAAGAAGCTTCTGGAGCTCGAGGAGCAGGAGCGGGTTCTTGGGACGGCTTTGGGAGGGACTTCCAGAGGGCTTTGGAGGAGAGCCTCTTTTTCCCCCCCCCCCTTTTTCCCCCTGTTCAGGCAGGCTGCCGCGTGAATGAGCTCAAGACCATGCTTGAAGCAGAGCAGGCGGTTGTGGGCTCTGGATGTTTTTTGTGAGCTGCGCAATGGCGCAAATTGCGCAAATTTTTGCACAGACGCTTTGAAGCTCTTCGAGGCACACAAGAGGCAGGTGCAGCAGGAGCTGGAAGAGGAACGGGCCACGGCAGGGAGACCGAGCTCTGCAGCTGATGGGGCCTGGTGACATTTTCAAGGAGGGAACTGGGACCGCGCTCCACCTGTCTTTGCCGTAGTTTCGATGCCCTTAATTCAACGCTAACGCGACTTTCCTCGGCCTGGGCCAGCGGCAAGAACGCCAAGCCCGAGATCGCAGGTGTGAATTGTAACACGAAGGCTCATGTATAGACCAGGCACCCCAAATGTGAAGTGGCAAAGCAAGACAAGCAAGCCGGCCCGTAGGCAAACATTGGCACCATCCTGTCGGGGGGGACCTGCTTTATGCCACCCAGACACCCTGCAGACACCTACTGTACGGCCCGAGGCCTCGGCAGACGTTTAAGATGATTCTGGTATGCCTTGTTATCTTTTTGAGTCGCTCGGTTTCCTAGGCAACCTCGGTGGTAGAGGAGCTTCAGGAGGCCTCCGCACCATCCACCAGAGAGTTACAGAGCTTTCGGAACCCATGGTGAGCAGAGATTGCGGCCCCGACGAGAAAGCACGGGCAAGCATGGAACCGTGCTTAGAACAGAGAGAGGGAGGGAGAGGGAGGGAGAAGGAAAGAGAGAGAGAGAGAGAAGTATCGCGGCGACTGACCCTCTCAGAAGACATGTAGGAGTGATCAGTTGCACCATGTTGTGGCAGGCCCTGGAGCTGGAGCAGGCATATGACCGGAGATTACGAGACGATGGGGTGCAGAGTTGAAGCTGAGGGTGGACACAGCATTCAGATGCACTAAGAATGGTCTCAGAATGGGTCAAATCCTGAGAGGTTGACTGGGATTGGATATGGGGCAGAGGGTGAACGCAGCGACGCAGGTGGCCAAAGCCGAGTCCGAGCAGCGCGGGGGCCTTTCTTGACTCTTTTTCTTCGAAGCAGTCCTACGGTCTTACAGCCGCACTACACAGCCCGCCCCCCCACCCCCCCCTCCCCCCCCCCCGGTTGAGCTGACGGTTCGACGTGGGAGCCGATGCCTTGCGCACTTGCGCATGTTCGACAGACTTGGTCCGGCTGCCACTTCGTTGCGGCTCAAACAAAGCTTTGCTCCGCTTTTATTTGCTCTTGCTGTTGGGCGCTTGTGGCGCTCCAAAGGCGAGTTCATGCAGGCTTGTCTCGGGCGCAATTGCCTGAGAGCAGCGAGTGTCTTTGTGCGACAGAGAGCTGGGATGGCGTGGAGGGCTTGGAAGGATCCAGATTGGATGCACATGAATGCAGCTGGCGCCTCACCCATGCCGGACGAGGTGCACCAGGCACTCTTCTATCATCGCCTGAGCGCCACAAGTGTATGCATGAACCATGCAACCTTTCGGAGAGAGAAGAATGCCGTGTCTTTCTTGTCATGTGCATGGTGGGAGTGTGCGTAGAGTAAATGAAGAATCAAGAATGTGGGCGCAGGCCCTCCTGGACCATTTCGAGCTCGAGCGCCACATTGGGGGATACGCAGCGGAAGCGCAGGCCGATGCGAGGGAAGGCGCTCGAAAGGCAGCGGCCAAGTTGTTGGGGTGCGATCCTGAGGAGATTGCCCTAACAGAGTCTGCGCAAAGCGCATGGGCAAAAGCCTTTTACAGCTTTAGCTTCCGAGAGGGCGATCGGATCTTTTGCTGGGCGAGCGAATATGCAGGAAATGCCGTTGCTTTTCTGCAGGCCGCAAAGCGACATGCCAAGCTTGAAGTGTTGCCCATGCGCCCAGATGGCATTGTCGATTTAGACGCACTTGAAGCTGCTCTGAAGTCTTTGCCTGAAACGGCACGGGCAGTGGTGGCCTTGACACACATTCAAACGAATTCCTCTGTGGTGCAGCCTGCCGCTGCGGTCGGGAAACTCGCGCGCGAGCATGGCGCCGTCTTTATTCTGGATGCCTGCCAATCCATCGGGCAGATCCCCGTGGACGTGCGCTCGCTGCTCTGCGACTTTGCCTGCGCCACGGGCCGCAAGTGGCTCCGGGGCCCTCGCGGCACTGGGTTTTTGTATGCCCGGGCCTCGGCACTGAACCACGCGAGCGGACTGGTGGGCGAGCCGCCGATGATCGACCATGTCTCGGCTCGATGGACACAGAGCCACGTCTACAAGCTGGCCCCAGACGCCCGCCGCTACGAGATGTGGGAGACTTCGCCAGCGCTCCACATGGGCTTGAAGAAGGCCTTGGAGCTTTGTGAGCACGTGGGCCCGCAGCACATCCAACGAAAGTCTACTGGGCTGGCCGCTGCGCTGCGCCAGAAGCTCGCTTCAATCAAGGGCGTCCGCTGCTGTGACGCTCCAGCGAGCTTGGAGGAAGCTCAGGTGGAGGGCGTGTCGCGGTGCGCCATTGTGACTTTCGAGGCGTTCTCAGACCTTGGCATCACCTCGGAGGCCATCAAGGGAGCACTTGCCAAGCAGAGAATCGCGGTGTCCGTGTCGCCGCCATTTCACACCTTCAACGACGAGGACTGGCGCCAGCCTTCCGTCGTGCGAGTAAGTCCATCCTACTACAACGACGAGTCGGAAGTGGATGTCCTGGCTCAGAAGATCAAGGGAATCATCGAAACCCTCTCTGAAAATTCTGGAATGCGTGCTCCGTAGTGGTGGCTGCGGTGGCCATCGGTGGCCACTCTGCCATAAAATCGCTGCTCCTTAATCCTCTCTTCAGTTCCTCTGCGGCCTCTAAGACCTGTGGGTGTTGCAAGTGCAGGGCTGCGCGAGAGACTTTCCCAAACATACTTCCCAAGCTCTGCCTTCACTCGACCCCGAATGCAACTCGCTGAAGTAAAGAGGCTGGGAGCAGATTGCCGCGGACCTGTCCCAACAGGCGCGCAGGGAGCACAGGTAACTCGGCACAAAGTCTCTTGATAATATAGACCGTGCAGACTCTCAATGTTTATTATAGAGACTCCCATTGCCACTACTCTCTCATGACTCATGACTCTCTGCAGCAACCGCGTGTTCAGTGGCCAGGTGTCGCATCCGAGTGAGGCCAGGGAGGCCAGGTGGGGCCACAGCCGCCCGCAGCATCCGTAGCCAGAGTTGCGGGTGGGCTGTATCCCTGGGTGCTCTTAGTCTTGGTCTCCGGAAATCTCCATGCCCGACTTCCAAGTCTTTAGGGGTGCAGAGGCTGCCATGGCGCTCCATGGAGCTGTGGATCATTTTTAAATTGCAGCCGGTGGGGGCATGCAAGCAACAATATGCAACAATACACCCTACACCGACTAATGTGATGCAATGTGCAAGAAGATCAGTACAGCACAGCGCAGAGACATGGGCAAGCCGGGAAACCGCTCTCAGAGCCCAGACGCAAATCCGTGCAAAGCCCGAAAGCAACATCCATATCCCTCACTGGTTTGCTGGCTTCGGCAGGCGGACACGAAACTGGAGGACCTACGCTCTGCGCTGCAGTCGGTCCAGGACCGCGTAGGATCGCGTTGACACATGTGGGGCGCACGCGGCGATGACTCATAGGATTGATTCGGGCCGTCAATCCTTCGCTTGAGGCCTCGCGGGAGGCTTTGGAGAAGAAGCTGCGAATGGAGCAGAAGAAGGCCACTCGGGCACTTTACAATCGCTACTGGTGCTGCAGTGGGGCTTGCAGAACAGCCTTGAACAATATTGAACAGTGGATATGAGGCAAGCATTTGTGCCCAAACTCACGGCCGGGAACAAGAGTAGAAGTTCCAGAACCATATTCGTGGCAATTCGAGCCACTGCTACTATGGACTCCCCCAATTGTTGCACACAACAGCCGCACCACACCTGCAGCGAGACTTTTGCTACAGGGTGCAAGGGGTGAGATGCTGAGAAGGCATGAAAAGACGGGCTTCGCACAGATGCGAGGCGGAAACGCAGATCCAGCAACTTCACGATGACCTGGAGCACGAGAAGGCGCCATCTGCCGGACGTCTGCGTCGCGTGTGCTCTGTCCTTTTTTGTTTTTCAGCTTCTCTCTCTCTCTCTCTCTGAGTCAAGGCTGCCCGGGTAGAGGTGGAGAGGCTGGTGCGCACCAGTGAGGAGGCCCGGAAGTCGTTTTTCCAGCAGTCCCCACTCGACACGAGAAATGCCGAGAAGAAGAGCACGGTATAAGTATGAGAGCATATGAGCGAAACGTAAAATGGGAGGATCAAATATTTCCCCCCCCCCCTCCCCCATTTTGAGGGTTTTTGAGCAGTGCTATATAATGCAATTATGTATGTATGTTGGCAGGCCGCTCCAGCAGGAGGGTCGACCCCCTTACCCCCCTCCCCCCCCCCCAAATATTTATGCGCATGGCTCTTCTGCTTCGCATAAGTGGCCAGCAAGCACAGTAGATCGCAGTACAGCTCTGCTCAAGGCACGGGTATCCTCTAGAGTCTAGAGTCTAGAGTTCCCAGCATCTCCCGGTGTTAGGGGTATCCTTACTTGGCAGCTGCAAGGGCGCAGTGGGGGCACAACAAGTTGAGCCGAGTTTTGCAGCTATGCAGATCTATGCAGGGCATTGATGAGTGCAGGCCGCCGAAGCTAGCACACAGGAGATCACAGCTTTGGCCGAGAAGGCGCTTGTCTGATGTGTGAGAAGTATAGCAAAGGTCGGCTTTTTTGCACCGTTGCCTCAAGTTGCTTCTGTGCTCCCGAAGGCGCGAGGCATGGAGGCAGAGCACCAAAAGGCCGCGCGGTATGCGGCCGCATCTGTAGGGACTCCCTCCTGTGGCTCCCGGATGCTGCGGGCAATTTGCAGGTTGCGGCGAGCTTGCAGACGAAGGCTGAAACCTTAGCGCTTGAGAACAAGAGCCTCAAGGCTCGATGATGCGAGGGAGAGTCCGCAGCTGCACCTGCTCACATCACATCAGCTCACATGCTCTAATCATGCCCACGTCAGGCAGCGAGCACTCGCCTCGAGAAGCAGATCTCCACGCTCACCAAGCAGGCAGACACAGCACCGTAGCATTGAGATTCACAAGCAGTTTGGATGTTCAACGTCAGGCTGACGAGCAGGCGCAGCACCTTACAACCTCCTCCCAGTCGGAGAAGGCGCTGCATGGTGACCTTCTGGTGACGGCAGCAGCTCATGCGATGGGGTGCCAGAGGCTGCCAAGACCAAGCTGGCAGAGCTCACCGACGCATTGAAGCAGGAAAAGGCCTCTCCCGGATATGGCGACTCATGTTGCTCCAGAAGAGCAGTTCTTGTTGCTTTCAGGTTGCACGGAGAGAAGCCGAAGAACGCATGAAGTCCAACGGTGACCAGGTGTGCGCCCGCTGTTCAGTTTTCGTGCTTGCGGTGGTTACCTGTGGCTCTTTACAGGTGGAGAACTTGCAGACGAAGGCTGAAACCTTAGCACTTGAGAACAAGAGCCTCAAGGCTCGATGATGCGAGGGAGAGTCCGCAGCTGCACCTGCTCACATCACATCAGCTCACATGCTCTAATCATGCCCACGTCAGGCAGCGAGCACTCGCCTCGAGAAGCAGATCTCCACGCTCACCAAGCAGGCAGACACAGCACCGTGGCATTGAGATTGACAAGCAGTTTGGATGTTCAATGTCAGGCTGACGAGCAGGCGCAGCACCTCACAACCTCCTCCCAGTCGGAGAAGGCGCTGCATGGTGACCTTCTGGTGACGGCAGCAGCTCATGCGATGGGGTGCCAGAGGCTGCCAAGACCAAGCTGGCAGAGCTCACCGACGCATTGAAGCAGGAAAAGGCCTCTCCCGGATATGGCGACTCATGTTGCTCCAGAAGAGCAGTTCTTGTTGCTTTCAGGTTGCACGGAGAGAAGCCGAAGAACGCATGAAGTCCAACAGTGACCAGGTGTGCGCCCGCTGTTCAGTTTTCGTGCTTGTGGTGGTTACCTGTGGCTCTTTACAGGTGGAGAACTTGCAGACGAAGGCTGAAACCTTAGCACTTGAGAACAAGAGCCTCAAGGCTCGATGATGCGAGGGAGAGTCCGCAGCTGCACCTGCTCACATCACATCAGCTCACATGCTCTAATCATGCCCACGTCAGGCAGCGAGCACTCGCCTCGAGAAGCAGATCTCCACGCTCACCAAGCAGGCAGACACAGCACCGTAGCATTGAGATTGACAAGCAGTTTGGATGTTCAACGTCAGGCTGACGAGCAGGCGCAGCACCTCACAACCTCCTCCCAGTCGGAGAAGGCACTGCATGGTGACCTTCTGGTGACGGCAGCAGCTCATGCGATGGGGTGCCAGAGGCTGCCAAGACCAAGCTGGCAGAGCTCACCGACGCATTGAAGCAGGAAAAGGCCTCTCCCGGATGTGGTGAGTCGTGTTAACTTTCTACTGTAGAGAGAATGTTCTGGTTGCCTCCCGTGGCCCGACGTTCGCTCTACTGTGAGGCTGCACGGAAGCAGGCCGAAGAACGCCTGAAGTCCAACGGTGACAAGGTGTGCGCTCTCTGTTCAAAGTTTCGTGCTTGTGGTGGCTCCTGGATGCTCCTGGTCATGTCTGCAGGTGGTGGCAAGCTTGCAGATGAAGGCTGAATCCTTGGAGGAAGAGAACGAGAGCCTGAAGGCTTGATGATGGTAGCAGAGAGTCTTGGAGAGTGCCTTTGCAGCCGCCTGCGCATTCTCACGCGCCGTCCAAAAAAGCCCTTGTCTTGGTGTTACTTGGGCGCTGAACCATAACTACGATGTCGAAGCGCGTGAAGACCCCACGAGCGTAAGGTCAGCGGAAGAACCCCAAGCACACACGCATGACCACGACATGCCGGATCTGAGCTGGCTTGCGCTTATGTACAATTGTCCAAATGACATTATAGTGCGCGACACGGATCAGTCATTTTTCTGCGCGATCTCCTTGAACCATCGCAGGCGAAATCCCAAGCCACAAAACGTGCGCTGAGATCCGGGCAAGCTCTATGCAAGCCGTGCGCAATCGCGTGCGTCCTTTTGAAGCCACTGGCCCATGTGTCTCCATCCTGGGTCGCTATAGAACGGCCAACAAGCTACTACAGTACCACTGCTGACTCTTGAAAGCTGCCTTTCTTATACCCCTTGGCTTAGGTCTACGCAAAAGCAACGTTGTGCAACAAGGTCCACGCAAGCGCGCTCCCCCCCACCCCCCCCCAAAGCTCAATCCTTATTATGAGGGAGTGTTTGAGTTTGTGGCCCGTTGCCTTTTACAGAGATGCTATCGACTGGTACCAATGATACTCTAGCCTGGGGTAGCCTCCCAGCTGGTCGATGTGCTTTAAACAGCAATGCGTGTGTACAGCGTGCCCAAAATCCTAAACTTCAAGCCCAAACAAATATCATCAATTTCGCCCGCACCCCCCCCCCCCCCCCCCCCACCCCCCCCCCCCCCACCCCCCCCACTCTGTTGGACACGTCATAAACCCGACAAGATGGTGAGCCCTGGCCCCGAAATCAACCTGGAACCATAGGAACAGAAGCCTATAGAGAGCTACCAACTAAACGCCAGTAAGTCTCACATGCTCACGTCAGGCAGCGAGCACGCGCCTCGAGAAGCAGATCTCCACGCTCACCAAGCTGGCAGACACAGCACCGTAGCATTGAGATTCACAAGCAGTTTGGATGTTCAACGTCAGGCTGACGAGCAGGCGCAGCACCTTACAACCTCCTCCCAGTCGGAGAAGGCGCTGCATGGTGACCTTCTGGTGACGGCAGCAGCTCATGCGATGGGGTGCCAGAGGCCGCCAAGACCAAGCTGGCAGAGCTCACCGACGCATTGAAGCAGGAAAAGGCCTCTCCCGGATGTGGCGAGTCGTGTTAACTTTCTGCTGTAGAGAGAATGTTCTGGTTGCCCCACACTGCGCAACAAAGTGGTCCGACGTTCGCTATACTGTGAGGCTGCACGGAAACAGGCCGAAGAACGCTTGAAGTCCAACGGTGACCAGGTGTGCGCCCTCTGTTCAAAGTTTCGTGCTTGTGGTGGCTCCTGGATGCTCCTGGTCTGCAGGTGGTGAGCTTGCAGACGACGGCTGAAGCCCTGGAAGAGGAGAACAAGAGCCTGAAGGCTCGATCATGGCAGCAGTTCTGGAAAGTGCCTTTGCAGCCGTTCCTGCGCATGCTCACATCAGGTGGTGAGCACTCGCCTCGAGAAGAAGGTTTCCACACTCAGCAAGGAGGCGGGTACTTCGCATCCCCACACATTTGCACTCTTTACAGGGTTGCGACAGTGTTCAGAAGTATTGCATCCCCTTCGTCACGTCACTGTACAGTCATGAGTGTCGCTACACAAGCAGTACGTTGCAAGCCGGGCATCGAGGCCGAGCGAAAAGCTGAAGAGCTAACTTCTGCCCTGGAAGCTGAGAAGGCGCCTCACGTGCTTTCGTCCATGGCTAGGCTCAGGCAGCGATGCAATCGACGGCAGTGCATATTTTAATTAGGCCCTCGCCTCGAAGTTCGGTGCCAGGTTGCCAAAGCTGAAGCCAAGGAGGAGCGCGCCTCGCATGGGCAGGCGGGAACTTCTGAGTTGAGGAGTCAAGACCGCTCGCAGTTTAAAGCAAGCTTCGAGTCTTAGAGGTGCCCCCGAGAAGGGCACATGTTGGATCCCTCCCACCCTTGCAGGCGGAAAGACGCCTCCGGGCGGATCATGATCGGGTGCCTCCGGCTGGGGTCAACCGTGTTCAGGGGTGCAGTTTTGCCGGCGAAAGGTAGTGAAAGGCCGTGAGTAGCACCCGTCCGAGAATTGTTCTACAATGGGTGTTCATATTGAGGTTCTCAAAAGCTTGCGAGCGAAGTCAGAGAGCGCGGCGGCGGAGAACGAGTCGCTGAAGGAGCAGCTGCGGAGATTCGAGAAAACCTTGAGAAATGTGTAAAGTCTGTGGGCTCCCATACTCAGACTCAGATCTCGAGAGCAGCACATGCGCCCACTTGAGGGTATCCTGTGCCATTCGGTAGAATGTCTAGCGCAAACCTTGCGCAGTAGGATTGGGGACTTCAACCCAGTTCATGTTGCTGGCACATTGTCCGCGTGGGCTACAGGAAAGGTGCACCCAGCTTGAGAAGAAGTGGGAGAAGCTTCGAAAGGAGGCCCGCGGAAGGTTGCAAACGGTTTTGTTTTTGGGCTTGTGGGGTTCATATACCTAGCACGGCACCTCCAACTGTTAATTGGCCAACATGGGTGTGGCCCAGATGACGCTGTGTAGGCAGATGAGAAGGACAAGTGCTCACAGCTGGCGATGGCGTCTCAGCAGGCTTCTACCACTCTTGTGCCTGATATCTTGTGGGAGGGCCGTACGCTGAGGTCATGCTGGGAGGCCCAAGAGTCGCCCTTGCGGATACAAGCAAGAGATTCGGACTTTAAACGTGTTCCAGATACGTGTCCCAGATAGAAGCTAAGAAAAGCCGGTCTCCAACGAAGTTTCAAAATGTGACATGTGTGACACCCCAAGAAGTGCTCCTCGCACTTCCTGCTCAGGCACGCTTGAAGCAGCAGACGTTTAGGAGAGGATCCTTTGCGTCCGGAAGTCAAAGCAAGAAGTCAGCACCAACAAACACACACACACGCACACGCGCACACGCGCACACACACACACACACACACACACACACACACACACACACACACACACACACACACACACACACACACACACACACACACACACACACACACACACACACACACACACACACACACACACACACACACACACACACACCACCACACCCACACCCACCCACACCCACACCCACCCCCACACCCACGCAAAGGCACACGCAACACGCACGCACGCGCGCGCATCGCGCAGCACGCACACACGCGCACGCGCACCACGCCCACGCCCACGCGCACACGCCCCACACCCCGCCCACCCCCACCACGCCCACGCACACGAACCGCACACGCACACGCCCACCCCACGCACACGCACACGCACACGCCCACGCCCACGCCTACGCGCACGCGCAGCGCCACGCGCGCGCACAGCGCGCGCACGCACCGCACACCACACACACACACACACACACACACACACACACACACACACACACACACACACACACACACACACACACACACACAGACACAGACACAGACACAGACACAGACACACAGACACACAGACACACAGACACACAGACACACAGACACACAGACACACAGACACACAGACACACAGACACACAGACACGCAGACACACACGTACTTATAAGGCGCCCACTACTTCCAGCTGAGGCCACATACCCAAACCCTCAGAAATGTGTGTGTATTCATCTTTACAATGATAGCGTACTACTTGCATTCTGCCGTTCTAGTAGATTCTAGTCTGTTGCATTCTCCCCGTTTGGCACCACGTTGGGGCTCCTCGAGTCTCTTGGAAGGCCGCCCGCCTTGAGCTCCAGGAGGTGGAGGCGCGGGAGGCGCGGCTGATGGCCGACCGGGACCAGGCGGGAGCGCCTTCAGAACTCGGGGGGGGGCGTCACTTAGTCACTTTACTGCCTTCTTTGGGCTGTTAGGTATAGGGTTTTTATTGGATTGGGGCATCCTTGGGGCTTCTTGAGCCCCGCTCAGGCAGTGGCGGAGCTCCACGGGAAGGCAGATGCCCTGACGAAGGAGAACGCCTCTCTGAAGGTCGGACAAAACCCCCCCAATATCCCCCAAATCATTTCCCAATGCTCACCCTGTAGCTCTCGACGCTCGAAGGAGCCATGGCGCACGAAATCCTCGTGTCTGTTGCGAGTCATGGCCCATTCGCCTCAGCAGTAGGCATCGATGACAAAGCTGGAGAAGAAGTTGAAAGCACTTCGGAAAGAGGCCGCTTAGAGCACAAAAAAATGGCCACAGGGGTGTGCGCTTTCTTCAGGTGGGGGTGGGGGAGGGTAGCGGGCGGATGAAGAGTCATATTGGCCGGTCGACGCCTCCCCTTTGCTTCTCTCAGGCTGAGGAGCAAGCTGAGCTGGTGGCTGATGCTGTGGAGGTGCGACATGTGCGACATGGGAGGGGCTGAAGGTGTTTCTGGATCCTGCTGAGTCTTCGGTGTGGTTGAAAAGGTGCCTATAATCAATCGCCACAACCCTGAACCCTCAACCCTAAACCTTAGTCCCCCGATATTCCTCTAAGACACATTGCGACACATTGGCGGGCGGAGCGCCCCGCAAGGCCGCTCGCGCGGAAGCGGAAGGAGACTCTGCCGCCGCAATCCTGGAGGCACCTGTGATATGCTGCGTTTTGTAGCGTACTACTCGTAGCAGCTCACAGGCATAATAGCAGGTAGATGCATACGTATGTGCAATATAATATATATATATATATATATCACGAAAGCTAGCTCTGTGGAGCTGGCGGGAGTTGTCGTTTACCCATGCACTGGTATTCACCTTGTTAAGAAGCTTCCAGGGAAAAAAAGGGTTCCACACCTTAACAGGTCCGAAACCCAAGACTTAAGGTGGGGGTTGGGGGGGGCCCCCCCCCCCCCTTCACCTCACCATTAAGCAATTTTCGAAGATAAGGGTGCCGGCGCCCCCCCCCCCCCCCCCCCCTCCTTTAAGGTGGTTGCGTGTGGGATAAGGTAGGGGGGGGGGCCCCCCCCCTCCCCCCTCCGGTCCCCCCCCCCCACCCCACAAGGTCCCCCCCCACCCCACCCCAAGGTCCTCCCCCGCCCCCCACAGTCACCATGCTCTGAAGCTCTGTGGTACTTTGCAGAGGTCGTATTGAACAGAGCGTCCCTGTACCTAAACTTCGATTGCGACACGGGGTTCCAGCGGGGGAAGCAAGGGGGCTGAAGGAGTTCAGGGCTTCAGATTTCGAGTTTAGGGGTCTTCGATCTTACCTGACTAACCGGTTGAGTCTCTACATGGACTCAAACGTGCTTGTTAACAGCTGCTCAAACATGCATTCGAGACTGAAGCTGCAGCTTGGAGCAGCGATACCCATTCTGCATGTGCACGCCATCAAACTTGGGGGAGCCGTGTGCTTTGGGGGAAGTAGACTCTGGTACACGCAGCGCCGCACAAGGGTGCGCCGGCGGCTCCAAGTCCTGCCGACTCGCTGCATGCCACCCCCCTGCGGTGACTAGCTTTCGTAGCCCCTTCTCAAGTATATATTTGAGAAGTAAGTCATGTGTACAGTTCCATAGTTTAGTATTTATGATGATCGGTTGCTGCTTTTGGGTGAGGCTTTTGCAGTATTTGTCGCATCACAGATGCGCAGAGCCGCGTGCTCCAAGGCAGAAGAGAAGCTCCAGCAATCAGCGGCGGCTTTGGACAAGGCGGAGGCCGCGGCGGTCGGATTCGGCTTTCTTAAGGGAGAGAGTTGGAAGAATCTTGATGGAGCCGATTGCTCCCCAATGCCCTGCGCACGTTTCACTCCCACTTCAGGTCCCTTCAGGCCCCGTTTTCTCAGAAAAATGAGCCTCCCTTAGTATATCATCTCTTTCTATATATATATATATATATATATATGGGTTTGTGTCTTTTTGGGGGGCTCAGGTTTAAGAAGGGCACACGGGTTGCCTACCCGCGAAACATACCCCGTAACATACCTCGAAACATACCCCCGAAACATACCCCGTAACATACCCCCGAAATTGCAGGTAAAGTAGCTCGTGATGCCGCCAAACATACCCGAAACATACCCCCAAAACATACCCCGAAAACATACCCCGAAACATACCCGCGAAACATACCCCGACCCCAACACGTGTCGCGCGCCTCCCCATTAAAATACAAACCCATATATATATATATATATATATATACATATATATATATATATATATGTACACTGTGTGAGGCCACGGCGCGGAGTCTGCAGCAGAAGCTCCAGGAGAGCCAGGCCAAGGTGGCATGTGGGGGCTCTTGGGACACTCGAATCAAGGGGGCCCTCTGAAGGAAAGCCTCCCATTTTTTGGAAGGGCTCAGGGCTTATAGGATTATGTTTATACTTTAGGGGGTTTTTTTGGCTTTTAAGGGTTTAGGGGTGTGGCGGTTCAGTTTCCCAGCTTCGGGATCTCTCGGTGTGAGGGCCTTCGGGGCATGCTGAGGCTAATCCCACTCAAGCCCGAACACCGGTAACTTTAAGACCCGAGAGCCCACAAGAAGGAGAGCAGTATTCGGGAGTACGCTGGCGTTGGAAAGACACCCGCAAGTAGCCTCTCAGGCACAGGCGGAGCGGACTCGAACTGCCGAGGCACAGACGGCACAGATCCACTTAGGTTTAGGTCGATGTTTTGAGTTCCTTAGTGGGAGGGCTTTCGGCTTTGCTAGGGGGAACGGGGGGGCCTGATTCGGAGCTTGACTTAATTGCGCTTTGCTTAAAGCTCGAGCCCAAGGAGTCATGACATCCATATCCACAGCTTTTTCAAACGATCGCAACTGCCCCTAAGCCCACATGGCGAGATTGGGGCCTTCGGCCCTGCCACACCAAAGACTGCAACAGTCTGTCCGGTACCCTTAGCCACAGCCCCTTGCAGCCCATCCCAGCCCTAAGCCCCCCTCATAAGCCCACCTCATCCCCCGCAACAACCGGAGCCGCCATGGCACTGCCGGTGGCCGTGGACCGTGCCAATTGGCCCTCCGATGCGTCCCTGGACGAGGCCCAGGTATTAGTCCTCGGAGTACCAACAAGTACCCTTTGTGGCCCAGACGTGGAGCAACGGACGTGCCTACGCCGAACCCCCCCCCCCCCCCCCCCCCCCCCCCTGGTCGCAGGAGGCGGTCTCTGCGCTGCACACAGCACACCACCCGCAGCCCAGGAGAATCCTGGGTTGCCACAGGCGTGTTGGGGGATCTGAGTGGGGGGCCCCAAAGCCTGGCACAGTGACGGATCGAGTTCCGAGCGCAGGCTGGCTCACAGCGACGAAAGTGGCTCGGACCTGCGCCCTTGCTGCGATGATGCCATGTCATCATGTGTCGACAAGAAAATGACTTTGATGGATCTCAGCAGTGGTGCGAGTTCTATTTTTCAGTGTGAGCGTTGGAAACTTCCAGAGGCCCCAGTGAATCGCTGGTGAAGGTCAGGAAGGTTCCATTGTTCACATGGCGTTCCCTTCCTTAGGTATGTCTTCCGCATCTGGCACCAAGCCCTGGAGAGAGATTGGGAGGCTTGGCCACCGCGTCCTACTCCTAGAAGTCCGAAGCTGCCGCGCCCTGGCACCCAGGCAGAGAACAAGCAAGTCAAACTGCAGCTGCTGCTGGAAGAGGAATCTACGCGTTCCGGCTGCAAAGACCAGGAGTATATAATGTCACAAGTCCCATTTATCCGACATGCGGCATGCCATTCTCAAAACTTCCCTTGAACCAACCACACCAGCCTCGGCTTTCTTAGAGTCCTTCCGCGGATTTGGTGTTTCTGCACATTGCTTCATTGCAGCCGCAAAGGCGACATAGGAAAGCTCTGACCTACCGCGGGTCCCGCCGAAGTGGACTCTTCTCCTACCCACATCCCTAGAAAAGACTCAATTTTTTGTAACGATTCTCTTTCATCCCGAAAGCCCCCCTAAAAATCTCACCCGAAAGACTGATGAAAGACTCGGGGGGTTGAGGCCGATTCCTCTCCTCCGCCGCTGCGCGTGGCTTTACGAAGCCGTGGTGCGGCTGCCCGCAGCGCGCCTTCCAAGGGTTTTACGCGCGCTGAAGGCAAGGCTAAGGCCAGTGTGGGTTCGCACCGTTGGGGCTTGCGAGCTTAGCCAAGGCAGACTGGCTGCCGCCCGATGATGGCGCCGGAGGGGCGCCGGTAGGTGGGGTCTTGCGCCCGAGGTTGACATGAAACAATATGGATTTGCCTGGATTTTTGCATCTTTGCATAAGCTTCTCGGCACAGTTGCGGCTGTGTCCGCGGCCGAGGTCCTCCACCTCCCCAGATACTACGTAGTGGCCCCGAGCGAGGAGTGGGCTGTGGGCATAGTGTCGGCATGGCGCTGACCTTGCCAAGATGTTGTAAGGAACAGCTTCTGAGATAGTCGCCCTCAGTGGGTCTCTAAATGCAATGAGCGCAGTGTTGGGCCTCGTGTCGGGTGGGCGAGGAGGGAGAGCAAATCCTCCACGACTGTTTTGGCTACGTTGGCTTCCTGCTCGCCGAGGTGGGTGGCCCTCGCAAGTCTGCCTGTTTCTAAGGAAACATGAGATCTGCATCTAGGGAGGGACTTGTCTGAGAACATCGTTCGCGAACTTACTTGAAGCTATTTTCTAGCATGCGCCAAGCGGAGGTGGAGATCGAGCAGCTGCAGCAGGGAAACTTCCCGACCATCGCGGACGCCCTGGGCTGCCACTGTGTCGTGGCCGGCACCACGGCCGGCACTGGCCCTTGAAGCCCTTGAAGCCCTTGAAGTGGCCTTTTTCGAATCAAACCGCCACAGCACTTCTGACTCCTTTTCTCTTGGCCTATTGGGCTCCCATGTTGAGCTCAGGCGGCGTCTGCGGCCTGAGATTTGCAACCTGGGCGCCCAGGGCGCAATTCGTCAGCGTCGTGGGAGCGCCGGGGCGTTTTTTGGGACTCAGGCTTGTAGAGGTTCATAAGTTGTGTAATCGTTAAGACGTCCTTTTGGGGGCCTTTTTTGGGTTGAGATGCTCAGAGACTCTAGGAGCCGCAAGCCCCGTCAGGAGGCTGGAATGACTGGGATGGGCGTGCAGCACCAATGGCAAGGCGACACCGAGCCGAAGGCAACTCTCTTTGCTCTGTTACATATCATGGGGGCTCCCTTTGAACTCCCTTAGTGCTCCTGACACACCCCGTGACCTTCGGAGGCGGTGGCTTCTCCGGCCTCTGGGAGATCTTTGCCTCCTGTCCGAGCATTAGGTATACGGTATGCGCATGAACGGCTTTTCTGTGAAAGTGTTCAAAGCTGCATGGTTCCGTCTGGAAGTGTTCGCGTAGGCGATGGCAAGAAGGGCTCCGAAATTGAAGCAGAGAAGGCGACAGAGAGAGCGCGAAACTCTGAACAGTCTTTAAGGTGCCTTTTGGCCCAGAGATGTCCGACGTGCCGTTTGGCAGCACGCAACTTGGCCTGACGGAGATGCGGATGTGCACCCCCTGCAAGTGTCGACGGATTCCTGCTCGTGTTGGGGCTTGCACTTTGGCTTTTCGCGGCGTTGTTAGAGACTCAGACAGAGGTACGGCTTCAAGATTCACACATTGGCGGGCCAGGATATTGCAACTTGGTTGCCAATCTGTAATCTCAACCTATCTTGGCCACATCTGGCCACCGCAGCCTGCCGTCAGTGCCTTGAACGCCTGCCATCATCGGTCTCCTTCCTGTTAGTTAGGCCTGCTGGAATCTGCTGGAATCTAAGTGCATGCAAAGAAGCTTGAAAGGTGAATAGCTTAAGGCTTAAGCACCCCACCGGCTGATAGGTGAAGATGGACCCCTTCGCACAGGAATTTGAGAAGCCCAGTGACCTGCACAAGAGCCCCGTGCCTTAGCTGCCCAGCCAGGTACAGTTGGAAGCACATCGAATGATTGGAACAGCCGCCGCTAGAGAATGGTAGTCGGAGGCGATGGTTCAAGTCAAGCCAGTTTTTGCAACATTTTGCGTTCTCGCCAGATGGCCGCAGGTAGCCTGGCCCAAAAGCAGGAAATTGTTCGACAGCGACCCTGCATCGCACGTGTCCTACTGCAGCCACATCAATGCGAGGTCTTCAACGCCTCTGTGGTCAGTGCCTGTGACGACAACTACCAACCGGAGCCGTTCGAGTGGGGCGTGGACCCCAGGAAATTCAGGAAATGAAGGCTTGACAGGACCGACGACGCGGGATGTTGAACGTGAGCTGGCAGATGCAGGCCGGTAAACGTGGTAGATGACATAACTGCGCAAACGGCTGTGTGATGTCGCTCCTTGCGCCAGGGCATGGGCTTTAAGAGGGTGTGGGGCTTCAGGCTTTGAAGGGATGTCAGGATTCTATGTTCCAGGGGTGTTGAGTTTACAAAGGTCTAAGGCCATGTTACCGTATGCGCACAAGGGGCCACCACCAGCCCCCGAGTGGCAGAGTGCCCTTAAGGCGATGAGGCGTGGATGCTCGCTCGTGAGGAGCGAGGTCGCCTCAACACCGTCCTGCTGCAGCCCATGGCCATCTACGAGGCTGGGGCTTTTAAGCGCCTTGAGATGGCTTGGCAACGAAAGCTCCGCACGACGGATCACCTCAGAAGTGACAAGGTTTTCGCTCGCAGTGTAGGCCAAAAGGTAAGGGCCATAGTGCGCAGGGCTGTCATTAAACATAGACTTGACGTCCGGAGTGCCAAGGACATTACACATCCTGATTTCGGGTCTGCAGACTCAGCACGAGAATTCAAAGGGTGCGCAACCCGACATCTCCAAGCCATGTGTTGGACGTTGGAAGTGTTCTCTTGGGCTTTCCAGGTGCACTTACCCTCCTGGAGGCGCGGTGCAGAGGGCGAGCTTCTGAGCTCCTTGGCGATGTCCCATCATCTTCGGCTTGTGGAAGTGAATGCTGTGAATACGGATGGGGTTGCAAGCAAGCACTCCATGGCAATCCATGGCAATCACATGCCAATCTCGTGTCGAAGCCCGCCATGATTCGCAGGCGAAAGCGTTTTCATGCGTTTTCAAAAGACCCCCCCCCCTTATACCAGACGAGAACATCAAGCTACCCCCGCCGCTTCAAAAGCACCGCAAGGCTACCGGGATCTCACGCAGCCCCTCATCGACCACGTGAAGGACTACCGCAAATCCTGCACTCAAGAACCTCAGTGAAGGCCTTAGTGCCTTGGTGCCTTCGTGCCTTAATGCCCTCGCAGGCCCTGAACTTCAACTGGGTGGAGCTCATGGCCCTGGCACACCACCCCTTCCTCGGCTCTTGGGGCTACCAGGTCTCCGGGCACCTCGCGCTGAAGGTGATACAAAAAGGGTGGTGGGAGGAATGCCTGGCAGATATGACACTTTTAAAAGAGGGGGAAGCTTCGGTAAGCGGAGGGCTTCTTGTTGAAAGGTCTGCACGGTTTCAATGTGATTCTACACGGCAAACGTCGCGACATCTTCAAGCAAGAGCGAGCCACGCCTCCCCGATACCATCAGGTACTACAGCTGCTGCTCCCTCATGGGCTCGCCGGACGATCTAAAGCACCTCATCAATGAGCTCCACAAGGCCAAAAGTGGGGCTCTGATGGGGCGTTTGGGGCTCATCCTTGCCAGCTATTCCCAAATAGTTTCTTCCCCGAAATGCGCACAAGAGTCCCTCAGAGGCGGGGATCGGTGTGGTGATGGACTTCGTTCCGGCGCACTTCTGCAAAGACGCCTGCCGCTCGTCCAGAAGAGAGATCCCTTTCTTGGGATTTCCCCTTTCTGCAGGTTTTTTGGGTTTCGGGCCCCTGAAGTCGCAGGTAGCTTCGGTGACTTTGACGGAACACCAACCTACGAGTACGAGGTGCGGTTCTTGTGGGCTGGGCCCTTCTCTGACGAACCTTGCCTCAGAATGCGCTCTGGCAGGATCCGCGCGAAGGAGAACAAAGGCCTCTCTGCGAACATAGGGTCTGAGAGATTCTGAGACGGGCTAGGGCGGCGAGGGGATCATGTTCTGTGGATGCTCGAGGGTTCCGGGGGGTTCCGGGGGGTTCGACATGATCAGCCCATGGGACCCTGACACGACATGGCGGATTCAAAGCGCCACTCTCTTGGCAGGCAGTGGGGCACCAAAATCTTCAACTTCCGAAAGAACGAGGCTCGGGGGCCTGTTCTCCACTGGAGATACAGGTAGAAGAGAGCGCCTTCTGCGAAGGGGTTCTCCAAAAACCAAAGCCACGATGGCAGCCTTCAAAGAAGCTGCTTAGAACAAGGTGCTCTCCTTCCCGAAAAGATCCGACAACGCGAGTCAGAGCCACAGTTGAGTACAGGGCTCGGGGGCTCCAGGTTCGCAGCTTCCTGGTGGGTTCGGCGCTGTTCTGGGCCGAGCGCCCCTCGCCAGCAGGAACTCCAAAAGGATCATGCAAAAATCTCGGGTTGGTCGTGTCAAGTGGTTTTTACTGGGTGTGTGTGAGAGTCGCAGCCCCATGGTTTAGTGAGGAAATCCTCCCATTGGTTTTTAAAAGGAAAGGTCGGGCTCGAGCTGGGCAAATTTAACGACAACCACGAAGCAAGTTCAGATTCGGATCACCCCCAGAAAGAGTTGAGAGAACCATACTCTTCCATGGGCTGCTCAAGCCACTTGGCATAGATATGTTGCAGACTTGCCACGAGGCTATCATGTCGACGGGTTCCGTTGCGATGCTGTCTCCGCCATGCTACTCGGCGCTATTCTGCAGGTTCTTCACGGATTAGTAGAACACGTGCATTTGCAACAGGAAATTGAGGGGCCATTGCAGCTACAATCGCGCTCGGTGTCATGCGCGTTCTGCGTTCCGCAGGATCTACCGGAACTTTGGGAAAGCCGATGGGGACTGGATCCGAAACGAACACGGTGGCGACAGCAACCTCGAAGCTGTCTCGTTGCTCAGGGAGCTGAACAAGTCCATGAAGCAATTCTGGCCAGGCCCCAACTGATGTACTGCCAAGTTCAGAAAGACCCTTGGTAACTGGTAGCTCTGAGCCGAATCGGGGTTTGTACATGTCTGGACACCCCCAACCCTCCCCTTCCGCCTTTCTCTTTTCTGCCACAGGCGTGATCATGATCGCCGAGGAGTCCACAGCGTGGGAAGGCGTCACGACCCTGAGGCCAGTGAGCACCTCTTTTTTGGGGAGATTTGCTAGGGTCAGCTGGCGCCTGCTTTCTTGGAGATTCGAGCGTTTCCGCTTGAATCTCAGAATGCACCCCAGTCTGGGGGCCTTTGGCCTTTCTCTGACGCCGTGTTGGCTCAAAAGGCTCTTTGCACATCGGAGCCTTGCTAATGCTAACCCCTGTAACATGCAGGGGAATTTTCATGGAACTGGCGCCATTGCTGTCTTCGTGGTCCTTGCGTGTCTTTGCCTCCTCGGCATAGATGTTGGCTCAGACGAGTCCGCGCAACGGGGCGAAGAGAAGCAAGAAGCCACATGCAGCCTTCACAGCGAAACCATGAACGGCACCTACTGCGGGAACAACGGGAACAAGACGCTCTGGGATGCAAGCGATCTCTGGAAGATTGACGGTTTGTACTATGACCTTCGTCCCCTTTTTTCTTGGCATCCCGGCTCAACGCTCCCTCTGGAGAAGACCAAGGGCACAGACGCCTCCATCCTCTTCCAGGTGCAGCACATTTCCGAGGGTCCACGGCTTGGCCTACGGAAGTACCAGGCAGGGCTTAGGGGGAACAACTAAAGGAAGACTACGCTGCACCCCACCTCCTGACCATCACTGACCCCACAGTTTGCCCTGCGATTCTCTTGCCACAGGTAGCTTCCGAGAACGTCGTTGGCAATATCGGCGAAGGCGAGTACGCTTACCTGTTCGAGCAGAAGGGCTTCTACATGACTCTCCGGTCTCGCGTGAGCCAGCAACTGCAGGACCTCGGTGTGACCAAACCACGTCAGGCCGACGGTCCCATCCTTGCAAAGATCGGTTTCAACGTGCTGCTCTTCACGGGCACTTGGTACCAGATCTCCTTTCGTTCCTTTTCTGTCACAGCTTGTGTACTGAACCTCATCTCCCGACTTGTCTTGACCGGTGCGGCACACGAAGCCATGCATGGAAGCGTGCTGCCACAGCTACCGCTTGTACAGCGCCTGTATGCAAAGGGCGTGGTGGAGGGGCTCTTGGGCTTTCCACTGGACAGCTGGTGGGATGAGCATGTGCTTTTTCATCATATCCACACGAAAACAGCAGTTGATCCAGATGAGAATCTCCATCAAGGCGTGCCTATATGGAGGCTCACGAATGCATCAGCGTGGAGCGAGCTGCACTCATGGCCATTGGTTTCTCATGGTTTAGTGGGCCTGCTTCATCCACACTTGCGCTGCTTCGCTGTGGAATCCTGGCGCTTGTTGCATGGTGACGCCAGTGTCCGTGCGGGTGGGGCTTGCGTTACGGCACTGGTGCTGCTACTGAACTGGCTTCCTCTCTTTGTGCAAAGACACAAAGGAAAGGCACTTCTCTCCATTTTCCTGTCAGCATTGCTTGCCAGCATGCTGACGATGTTTGCCTTTCACGTAAACCACCTCTTCCCGCAGGCTGAGGGGATATATGATCAGCCCGCAGATTGGGGCGAGCGCCAGATTATCACGACGACCAACTTCAGATCTGGCTTCAACGCAATCTCGGGGGGGCTGGACATGCAGATTGAGCATCACTTGTTCCCGATGCTGAGCCTCTTGTCTTCTCAGTATAGGGATGGTGTGTCATCAAACTTTGTCGTGTTCAAGAACGGGCTCAGAATCGACAGTGCGCCAAGGCTACAATCACCAGCAGACAGTCCAATCTACCATCAAGGAGGTCGCCGAGGCGCCCACCTCAGACCTGCTAAAACGTGTTGAGTACCCTACTCGGGATCCTCTGTCTCCTAACGTCCTAAACCCTCAACTGTCCCATACCTTTGCTGCAGGAGTTCGGCCTGCCCTACCGGTCGTATTCATCGTTGGGTAGTGGCCTCGTCGAGCATTTTGCGTACATGGTGGAGCTTGGACAAGGGCCATAAACAGTGCTGAAAGGTGCTGAAAGGTGCTGAAAGGTGCTGTGAGATGAACTGCGAGCCTTGAACTTGAAAGCAATGCAAAAGGCATTGCCGCAACCGTGCACGACCCCCGTGCACGGTGAATCCATCTCATCTTTTCGGCCTTCCCAACGGTGGAAGCACAAGTCAGCCTCTTCAGTTCGATCTTCTAGATGACTTAAGTCTTAAGTGTCTAACGCCCGACCCTGCCAGCAGACGTCCTGCACGGGATCCAAAAGAAGAGCCGAGCTGCTAAGCCCGCGAGAACTTGCAGAGCAGCGGAAAGCGAATCCAACTGTATCCAAGCTCTTAAAGTCCCCATGTTCTTCCTATTCTGCGAAGGAACGTCAGCTCTGGTCTGGGTTTCGATCTCAAGTGGGATCTCGGCTGGATGAACGTGCCTCGGCATGCCAAGACAACGTCACAGTCCATCAGTTGCTTCAGAAGTCGCTTGGGAGGGTGAAAAACGCTTTAGGGGAATGTTGGAGAGGATGGCGTCGATGGGAATCTCAAGAGTATTCTAAAGCCCTTGTTGATTGCTAGCCGCAAGTGCAAAGCACATCGCAGCCATAGTTCCCCCCCAAGTTCAGGCCGAGTGCCCCTAAGAGCCCAAGCTTCGGCTCGAAGTCATTGGAGGATACGCTCATCTACCTCGAGGCGCTTTGCTCTTTGGGTGATGGGCAGTACGGGTATCGGGGGGTTAGGGCAATCCAGAGAAGGAATGTTGCCCCGGTGCCGACTTTGCTGTGTGATCAGAGAGATTCTGTGAAACTGTCACTCTTTCGCGTGAACGTCTCTGCCTCTCTGTGTGTCTCTGTGTGTCTCTGTGTGTCTCTGTGTGTCTCTGTGTGTCTCTGTGTGTCTCTGTGTGTCTCTGTGTGTCTCTGTGTGTCTCTGTGTGTCTCTGTGTGTGTGTCTCTGTGTGTCTCTGTGTGTCTCTGTGTGTCTCTGTGTGTCTCTGTGTGTCTCTGTGTGTCTCTGTGTGTCTCTGTGTGTCTCTGTGTGTGTGTGTCTCTGTGTGTGTGTGTGTCTGTGTGTGTGTCTGTGTGTGTGTGTGTCTGTGTGTGTGTCTGTGTGTGTGTGTGTGTGTGTGTCTGTGTGTCGTGTGTGTGTGTCTGTGTGTCTGTGTGTCTGTGTGTCTGTGTGTCTGTGTGTCTGTGTGTCTGTGTGTCTGTGTGTCTGTGTGTCTGTGTGTCTGTGTGTCTGTGTGTCTGTGTGTCTGTGTGTCTGTGTCTGTGTCTGTGTGTGTACGTATGGCCTCCTTGCCATGCCAGCATGGAGTCGAGTGGCTGATGGTGGGTCTCCCGTGGTCTCCGGTTCTCGTGCGCACTTTTGAGCTTCAGCCTCTTCTTCGGAAAACAGGGCGCCGTGGAAGAACTGGCAGAACTGGAAAAGGCGGAATCCGGAAATGATCGAGTATGACCGAGCATGAAGCTATGCTGTTGGGTCTTTGAATGCTCGAATGCACAGAACTCCGGCAGTCATGTCATATGTCCATGCCAGGTTGTGCTGCATTCTCGTTGCTCCTTTTAGTTGCACGGTTCTTATCTAGACTCGCAGTGTGCGTACACCCTCCGAAAACGAGCCTTGACACTCGAAGGCGTTAAGTGTTTTAAAGGTACACGGGGTGAGCGGTTTAGGCTGAAGTCAAGCCATGTGCGCCAATGGAAAGCCCACAGCCGGAGGAGCCTGCATGGAATCGTCCCTCGAACCACAGCAAGCTCACATTCCGTTCTCAGCACCCTGGCAGATTGTTCTTTGACAAGGGCCTGCATGGGAATCGATCGTACAGGTTGCAGTAAGGGGCATGGTGTACCTTGTTGAGGGCCAAACACCCAACAATTCCGGCAAAAGTCGGAAAGCCCTCAATGCGACATTCGCCCCCCCCCCCCCCCCCCCCCAAACGCATGACACTGAGAAGCTCCGAGTTTTTTCGAGAGGTTAAGGGCCCAGGGGACAGCACCGGAGGTACATGCAGAATGAGCGATTTGTCTCGCCCTTGTCCCACGACGAGGCTCGGTCCTGGCTTTTGCCATGTGTTTTTTTGCCGAGGGATCTTGGAGCCAAGCACGGTTCCCGAAATCCAGGCATGTATGCAGCACTCGGGATTTCATATTCGTTGGATCCAACATATTCGTATTATTTTAACATGTGGAATACACAGCTTTGAAATGGTAGCCTTGACGCTGCCGCCAAAGAGAGATCGAAGATCTCCAAATCTCCTTTCTCACCAAAGCCGAATCTTTCCGAAGGTCGCCAACATGAAGGGGAGTTTGGTCGAGAAGATGGGCCGCAAGGTCGGGTAATTGTTGGGGCATTTCAGGGCATTTGCCCATGTGGGTCAAGGTCTGCAGCTTCCCCCTTCCCCATGGCTAAATTGCACGCACATAGACCCATGACCTTCCTGAAATCGCAAAGAAAGACTCCCTTAACCCTAAACCCTCAAACCTGAGCCCTAAACCAGGATGGTCTGGGCTTTTACGACAAGCTGCGCCTCCTCTGCGCCTACTATGGTGCCTCGGAACCAACGTCAAAGGCTTTCTGTTGAGGATACTTGGGGGGAGGGGGGGGACGTTTCAAGATACTTTTTGCTAACAGCAGTGTGTTGGTTGAGGGCTGGTTTGGAGCTGAGCCGGCTTAGCTTCACTGGTGTTCAATCGTTGTTCTGTTGTTCTGATGCCGTGGGTCCGTGGGTTGAGGGTTGGGATGCGTTTGTCAGAGGAACCCACGTTGCTCGTTTCTGTCTGAACCGAGTGAGCACTGCAAGGTTACCAGGCGACGGCTCCCGGACGGCCCTTGCTGTTCATGGGCTCCTTTGGAAGCATGCTTTGAAGGTTCGGGAATGTTAAGGATATGGCGATCCTTTGGTGCGCAGATCACGAGAGCTTTGCCGTTCTCCCATTTCTTTTACTCAGCCGTCTCTCTAGGAAGGCAAGAGTTGCTCACCTCTAGCATGCTGCCGGAATCTCATCGGTGGAGTACAGAGTTCTTTCGCTCTTGGGTGACAGTGCCAGATGTCAGGCCAGGAGTTCGCCCAGGGGCGCGAATGGAATTGCTACCAGTCCCTCGACTGGCACGAGGGTGAGGAGGAGCTCAGAAAAGGACCCTGTGGATGGGCATGGTGAGAGTGAACAGGTAGCCTGAAGAGGTTTTGCACCGACGCCGGCGTGCTGTAGATAGCGACGAATGCGTGGTGTTCAACACTCTGTGCAGTGCGTGGTGCAACGTGGTGCCCCAGCCAGGAGTCTGCGTTTGGCTCGCTGATCTGATGGGAGTCTATCAGCACCACCGTGCCTGTGCCTGTCATCTCTGCTTTCCGACCTTTCAGAAGCACATGACATAGCGGAACTTCCTGCTTAGGAAACGAAACTGAACCCCGCGCGCTCGCCGTAGCTAGGTCCCTTGCACATGGGCGACGACTACCCACAGACGCGGCAGTATCCGGTCGGGTCCAACAGCTTTGAGTGGGTGGCCGCCCCAGTGGAAGGCCTAAAATTCAATGCATCTTGGCCCTCCCGATGATGTGTAATGTTGGACCTGCTTTTATAATGTAACCCCCCCCAAACAGTCGCGACCCTGAATAAAAAAAAACCCCAAACAGTCAGGCAGGAGAGGGGTCCGGAGCCCGGAGGCCTCCCTAAGCTACCCCCCGACCCTGGAAAGGTCGAGGCTTCATGCTTCAAGTATCCCTTCTTCTCGAGAAAGCTTATGCCTACTTCCTGAAAACCGAAGGACTGAGCCCCGGGCCCCGGGAGACTTGCATTTTTGCGGGCCCCCAAACAAAGGTATTAAAGTGTGTCCGGAGGCCTCCGTAAGGTACCCCCTTTCCGGATATGATTCGCCTATGGAATCATCTAGTTTTAAGTAAGGAATTTATAAAGAAAAGGCGCCCTGGAAAAAGAAGATTGTCGGAGATCCTGGACAGGTCGAGGCTTCAGGCTTCAAGTATCTCTCCTTCTCGAGAAGCTTATGCCTTCCTGAAACCCCCAAAAAAACAGTCACGGCCCGAAAACTTTTCATTATAGCGGACCTCCAAAACAAAGGGTCCAGATCCTGAATGGCCGAAAAACTTTTCATAATAGCGGCCCCCTAGAATATTGCGGGTGCAACATTAGCATGGCAGAGCATGGCGTAGCATGGCGTGGCGAGGTGGAGAACAACGCAGGCGCCTGCGTTCTTGCCTTCTGCCGACATTGGAAGGGAGAGATACCTGCAGCCTGGCTTTAAGTACTGAGTGACCCACTCAAGTACACAATTGAACACGGTTGTACACGCAGACCCCAAACCCTCTAGCAAGATCTAGCAAGCCAACGGCCAACAACCATCTCGATTGCTCGCATGGCACTGCCATGGCACCGTCGAGGATGCTAGTAACACACCGAAACAAGGTTGCAATGCTTTCAGGAAGCCAGGGAGAGACTTGTTAAGGTATTGATGTTGGGCCCAGGTCATGGCCATCTTCAACTTCGGCAGCCAGTATCACCATGGCTACACCATCGGTGCCCCGTCGCAATTTTGCCAGTGTGCTCTTCAGCACAGGGAAGCACAGAGTGACCGTCGAATCCTGGAGCCCAGGTAGCCCCTACTGGGGAGGCCCGGGCCTTTGCATCGAGAGTTTGTGGAAGAGCATGTGAGTGTCTGGGAGAGGAGGCTTTGATAGGTTCTTGGGATTTCTTTGGACTCAGGGATACAACTTGTAAGGGTATTTGGGGGGCTGCTTCGGGCAGAACGCTTGGGTTTTGGACTCCGAGACTCTGGCCTCACTTCAGGATGACAACGTGCTCCCGCAAGGTTGGGCTTTTTGCGGCCCTAACCTTGCCAAAAAGACTTAAAGACTTAAAGGGTATAACCCTCATTCCCCCATTCCCTGCTACAAGAAACCAACAGTAAGAAAGAGACCGAGCCAGCGGTCTCATTGAGGAGATCTCTGTCCTCACGTGTAGACTGGAGTGGAGGGTTTCAAAAAACCACGGTGAAAGTGTCACTGTGGCAACTCCTAAACCTTGTAAACCCTAAATAAGCCAAACCCTAAACTTTTTCATTGTGATTCAAGGCGGAGGAGCACCCTGAAAGGAGGTTTGTTGGAACTCTAAACACCCTTTCGATGGCAAATCCGAGACCCCGAAGACGGAGTGGCCTCTCGAAGGAGAGAAGTGGGGAATGGCAAGCCTGAAGCGGCGATGCGTAAAATCCAAAGGGTGTGTTCCCGCTCCCTAGCCGAAAACAAGGAGAGCGCCCAAATCTTAAGCCCGGGAACCCAGAGGAACATGGCAAAGCTCAACTCAGACAGTCGCCTGAAGGCTGGCAGGTGCTCCTCAATTCCGACGACCGCCGCTACGGCGGGCGAGGTGGCGGCCCGGGCAACTCGAGCATGCTCTGGACCCGCATGTAGGGGGGGGGGGGTTCCCCCTAAATGAGGGTCCCGGTTAGGGCACCTTTTTGTTGGGGCTTCCGTTCTCTCATGTTTTTTCGGGCTATGCAACGGGGGGGACCCTAGTTGGGAGAACTGCCTGTGTGGGAGGGCGAAGGGGGGGGGGTTGTGAGTGTGTGTGTGTGTGTGCATTAGAAAAATGTGAGGTGGATAAGCAGAAGAGCTTGCCATGCTTGCTTCAGCAGGACTGGCAAGGCAAGACCAGATTGCTCTGACTCGCTCACCTTGGACCTGCCCTCCAACAGGCGAAGCAGATTCTGGCAGGGCAACCATACAAGTAAGGTCTCTACGAGACTACAAGTAATAGATGCTGTAGTCGCCGCACGCTTCATTTTGCGATCTTGTGACGGGTGGGCTGCAACGGAGCTGTTTTTCAGCAAGCCGTTCCGTCACCATGCGTGTCGGGCATGGCCATTCGAGGGTTGAGGGTTCCGGCAGCCTAAACTCACGAGAGCGTCTCAGAAGGTTTGATGAAGTGTTTGCAGAATGTCTTGCCTCCACGCCCGCCTCCCCCTCTTGTCCAGCCCTGTCGGCAGTTGCCTGGTGCTCCTGGCCCCTGAGAAGTTCCAGGATTGCAAGGCAGGACACTCGGGGGGCTCTTCCGGTCCATGAGCCCTTTATGCTTCCAGTAGCTCGAAGGAAAAAGCAGCTTAGAAGTTTCATGATTCCTTCTCCCACTCCCCCAAAGGGTATCAAAAAGCGAAAAGAACATGAGCCTCACAGCCGGGCTCCACCGTGTCGGGGAGTTGTGACCCTTCTCGAGGCCACGCGGCCTCCGGTTGGCATGAAGGGCACCGCGGATACACTCTGCGCAGACATCGAGCATCTTGTCACATCGTGGTCAAGTTGGCAAATTGTGGGCAAGCATCACGTGAAAAGGCCACGCGCCGTCAGCTCAGGTATTGCTTGGGCGACATCGGCTTCTAAGAGACCTCTTCAGGGCTTCGGGATGCGACGGCTCAAGAGCTGGCGTCTAGAATCTATAGGTTTGTACGTTTTTTTGACGGGTTGTGGCATCAGAGCGTTCGGCTCCTTGGCAACGTGAGACCCGGGCATTGTGCATACATTTCAATGTGCCTGCGACCCTGGGGGGAAGTACAGATGCGTAATCTGCAGAGCAGACAAAGAACGCTCTCCTCGCAGCATGTTTTGCGTCGCCTCGCGATCTCCTATCTTTGCATATGCGGTAGGGCCTGACTTCGGCTCGTAGTGACACAGTACCTCACAGAAACCTCACAGAAAACCTTGGAACAGTCTCCAAAAACAGATTGCGAGGCGCCTTTAAAGGTGGAAACCTTGAGAGCACATCGGCAAGGTCGATTGCGTCGTCAGAGATTTGGGGACTTCTGCTGGGCAAGACACCTCAAAAGCAAGCTAATGGCTCACAGGGATTTGCAAGGGCATCCAAGTTCATGCCCTTGAAAGAAAGAAATGAAGCTCCCAAACTGCCGCTTCGGTAAAAGGCAAGTACTTTTTCCCATCGAGGCGGCCGTCTCCATTTTGGTGGGCACCTTCCGATGTCCGCAGTCCTTCCAAGGAAAGCGAGAGGATCGTCGCAGCCGCGAGCTCGATGCAAGAACGAGTCCGAGGAAGTTGCCCACCTTTGGTGGCAGATCAGCCAGATGAGTCAGCGGTCAGCGCGAGCTGACGTACAGTCTCCTGTTGCTGCGGGTGCAGCCAAGAAGCCTCAGGGAAGCACACACAGACACACGCACACGTTGCCTGCGCACTCTCACCATTTGTGATCATTTATTGGTCCCATTACTGTGGGCTCTCTTCTGAGGATTAAGGGCCCCAAGAGTGACCACAGAAAGTCTAGGTAAAGGCCAGGCGAATCCACGGAGCACTGTCGCGGGAGTGTACGGAGGCATCAGGGGGCCATCAAACTCGGGAGCTTGCAAGAAAGCGGTAGACGTCTTCAGAGTCTTCAGGTCAAGTCTACACAAAACACAATAAGTTGCTGATCGAGTTGGGGCTTCGGGCTGCATCCCCGGAAAGGAGCAAAGAGCGCCTGTCCTACCTTGGGAGGGGTCGCTTGCAAAAAGACATCCGAGAGGGCGCGCGCCACGCAGAGCTGCTCAAAATAGAGTCGGCTTCTGAGCTCAAGAGATATTGACATGAGCCCGACTTTGCAGATGATTACAGGGTTGCGGGGAGCCTTCGGCGGGTGTTGCGCAGGCCCTGGCCCAGCAAGAGGCTCTCGAGAAGGCCATGGCCCTCTGGCAGACCCAAGGTTGAAAGGTTGAAGAGCTTGTGGCCATTGTGGCCCAATGAAAGAGCGCTGTCAGGAGGTTGCTGCCAACGCGGGCTCCGTGAGGTTGCAGCAGGAGGCACCCGGGCCGACAGATCAAAGCACACGTGAAGAGCAATCAAGAAGCTCCTTTAAGATCTCTCCCATCGAGTCTTGCCGCGGGCCCTTGGAAGGAGCTGGCCGCAGCGTCCCGTCGCATCGCCGAGCTGCAGGGGCAGGCGCAGAGCTCCTTTGCTGAGTTTGCCTCTTTGCTGCCCCTCTTTTGGGGCTTTCTTGAGCGGACTCTTGGGATCCCCTTTGGCTGAAAAAGAAGGCCGCCTCCGCGGCGCGGCAGGAGCAGGAGTGGAAAGAGGTGCAACCCCATCCTCGGGGTCTCAATAAGGTACAAGTAGGCCTTTGGAGCCTGTGTTGTTTCGTATGTACCTTTTAAGGATGAGAGGGTCTTCTGAGGTGTGCGCTCGCTCTTTCTGGGGGTGATGGTGGGGGGGAGGGGGGACAAATGTACGGGGCCTTCTGGGGTCTGGGGTTTAAATTGAATTCTGTATTCTCCCTCTCTCTCTCTCTCTCTCTCTCTCTATATATATGCATACACGCACGCACGCGCGCACACACACACACACACTTTTTCTACAGTTTTATATACATACAATGCTATCCTCCCTCCAGGAGCAGCCTATCTTTTGATGTTGAAGACATGTCTTGAACCAATGGCTGTTCGAGGAGTGCTCGTGTAGTACAGATGTGAAGAATGCGACGGCCGAAGAACATATGCGACTTCCAGCTTATAGCAACAAGCCGTAAGCATAGTAGTACCCCATTCCGAGGTAAAAATGCAAATAGCTCAACTAGTCTGACTCACATAATTGGACGCAACTTAGTTTTAAAGTTAAACTGCTACTCAAGGGCCTTTTTCTCCTCTTGTAAGGACATGAGACGTTGATTTGAAAATGCCTAATGGCTTGCAACTTAATAGCATGATTTCATCTTTTAAGCGAATTGAACTTTTAACCGGCAAGCCTCCAAGACATGTTTTGAGCTACAGGCGATATACCTGCAACCAAAGGAAGGGCCGACATAGAAGCAGGCACATATACATTTTGTTATCAATCATTCTGCCCTCTAAGCCTGAGAGCCCTTAGTTCAGTAACATAAAAGGGGCGTTGCTGAGAGATCCGCACGGGGCCCCTGAGAAGCCCCCCCCCCCCCCCCCCAGAGGCTGCGAAGATGCTCAAAGACAGAACCCGGAAGTTCAAAGACCAGGCGCGGATGTGGTTGTAATCCATTGTTTCATATATAAATATGTATATTTCCATGTATATATATACACGTATAGATAGACTGTCGTATGTATATGCATACACATCTGTAAATACATATGTGTGTAATTTTCTGTATGTGAATTAGTATACTGGTCTCCATAACAATATAAAGATGTTTGCGTATACACACAGACAGAGATATATATATATGTATATGTATACAAGTTGTATACATGCCTGTGTGTATGTGAATGTGTATGTGTATGTGTATGTGTATGTGTATGTGTATGTGTATGAATGTGTATGTGTAGGTGTAGGTGTAGGTGTATGTATGTGTATGTGTATGTGTAAGTGTAGGTGTAGGTGTAGGTGTAGGTGTAGGTGTAGGTGTAGGTGTGTGTGTGTGTAGGTGTGTGTGTGTAGGTGTGTGTGTGTGTGTAGGTGTGTGTGTGTGTGTGTGTAGGTGTGTGTGTAGGTGTGTGTGTGTGTGTAGGTGTGTGTGTGTAGGTGTGTGTGTGTGTGTGTGTGAAGGTGTGTGTGTGTGTGTGTAGGTGTGTGTGTGTAGGTGTGTGTGTGTAGGTGTCTGTGTAGGTGTGTGTAGGTGTGTGTGTAGGTGTGTGTGTGTGTGTGTAGGTGTGTGTGTGTAGGTGTGTGTGTAGGTGTGTGTGTAGGTGTGTGTGTGTGTGTGTAGGTAGGTAGGTGTGTGTGTGTGTGAGCGGCACTGTGAGCGTGTAATACCGTGTTTATGGAAACAGATGCGTCGGAAGAGTCGGGGGGGGGGGGGGGCTTTCTTTGCAAGGAGGCAAAGAAGCTGGACCTCAGCAAGAAGGCCCAAGAGGCCTTCCGAAGCGCGTTGTCTTCAGTCTCTGAAAGTTATGGAGCACCAAGTTGAGAGGCCTAGGATGCCTTCTCAAGCTTCGCACGCTTTGAAGATGCCAGGCTGCCACCAAAGCAGTGGAAGTTCTCGAGGTGCCGTGTTTTTGTTTGAGGTTTATAGAACCAAATAAGAAGTAGCAAACATGGACGGCGAGAGGGGGGAGGGGGGGTGCCCGGCGAAGGCTGGTCAGGTCTGGGTCCCACATCAATCGGTCTCGTTCCAGCCCTGCAAAACTCGAATCGAAATCCCGAAATTCGGATGTCCAATCCATTCCGGGGTCCAGAAGCTCCTGTCAAGGCGAAGTTGGCAGCAAGCACCCACCACGCAGAGTCCTTGGAAGACGAGGTGCGGGCATCCCATGGTAGAAGGAAGCAAGATCTTGCTGCCCTCCCTAAACAAGGATGACATTAAAAGAGATCGTCTTCGAGAAGCGTAGCTTTTCCCCCAGCATCTCTCGGAACGTGCTTAGCGAGCTCTCAGAAGAGTAGCTATAAACCACAGAGGTCTCCAGGTGTCAGGTTTAGTCAAGATTTCAGTCCACGTCAAAAACATTAGCGGCCCACATTCAGCCTTAATGAAAACTCTGTTCAGGTGCGCCGGCTCAACGACGCCTTGACAGGCTCCAACCTCAGAGAAGGAGCAGAAGCAATAGTTAATAGTTCGATATAGTTCGCAAAGGGGGCGGCGTGACCCGTCAGTTGTCTTCGGGCGGCTTTGATGGGACTTGGAAGCTCTCCCATCTCTCCCATCTCCCCCATTATCCCCCATCCGAGGCGCTGCGCGGGAACAGCAGGAGCAGCGGGCGATCCAGCAACAGGGCGAGGAGGCAATCGCCTTCTGTGGGTGAGATTGTGTGCAGACATTGGCTTTGCCTTTCCTGCCAATTTGTGTGTGTTTGTGCGTTTCTTCTTACTGGCCGTGCTTTGCTGAGGAACTCGCGGCAAGTTTGGGCGAGCTGAGGCGGCAGATGCAGCTCAAGAAGGCTTGTTAACAAAAGCCCCAAAAGCTCCAGAAAGCTTTGGCAAATCGGGGCCCCTTGCCAGCAGTGTCGGCCGACTCCGCCCCCGAAAACCCAGCGAACCCTTCCAACCAGTGGCTAGCCGGTAGCCCGGTAGCCCCTAACAGCCGCGGGCAGGACCAGGTGGCGATCGAGCGTGAGCGGGTTGCGCAGCTGGAGGCGCGCTCTTGTTTATAAGTAAATATATGTGTGTATATGCACGCTCTGCGTCCTTTCGGCACTTTTCCTTTGTCTAGGGCAGGTCTCGACGGAACTCTCTCTCTCTCTCTCTCTCTCTCCCAGAGACGAAGCTCAGGTGGCCAATGCTGCTCTTCGAAATGACCTCGAACGCCTGAACACCGAGGGCGCCGCACGGCACCAGGAAGCGAAGCCGCGGGCGTGGGACATTTTTCTTTGGACACCGTCGGACGGCTCTCGTGAGGAAAGTTCCGTGGAATCTCAAGCAATCTTACCGTGAGCAGAGAGCAGAGTGAGACACCAGGACCAGGTCTCCCGCATCCAGCGCCTCAGCGAGGAGCTTGCCGAGGTTCCAGCATCCCGCAAGACAGCGCAAGACACCGCAAGACAATGCAAGACGTGAGTGCGCCCCCTCTCCATTCGTAAGTTCCTCTGAGTTCCTGCAGGTGACCCAACTCAGGGAACGAGTGGGGACGTTAGAGAGCCTGCAACGCGGCATGGGGGACTGCCTCCAGGAGCCTCAGCGGTCTTTGGAGGGTTCTTGGAAGCCTCATGGGCTGACAATGCATGACAATGTCATATCTGATTTGCAATGGTATGTGTACCGTATGTAGGGCGCTTTTACTGTATACTATATATATACATACATGTATCAGTGTCGCGGCTGTTTCCAAATCGGCGACACCTTGTCTACGCACCGGCAATGGTGTTCTGCCACCCAAGCCTTTCCACGTTTCTCCTTTTCACTTTCCGCTGTCCTTTCCACTCTTCACTTGAACATGGGCGATCAACAAGCGGACAGTGCCACGGACATAGGATCAACAGAAAGTCAGAAGCGAAAAGGGCAAAACCATAGACAGTGATCTAACCTGATTTGAGCATCAACTCAAGCTACACGAAAGTACTGAAGCCTTCCCTACAGCCTAATCCCTAAACCCCCCTTCTGCTGTGCTCTTCTAAGAGACCCTTTTTGGGCAAGGACTCCCAGCGGCGCACGCGAGAAGCAGAGCTGAAGGCCGATCTCCAAGTCCAGCGTTGCGTGGACCTGCCATGGAGCTGCCATGCACACGAGACTTGATGCAAATCACTTTACCTGCTACCACTCGTGCGGTTCTTGTGATGGTTATTGTTATTGTTATTGGTATTGTTATTGGTATTGTCATTGATATTCTTAGGTTTGTGATGTTGATGTTTATGATTCCTCTGATATGGTTTTTAAGTTACTTAAGTTGTGTTACAACTACGAGTTGCCCACTCGCATGCAGTGCTTCTTCAAGTGCTTCAGACTGCTTCCCTGCGAGGCAGAGGCTGCGCACCGTGAGCTGGCCGAGATGCAGGCGCGGGGCTTGGGGGATCCCGTGAAGCGGAGGAATACGTGCAAGAACACCCGTAGCAAGAGTACGGGCAGCCGTATCTCCCACTCAGACAAGCCCATAAAAACTCCGAAGTCTCAGAAAGGCCTCAGAAAAAGGCTTCGGTTCTTGGGATGAAAATTTTGGTAGTCCATTCCTTTTGCGGAGCCAGGTAGAGCCAGGATTCCAAAAATGGTTCAGGCTTCAGAGGCTGAAGAGAAGTTGCCGAGATGGCAGGACATGAGGGTTTACGAGATTAGGGGTACCTTATTGGGGTCCTTATTATCAGGGAATCCGACGATTTGGGGGACTGTATCAGGGTCCCTTTTTTTCGTCACCCCCCATATGAATCAATGTTCGACAGGCTGCACAGATCCGGTCGCGCCTCGGCGCCGTCCTCGGACCCTTGCTGCTTGCGATGTGCTTCCTTTGCAAGGGTTGGCTTCTCCATGATTTGCGTGATACTTATAACACGACACAAGCAGCCCAACTCGACTCCGATTCAGTTCGCAGCAAGCCCCTCCATTCGTCCCCATGAACCGCCCATGATAACCTAGAGCTGCCATAGCGGATGCCAACGGCATACACATCCGCCGCCCGACAAACCCGGTCAGGCTCTCGGCACTGAGAGATCTTGGATTCCTGGATCGTGCCATACTTGTCGAGCCCCAGCGCGGGGCGGCGGAGTCCGAAGCCAAGACAACCCTCGGAGGGGATGGTTGAACTGGTGACCGTTTTTAAGACCATGTATCTAATCCCTGATGATGCAGGGACGGGTTTCGGACCCTTGACGGGGCAGTGTTGGGGCCAATCCTTTAATTCTGCCCTGGCATCACCTGGTTCGTCGAACCAAAGCGCTTCAATGTGCGGCTAATTCACTACGTTCTGCAAGGTGGCATGCAAGGTTGGAAATTTCGAGCGGCGCCGTTCCTAATGACGCTGCGAGCAGAAATCGAACTGAGGCGAACTGCGAAGCGCCACAACACGAATCCCCGTAGACTTTGCTACTCGATGTCCCAACCTCTAATTCGGTGCACCCGTCGAGACAGGGGCCGCATGCCTTGATGTTGGGCCGCGTGGTCTGTGGTCGGTTCTCAACTTCTAGTTACTAGAAAGTACTAAAATCTAGTATTTTCTCTATCTGACGAAGAGGGACTGGGACTCAAATAGGTCAATCGTAGAGGAGTCGTGGGAAATAGCCACGGCTTGCGCAGAGCTTCAACATGTTGTTTAATCCTCCTTAGCTTCCAAGCACCTTGCTTGGTTCCGCAGCGCCGGAGTGACAAAGGCAGAGGGCCCACTCTCAACACAGCGCAAGAATACGCAAGAGATGAGCTCTGGTACGAGTCGGTCGAGTATGAGAATTGACCAGTATTGAGATGCAGATGCCTTCCGTTTCCTGCTCAAGCTCACGAATCCACCGAAATAAGGCTGGGCCTGGCATCCAAGGCTAGGGAACAGGTCCACGCACCGAAGGGCTCAGAAGGAAGTCCTCTGAGTTTTAGGCAGCTTAGGTTAGGGACAGGAAGCAAGTTTCGCTTTTGACCACGCCCTCTCCGAGGCGTACTGTAGACGAGGAGCTCGGAAGCAAACAATCCTCAATAGTTCTCAGAGGTTACCAGCAGCGCTGACCGCATGTCGCCGCGAGTTCTCCGTGCAAGCTGCAGAATTTTCCAGGCGCCAGGCCCTTGGCCTGCCAATGAGCTATGCAGCGTTCAGTACCTCATGCTTAGGAAATTCCCTCATAGCCGTCATGAGACTCTTGAGGTAACCGACTTAAGTTTTTGGGCCTGGTTTCATGATGTCATCATGCACGCCACATAAATCTCTGATGGCTCCTAGTTCCCCTGCCTCAAGGCTCCTCCGAATCAGTGGATTGGCTCAATGAGGAATACATGAGACCCATCGCTTGGTTCTGAACCCAGCTGACCCAGGGCAGCTCTCAATAAACCCCAAAAAACTTCCGACATCCCAGCAGGTTATTGTAGGGGATTTGTAGGGTACTTTGTAGGGTGAGGCAGCATGGCAATGGCGGAGCCAGAGGCAGAAGCGGTGCCGCGCTCGGAGGCCGACGCTTTGGAGCTGACCGTCATTCCCGAGCGCGGCCCGGCCGGAATTCTGCAGAAAGCTTTGATTGTGCAGGTGATTGTGCGCTTGCATTGTGCGGTTGCACATCTCAACAAAAAAGGATACTTCCAAGCTTTGCGTGTGGAAACAGTTGGGTATAGGTTTGGGGGCATCGGATGCGAGGGATGCCAAGAACCAGTTGCAGTTTCTCCTGGCAAGAGAGGCAAGACAATCCTGTGCGGCTCCCGCAACACGATCCGAACTCTGATCCGCATCAAGACGCCTGCAAGCTCCACGAGCCGGCCGCCTGTGCAGGTGGCGTGCGTCCTGGATCGCATCTCGGCCAAATTCGGCCAAAAATGGCAATTAGTAGCACATAGTAGCACTATGTAGCAGCATCGAGCAATCTAGCACTCGTTCTTGCTACCTCTTCCCAGCTCTACCCTCTCGAATTGTCACAGAACTGCTCGGGTGCCGCGAAGTTCTTGCTACACATGAACCATGAGCCTCTGCGACCTAAGCGCATCTCAGCGCGCAGAGTCTGCGGAGATCTGCAGAGTGTTTTTTCTGTTCGCCAAGATCGCAGGCTCCGGGTCTATGAGAGGTGCGAAGTTGGCTTTCGCAAAGCGTGCTTGCGCCAAGCTTGTCAAGCACTTGGAGGTACAGGACACGCTGCATTTCATCACCTATGACCACTCTGTGAACATCATCTTCACAGACGGTGACTTGTCGGACGTCGGGAAAGATAACCTCAAGAGCCAGATTCATGCAGTGGGTGTCGGTGGTTCAACCAACCTGTTCGGAGGTCTTCAATCTGCTGCCGAGTTGTTGGGACAGGATGCACCAGGAGCCCACGAAGACGAAGCCCGAACCCCAAGTACACCATGCTCCAGGGTGAGACGCATTTTCCTGTTCAGCGACGGATGTGTCAACGCGGGCGTCACTGATCCGGCACACATCTGTAGACAGGTCGCCGCCTGGTCTGATGCGGGCATCACCACTACCACCTTCGGCATTGGGGCAGACTTTGATGAACCTTTGATGCGGGGAATTGCTGAAGCCGGAAAGGGCCGCTATACTTTCCTTGCAACAGCCCCAGATATTCCTCGACTCGTTTCAAAGTCCATTCATGACCTTTTGAAGCTGTTCGGCAGCGAAGCCGTCTTGGATATCCGGGGGGGCAGCCACACTGTGGTTGACAAGGTCTATGGGGGAGATGACGAGGATGAGGATGCAGCCAACACGGCAAGTGCTGGGCTGTTGCAGCTGGGCGACTTGCATGCCGCCAATGAACGAATGGTGCTGCTGGAGCTCGCCTGCTCTCCTCCAGGCGACTTTGGCTTTGGCGCGACCATCAGAGCTGCGGAGTGGATGCTCTCATACCAGAGGAATGGGGCCACCGTACAGTTTTCGGGCTCCGTAGAGTTAACGACCACTGCCGACCGTGGTGACCGTGGGCGTGCCCAGGAGCATCCGGCAGTGAAGGCGATGTTCGCACTTCGCCGTGCATCTGATCTGGAGCGAGAGGTCGCAGATCACCTCCAGCGGCGGAACCTTGTTGCAGCCAGAGATGTGAAAGTCCAGCAGCTGCTGCTGCTTTCGCAGACGCTGGAGTCGCTTGCAGGCAGTGATGTGGAAGAAGTCTTTGCCCTTGCCCTGCGCAGGGCCTACGAAAGGGCACAGCGAGTTGCAGAACAGCTTCAGGAAGACCAAGACATGGAGCTTACTCGCCGCCAGTGCGTGCACGAATGTGGCATTATGGATGCCATGAGTGTCGCCGGTTTCTCGGATGGCCGAGACTCCTCAGCAGGAAGCGCCATCGAGGATGACGATGCAATGTCCGTAGGGTCCGTAGGCTCAATTGCCTCCATTGACTCAATCGGCTCAGTGAGCAATGCCAGCCATGAGCGTCCCGCACCGGCACACACTCCTCGCAGAGATAGTGCGCCCGGCCCTTCTTCGAGGGAAGCTAAGCTTCCCCAGTACATGACATACGTCAGGAGCTGGGCCAGGTGGTGCTCGGAGCAACCCTTGGGATGCTTGCAAGGCCTCAAAGGACCCCGTGCATCCTCCGTTTCTGGAGCTTGAAGTCCCGAATGCAAGCTCCTGCTCAGAATGTGCACATGCATAGTCGTGGCGCATGTGCCACAGGGATGGTACAGTTCCCCGCCGGCACCGTGCGACAGAGAAGCTGCTGTTAACGTTGCAGCTGAGCGTGGCGAGCATAGGGTCAGCATCTCAGCAAATTGCAGGAGATGACTTCCCAGCCCAGGTTCGGATGTATTCGAGCTCCATGAGATGAGTGGTGAAGGGGTCGCCCCCTCAGTGGCCAGGTGCACTCCGCGCGCTCGTCTTACGCATGTCGATTGGACGGATGTTCCTAGAAAATGAATATCAGGCAGGGACTATGCCAGGGCAAAAGCCACACAAAATGATGCAAACCATGAGGCATGCCGATGCATGACATATGTGCTCGACACTCGTGTGACTGTGAGTGCATGGGTTTGAAAGGGGCGGGGGGGGATTGTGTTTCAAGCTTCTTTTGGGATCGCATTGTCATCAATGTAATTCGCGCTTCGGCTTCCTGTTGCAGTTGCAGATGCATTGTCGTGTCCACCTCTGAATGCCCTACCAAACAAGAAAAAACAACAAAACATACCTAGTTTTATGCTGTGCACTGTGAAGCCACCGCTTCTTGGCACTGAGGGAGTGAAAGAGTGAAGGATGTTTAACGTCTGCTTAGGATGTCCCTGGTATTGTCAAAAGCTGGCAACACCCCGATGCCGATCCCTGCAGCGCTATAGGTTTTGGGTTGCTCTTCCGCGGTGTTTTGACCAAGATTCTGCTGTTGTTGGTGCCCAGTCCCAACGCGTGCGCCGTTCTCGCAGCTGTTTTCTGGCTCAGAACTTTGCCGTTGTTGTTGTGACCGACTTCCCGATTCCGAAGGAGGCCTTGAAGATTCCTCTGCCAGGTCCATGCAAGGATTTTGGAGTCAGAGAGCTCGAACCCGAATTTGCAAGGGGGTTTCATAGGCCCATGTGCGCTCACAAGTTTGGATGCTTCGGGAAGCCTTTTTTTGGGGGCGGGGGGGGGGGGGGAAGGTCTCCTCCCACTCTTCTTGGCTTCCCAACGCGAGGGTACAGTGCGTTGAACTCCCTCAGTCCCCATAAAGTGCTTGAGTGAAGGAACTTAATTTGGGCATTTTTGCCTTGGGCATCCTTGGGCGCTAAATTGCACGATTCTCGAAGCCGTCCTACGAGGCTCTTAGGTACTCCAAATTTTTGTAGGACCCCAAAGTACCCCAAGAAACCAAACGGGGCAACCCTGCCAATCCCAGCGGGGTGCAGAGACCTTTCGTTTTGGGACTGGGTGGGTTTGATCCGTTCTCTAGGATTACTTGGGGTCACGCGACCATCCTGTGGCTGTTTTAGAGCATTGGGAGAGTTGAAGCCTTAGGCTTTTCGCCACGTAGCAGGGAGCAGCTTCAACCTCCCTGGTTTCAGGCGCAGTATGAGGTTCCGGATGCTTCGGCAGGAGAAGCGGAAGATAATGGAGCGGCACCTGGACGGCAAACAGTGGCTTCCCGCTCCCGACTCATTTTTTCCGACCATTTCTAGTCCTTCTCTCCAGAAAAACCCTCAAGCTTCATCAGGCTTCGTATGAGCCCAACAAGAGGTGCTTGTTGGTTGCTCGTTGAATGCGGTACAGCCGGAACATGTAGACGTCGGGGCGCTTCCAACTGTGCACAATTGCGACTTCCAGCATCATCCCATCCGAATAGAACAGCCCAGAAGCTCGGACCAGACCTGATGCAGAACATGACCAGGCAGATAGCCGAGACCCAGCCCTCGGTCGGGGAGGCTGGCTCTGGGCCTCTGTTACACGCGCGCGGACTTGGGGCATCTAGATGCTTCACAAGCAATGGTGATGCACAAGCACATTGAGGTAGGTCATTATTAGGTTCATGTTCATGGAAGCTTGTTCATGTCTTTGAAAGCTTGCCAAGCCATAGTTCTTGATAGATGGGACGCGATCTAGGTCTGAGAGCGTTTTTGGCCATTTTGGCGACATATGATTATGAGCTCAATGCCCAGAGTGCCATGGCCTGTCAGCGTAAATCGCGTGATGCACCGGAAAAGTGTGGGATGAGTGTTGGCTGTGACAGTTTGCGTCTCGCACGGAGCAGATGCCTGCCAAAGTAGTAGTAAAGGTGAAACGTGACAAGGATGAAAGCCAGTGCTGTGGACAAGAAAACGTTATCACAAGCAAGCTATTGATGGCACTGTGTCATACTGTGTCATGGCAAAGCATCTGCACAAGCAGTTCGTTGCGAACAGCGCTTGCCAACAAACTGGATGGATGCCTTAGCTACTGTCTAGTGCAAAAGATCGGCTGTGCGTGTGTGTGTGTGTGAGAAACCGTGACATTGTCGAAACTTGACCCACCCTTCCATTCAGCGCTCGGGCGGTGGGCTCGTCAACTGTTTACCGGCTTTGTTGGGCCCTTGGGGCGCTTTGGAGTTCGTTCTTTGAATATGGTTTGTTCCGCAAGCACATGCAAGCACTGTGCTAACACTATCGCGAGCGGTGATCGCATTTTGCACGAAATGCTTACTTCTCCACCCGCGGGCTTGGGCAAGGACATCCAAGGACTGTCCGGGGCCTTTGCAACAGCAAAGTTCAGTTCGTGCTCTTGATGCCTCGTGGATGTTCTCGAAGCGCGCTCTCGCCTAGGCCTCGTGCGCATCTCGTAGCGTTTCTGATGGAAATCGTGCTCTCCACCTATATACAGTGTTTGCGCTCTCGCTAAGCGTCCCAAACGTCGCAGGATGTCGCAGGCGCATGGAATCCAGCGTTTTGTGCCGTTGAATGGGTTCGTTGGGCGCCTCCAGACTCGCTAAGGGGGCCTGCAATTCGCGATTGGAAAATCGCGTTCGCGCATATGTGCCGTGCATCGACATCACCATCCTCGTAGCGGCTTTTGGACGTCGGGGTTCGCCATCCTCGTCGCTGGCGCGAACTCGGACGTGGCTCCAAAGTGAACTTTTGCAGTACGAGGGTAGTACGCGGAGGGCGTCTGGGGCTCCGGTGGCGTCCGGGCAAGTTTCGTGATCCGTGCAACTCTTCGTGTTTTTCTGCGGCCTCTCACTGTTTTGGGTCTTCGCTGGCAGAGGTTTGTTTGTGTCACATGAGAGTTCTGAAAGACAGACTGACGGGCTCCGAAGGTTCCCAGGAATGCCACGGACTCCTCCTTGGCCCCTATTGTGCTTTACAGTTCCTACTTCTATGCTGACGTTCACTGCTTGTTACTGCGTCTTGCTGCTTGTTATTGCTTGTTTTTGCTTGTTTTTGCTTGTTATTGCTTGTTTTTGCTTGTTTTTGCTTGTTATTGCCATTATGTGACGTATGTTGTGAACATGCTCAGAACCGGTAGAAACTCCTCCTGCGAGGAGGGGTGCGCAAATCACCGGCATGCCACGTGTTTGCATTTATGGAGCTTTTGAGGTCTGTTGGATCGCAGATTAGAGTTTAGCAAGCATAGAAGTTTCATGAAATCTCAGAAGATGAAGGCCTCAAGGCCACGTGACGTCGTGTGGGTCAGGGATGTGCAGCATAAGGTTTGCCAGCCTGGGGAGCTAGGAGTGTAGCCTCGAACCGCTTCCCAAGCTAGGACCTTTTGTTCAGAACCTTGCAGAATCCTTCAAATATGCCCGCGAGTTCATAGGCATGAGGCAAGACCCTAAAGGTTGGGGGGGTTGGGGGGTTGGGAGCTTTTGGGGGCAAGCGCTGAGGGAGTCTGACCGCGTCAGACCATAAATTTCGACCTTGGCTTTTGGTTTGAGGAGAATGTTGTTCTGCGGGATACGGATTCGGCCCTCGGGAGTCTCTGGAAGCTATCCGAAGCCAAAAGCCCCAACCTCATACTTCATGTGCCTTGCTGGTTTGGTTATACCTGTTTGGTTTAGAAGAGTCAAGTAGCTGTTACGTGCTCATGGGGATTTTCATAAAGTTATCCGAGCATCATGCGCTCAAACCTCGTCATAGCAGAAATAAACGCAAGCCTAAGACCCTGAAAAAGAACGTCACACTGTCCTGGTTAGTCAGGCCCGCCGGCACGCCAGTGGCAGCAACTTGCACAAGAAATCCAAGCATCTCGATTGCAGGAAGGGATTTCAGCCAGGGTTTGAGGGATGTGTGGCCGCACCAAACTCCTCCGTTGGATGCTTGAAAAGTAATTCGGGTCATGACCCAGCCCAGGATGATCACTGATTTGTTTTTTTTCGGTGTCATCCAACAGACAAGCTGTACTTTGACGAAGCTTGAGGTTTCATCCGCAGGTCAACCATGTCTTGTACTTCTACATGTTGGTGATCTGTTGATGGCATATCCCATCCCCAAGCAACACAGACGGTTCTGAGCTCCAACTCTGCAAGAGCCTGCAGGGCTACGCATTCCCAGTGGCAGGACCGGGATGTTCCGAATATGGGGGACCAGGGGATTGTGGCGTGGCTCATGCGTTGGGGGCCAGGTCAGGATTTCGCTGATATGAGCCTGTTCAGGACATAGGATTCCGAGCTCCCATGCTGGTGAACAAATCTCGGACTTTGAGGATTCCATGTAGCTCTGACGCTTCTTGTGGCGACCTTGTTCTTGAGTTTTGTGTTTTTGCGCGCGTGGCTCGGTCGTCCGTGAAATGGCGGAAGCCCGCAGATGTACAACAGGTCTTAGGGCCCCCTGGAGGATCGCAAGCCCTGCGCTGCTGCCAAACGCTGCTGTCGATTACTTGTCGGCTATGGTAGGATAGGCATAGGGGTTCAGAGCAGCGGCTGCTTCTGGGTTTCTGCTTGTTGTTCATCGTTGAAGCACTCCCAGCCCCAAACTCCCATTAAGAACCCCTGAAAGAACCCCTGAGGCCTAAGTGATGCCAGCGCAGACCCCCAAAAGTGAGAGACCATGTGGAAACGCAAGAGCCGCAAGAGCATTGCAAGGGTCCGCAGAGCACCAAGAGCACTCCAAGAGCACGGATGACGCTTCACGGGGACACGCAAGAGCGACAATGTGGAGCCCGCTCGACCGTCGAGTGTTGCAGCACAATCGTAGTACAGCGAGGACGTCCGGAGCTATGGTGGCTTATGGTGGCTCGAAAGTCGACATTATGCAGTACACACGTAGTACGCCGAGGACGTCCTGAGCTCCCGCGTCTCGAAGGTCGACTTTTTGTAGTACAAAGGTAATATGGGGGGAGCACGATATCCAGCCATACTCGCTTGTCCGCTTCACGTGCAGCTCAATCTAACACCCTCTCGCTCTGGACGCAAGACCCCCCAGCAGTTGGCTCACTGTTTCGGGGATATATAATCTGCCCGACATGCTGGGTCCTGAAACATAAGCTCTCACGCAGGACAACACCGTGACGGTGACCATGAGGCACGGAGAGAAGCCACTGTGTTTTGTTTCACACAATCCGGCTTGGAGTCTAAGCGAAGATGCTTTATGAAGGAGCAGCCTGACAGACAGTAGCCGCGGTCAAATTGGATCCGGAAACGCATTTTCAACTAGATCGTTCCGAAGAAAGGGTCGCCTTCTGGCATGCGTTGTGCATGAGACCTGAGTGGACTGGAATCTTCATGTTCTGGACTTTCGTGTTGTCGCCAGGTCATTCCAGACTGGGGGGTACATGCATCTGATCCTCTCAAGCGCAGTGCCTGCAAGGAATATCCCGCCACACTACACGCAGCAGCAGCTTGCGGATGAGGCGCTCCGTGGTTGTACTGCCTGAGACCTCCGACCCACCTTAGACCGCCTTTCGACATTTTCAACCCGGTCCGATCCTAACCTTTGACAGGGGTTCGGGTTTAACTCATGGAAGCCCCATATGCCACTCAGCGATCTTTGCTTCCAAAGCAAAGCCCTCAGCAACATTTTGTATGTCGCAGCCAGAAAGGCGGGCAGAAACTCGGATGATAGTCCCAAAGGCTTGCCGAGATCGAACAGAGCTTCTGATTAGGGAGCTGCGTAAAACCATCCAGAACAGAAGAACCTCGGACAGGGGTCCCCTGTTGATTAGCAGGGCCCCTTTGCAGGTATCAGTTGCAATTAGCGTGTACCCTTAGGTGCCCAAAAAGAGACACTATAAAGAGACACTATGTTCCTTGAACCCTAGGCTCCAAGACATGTGAACCCTATATATACTAGATCCCGAAGGCACGCGGGGTAGCAAGTTCCTAAAACAACCCGCGCAAACCCAGAGCTTACGCCCCGCAGCCATTGCTTCCCGGCAGTTGCATCGTCGTGGTTACGAGGGGTGCTTCCATTACCTGTACCTTCCGCCCGGAGACCTGGGGGGCTCAGGGCAAGAACCTGGTTCAGAGTTTGGCCTTCATTCCAACTTTTCTCTGTTGGCGTCGTTTTGATTCGGGTCAGGGCCTCCTCTGATGCGCTGGTCCTCTGCTCCACTCGCCCCAACCCCACTTTCTTTAAACACGTGCGAGCTTGCTTTGTAAAGAGCGTCAGCCCAGGAGACGTGAGTGTCAACACATACGAATCGTTTCTAAACCCGGCGTGCAAGCATTGGGTTTGCAAAGGGGGGGAGGCTTGATGCAAGACAAGACGCTGCAAAGTGGAAGTTCCAAATATCTCCCCGCTTTGATTTTCGCCGGCCACAAGAGCGAGACCGAGCCCTGTAAGTTTGAATTCATGAATGGTTTGATGCAGGACAGGACCCCAAAATCTACTTCCCCAATAGCTTGCCGCCAAAAAGGATGATGCAACTTGGAGGTCTTGTTTTGCGGGGGAATCTCAATTTGCAAGGTCCGGTTTTGCGTGAAGCTACAGGGGAAATCCACTGCAACCAAGACTCCAGCCTTTGATTCAGATAGGACGCCCATACTGAACTAGGTTCATGAAGCATGGTGCTGGTGCACTGGCGGAAATCCTTCTACTGTGCATTCAGTTCGGGTGTCTTGGTGAGGAAATCCAACGAGGCTACGCAACTTCCCTCTGAGGTACAATTTCCATCTGAACATCAACATGGGCTACGCGTCCATCAACTTTGCAAAGCCCAAGTGCGCGTGTCCATTCTGCTCATAAACCTTCAAGATTGCATACGTTCGGTGTTGAAACAGCTTCCAACCGTGTAGTACTGGATAGAGCAAAGATATGCAAGGATGGAGTGAGTTGGAGGTTAGAGGCTCTCTGCGTTCTTGAGCTGCAGCGTAGGTACGCCTTGAAGCTCTATCTCGACCTTGATGGACAATGCCTCACCAAGCACATGAGGCCGCTGTACTCAGGGTCTTTTCTGCAGCTCATCGACCATCATCGACCTATCGGTCATGCAAAAATACCATGCTGTACCGCGTTGCAGAAATCATAGTGTCATAGTTCCCGAATTCCACACACGCGCAGTCAATCAAGTCAGGAAGCAACTTGTGGGCTACAGCACCTGAAGTCTGAAGTTGTCTGAAGTATGCCTAAGTATGCAACGCTGTGCGCTGTGCAAGTTGAGCCTTGCAACAGGCTTTGCGTTTTGGGCCTCACTGTAAATTACACACAGCTGAGGGCAAACCCCAGTACAGGATAATTTCATCTACAACGCAGGTTTGCAAAGACAGTTCTAAAGCGTGCGCAGAGGGTAAGCCTCCTTTTTGCTGCGCCAACGCCGTGTCTTGAAGTTGACCGTCGACTCGCGGTATGCTTTCGGAAAAGCTGAGGGCATGAGGCATCCCGCCTTGGATCAGGCAAAACGGAGAGTTCATCCACGTGCACCCCGCTTAAGGCGCAGCAGGGCTTAACTAGATGGCCCTCTGGTTTTTGCAGGTTAGGGGGGCCGGGGTTCACAGCTTAGTCCATAACTGCTGATTTGTGAAGGCTCAGGCTTTCAATGGCTTTTTATCGATGGAATTTTGACCTTGTGGAGATTTTAAGGAGTTGGGGTTCGGGGTTGGGTTGGGTTCGGACCTGACACGATGGTTAGCTGTGGTTCCCTGGCGTTTCTCAAGCTAGTGAAACCAATACATTTTGCTTGGGCGGTCAAGGTATCTGTCGGGTTGCTATAGGGGTTTAGTCTCATGTAGGGAAGGCTTTCCAGCATGTATAAAACAGAGGCAGGATGCAAGTGCAGAAGCCTCTGCCTGAACCCATATCCACTACTACCTGGAAGGCTACCCGTGACCTCTTCATGCGCCCCGAGATTGTGCAGAAGCAGGTTGCTTGGCATTCAACATTCTCCAGCAAGCATAAAGCGAACCTGAGCAAGCGGGGGGGACTCTTTAGCCTGGTTGTTGTTGCACCAGCGAGGGCGAACGCGAGTTGGTGCACCTTCATTTCCAAGGATTGCTGCGTTCTCTGAGAGCTGGAGTGCTCTTCAGAATGGTGGCCAGAAGCCGTGTAGACCCAGGGATACAGTGAAGGGATACAAGTGGCGATTGACCATGCCTGACAAGCCACATTTTCTTGCGCGGCTTTGAATAGACAATCTCGGAACTTAGAATATTTTCACGGTTGCAGGGTCGAGGTGAAGCCAAGTAGATGTTGTGGCTTCAAAATTTGTCCAAGCGTCAGGCTTTAGCACCTCGAAATGACTGTTAACGAATCGACGAAGCTCTCACCTCTGCTGTGACACGGGGCATCCTGTTAGGACTTGACGGCGAAGGCTGAAACAATCAGTCCTCTTGCATCCCTTCTCGTAAGATTCACAGCGTCGCCCCTCCCTTCAATCTTTGGGCTTGTGAGGGTTGGAGCGCTTGAGCGTGAGGGTAGAACCTGCTTTGTTGGGATGCTTGCTCAGAGGGGCCCACCTGGCGTCCCTAGCCTCGTTCATCGGGAAAAGAGAGCAGCGGAGGTAGGCCTTTCACTCATAAGCGTGCCTCACAGCAGGGTGGAGAGCGTCTACCATCCAAGCTTCGTTCTGAGTTTTGCCTTCAAACGGCAGTCATGTCAAGCGACAACGAGGGTCGCGCGGCTGCCGTGTCATCCTCGTCGTCCCTCTTGGCAAAGACTGACGAGCACAACGAATCCCACTAATTACAAATTCTTACTTACTAAATACTAATTTACTAATTACTAATTATTAATTACTAATTATTAATGACCAATGACTAATTACGAATTACTACTTACTACTTACGAATTACGAATAACGAGCTACGAAAAACGAATTACGAATGAAAAATTACAAATTACGAATTACGAATTACTCATTACTAGCTACTCGCACTAGTTACGAGTTCCGAGTTTCTAATTTCCAATTTTCGTTTTTCATTTCTAATTACTAATTGCTAATGATTAGTTGCTAATTACTAATTATTACTTACCAATTACCAATTTCTAAGTATTCATTACTAAGTACTAAGTACTAATTTCACTTATGACTAATTACTAATGACTAATTCCTAATTACTAATGACTAATTACTAATTACTCATTACTAATTTCTAATTACTAATTACTAATTACTAATTCCCAAA